TTCCTAGGAGCAGAAATCTTTCTATAACTGGGTTCAGAAGTTTAAAGCTCCATCAAGGAACTTTAAATTAAAACCAGCGGCTCTCATTTCCTTGTGCAGGATTTTAAATAAAAAATTTACTTCGCTTTATCGCAACACCCAAATGCATGACCTCTCAGTGAAAAATCTAAAACAAACACCTGTTACGGCAGCATGTAGCCTTAAGATATTACAAGTAGCTTTGTAGAACAACTCAGTCTTTGTGCTGATGGTCATGTTCAGGTCAGAAGGTCTTGAGAAGATATTCAAATGATCTTAACTCTGATGCATAAACAGTGAAAAATCCACACAAGAGCTTTGAACTGTAATGAAGAAATAATATGGGGGTGGGGGGGTGGGGGGGGTTGTAAAGATCCAAAATAAAGAACTCGTTTTGGTCACTGTATAGATGTCAGTTTCCTTAAATTTACACTTTAACAAGTCTATAAGTAGATTTTTTATGTTACCTCTAAATGTGCCATATTTCAGCCTGCTTTTCCACTGAGCATTTCTTTGTCTAAAAGGTCTAGTACACGTCCAAATGTAGCCTAGACGATTGGTCTAAAATCAGGCTACCACAGGTCTAAAAATGAAAGTTTTTTAGACGTCTTAATTTAGACCAAGTTTAGACCAAATCTAAATCTGGGCTATATCTGTACTACACTGTATGTTGCTTAACGGCTATCATAATTATTTTGGTTAAGCACTTGGAGATCAGTTATGAAACTCACAGTTGCTTTTTGAAATAAAAAGTTAGCGAATAATGGGTTAAAGTGCAACGTCTAAATTCTGTCTAGAAATATACAGAATGTAGACGGTTGAAATTAGGTCTATAAAAAAAAAAAACAAGACATCTAATAGCCGTGTGTTGCTCAGTGGGTTGTCAGTGTATCAAAAACTCATGCAAACTTTCTTAGACTGTCAGAGCTCTTGTTTGGGAACCTATTTTTGCAATTATTCCGTTTACCAAATGCTTGTGGGAATCATAGTCCCATATTGCATCACCACCAAGCCAAGGTTTGATCACACTCTCCAGACAGTGCTGTCCTTTAGCTCCATTGGCTAACTTGTGACTCTCCTACTTTGTGTTCAGCTAAAGAATTCAGAGTTTGAAGAGATTGATTCGTCCTTGATGAATGCTTTGATTTGAAGCCACACAACGACTTTTTCTCTCCGTCTCTATTTCTCGGTGTGGTCAGACTTTTACTGTCACTGCAGTAGAGAAGGCAAAGCTCTGCAGAAAAGGAAACAAGATGTGACTGAGTGGGTTTGTGGTTTTGTCGGTCCTCAAATGGCAGCCAGTGTTTAGGGTGTGTTTATAAAAACGGAGGGTACGGCGCGCCGGAGCTCAAAACCAATGACCCGTGAGACAAAACTGAGATGTCAGCAAGATGTACGGCTTGAGGCTGGCTTCATTTAAAGCTTGTTTGAGCTGTTACACCTAAATGAGCTTATTTTATGGTAGACTTTAGAGTTATGAAGCAGAAAATCATCCTGAGCGCTGAAACCGTCACCTCGTCCATCATCTCCAAATTGATTCCCAGAAGCTTTCTCCTCTTTCAGCTGTGGAAACAGGACATCAGACGCTTCCTTTGACATCTGTTGGCATTATTAGCTAATTTTAGGACTTTGTTATTGAAATGAACTTTTAAGTCTTACCTCCCCGCTGCAGATGCCAAGTTGACTGTAAATAAATAGTTGATGTAATTAGCATATCAATGCAGCGCTTCCAGGGCTGTAATGGTTTCATCCCCTTCCTTAATAAATCAAGTTTTAGTGCAGATGTGCTGATATCAAAAGAAAAATACACGCTGTTATTCAGAGCCTTCAGAAAATGACTAATGATGTGTTCTCCTCTGAATACAAGATTAATCAACTATGGCTGGTGTTAATTAGGGACAAAATGCGTGCTAACCGGGATGTATTTCTGCTGAGGTTTCCTAAAGGAAGTAGTGCGTTAGAGGACGAGTGCGACTCTCTATAAAAGTCGCTGCAGTTGTCAGGCAGGTGAGGCAGTCCGAGAGGATGCTGAGGAACCTGGGATCCCTGGGGGCTACAAGGGCAGACAGAGCAGTAGCTGAATGAACCCTGGCTGCTGTCCAGGTCCTTATATTGTTCTGTCACTGCAGACTGTCCAGATTGTGGTGCAGTGCTAACTTTTTACTGAATGCTGCAGTCTATAGAATAAATCAAAAACTGACAGTCGCAGGCCTGGAGGCTTCTTCGGCTGTGTGAGACAAAAATAAAGTACAACACATTTAATCAAGTCAAGTTCTTATTAAGTACAATTCAGAGGCACCAGTATTGAACTGGAATGGTTTTATTGTATCTCATTTTATTCATCTACTCCACATTTGTCCTTGGAGTCCCTTCGAGGATTTTTTGTCTGGTTGTAAAGCCGACACAAGACAGTGATTTTGCAGTATTTAAGACACCGCAAGATGATAATATCACGATACATTAGATTGTCTAATGGACTGAAGAATACAGAGTATATCTCTAAAGGTAAAGAGCAGGGCTGATGCACCTTAATGTGGTTTCACTGACATGATATAATGTAAATGTTTTTTTGTCTGTACAATAAATTTACACAGCTACAGAAAAACTGTAAAATTAAAGTAAAATAAGTTTACGTTTGATATGATAAAAGGCACATTTAGATGTAAACCAGCTCATGTATGTAAACCTGTTTATACTTTATGCTGTTTTATGTTAAACTGCATGTATGCATTGTGACATCTGCAGCTTCCTTTCCTCCGTAGCCCTCAGTAAATCCTCTGCTGTCTGAGTACCAGTGTTTGTGACAAGCAGAAATCATTGACAGTTTGTATTGTTAAGTGTCTTCATTTCTTCCCATTGTGAGATGTGAAAGCAGCATCGCAGGCATTGATATATTACACTGATGAAACTGAGGCAGGCTGTTATGCTGCACCTTAATCTCTAACCAAGACATGCATTTAACTGAGAATTTGAGGACCTCTCAGGTCGGTACAGTCTAAACAAATGTGTGTGTTGATTTGGAGCAGATACTTAAGGATACAAAATGTTAAATGATGTTTTTTTTTTTGTCAGCTTTTGTTACACATGTTTTTGCAGTTCTTCTATTCGGCTTAAAGGTGGGGTACTGTAGGCAGGATCTGAGGAAGCGCCAGTTTTGAGGAGAAACCACGAATGTATACACTAGCCCTCCCAACCAGTTTTCCCCTCAGCTCCTCCTCTACTCTCTGTCTCTGCTGCAGCAAGCCCCACCCACAAACAGATGCTCCTGCTCGCTCGTATCATTTACATTAAATTCTGATAAATACTTAAGCTAATTACAAATGGGGCCCAGTCAATGTGAAAGTAAAAAGCATCGGTGCTACTGTAGATGCCAACAGACTACCAGCAAACACAATGTTTGCAGGACTTCTACAACTAGGATAAAGTAACATAGTCCAGGACCCGAGGTAAACAGTTTAGCGGCGCTACAACACGCAGCAGGTCCTGTTTGACAAGAAACACTTGGTTACAGACACTTGGCTTACTTTGTTAAAGCGGTTTACCTGTCCATCAGAAAGGTTACAGGGTCCGTAAGATCCTGAAGCTTCCCATATAATTTATGCTTCATTCACGTTGACCCAGCTTTTTAGCTCTTGTCCAGTCAACCTCCTTTTTAAGCGCCTGTTGTTCCACCAGAGTCTCCGGTATTTACTTTGTTTTCTTGCTTGTGTTGGCAGTCATGGCTAAAGGAGGATTCAGACAATTTTCTGTACTTTCTGGTTGGTTTCTACTTTCCGATACTGTAGCACACTAACTTTGTTAGGGCTCGTGAACGTTGTCCGTGGAGTGTGCCTCACAACACGGGAGAGCAGCATCTGCCTCACAACCAATCAGGTTGGGGAAGCAGAAAATGGCTTTGTTTACAATCAGAAAGAGCGGGCCACTCAAAGATTTAAAACGTGACTACACAGACATAACAACACACAGCAGTATCGTTATATTACCAAATGTCATCAATAACTAATAGCTATTGACTGATGTTAAAAGCTTTTTTGTATATACACCACAAAAAAAGATGCATCTTAAACAGATTCCTGACTACCACACCTTTATGTAGAGAAGTAGAGAACTTTTTTGAGCAGTAATTTGAATATTGAGAAGCTCATAGTTTATCTTTATGATGAATTTAGATAAGGATTTGGAGCTCTCTGGACTTAAAGATGTTGATGAATCATTTCTTTCCGATCACGCACTAAAGTTTTGGCTAACTTTTTTGGCTGGTGTACCATATTGGTTGGATCTGAAGAACAGCTTGGCAGTGTTTGCCTTTATCTTGATATCACAGTGTCTTGACTTCGACTCCCTGAGATAAATGAGCTGAAGGAGTGTACTGATATTTACTGGATTGTTTCATTTTTCAAAAAGCAAAAAAAAACATGTCAGGATGATTTGATAGAAACTGTAACCAAATGAAAGCTGTATCTCTGAGTAGTTTGAGAATGAAACTCTGGCTTTCAGATGCGATATTTAATTGTTACTTCAGAAAAGTTTTGCAGTTTGTACTCCGTCAAAGAGGCAGCTGGTCCTGAAGTGCAGTGAAGTTTTTAATGCGTGTTCAGCAGAAAAAGATTAAAAAGGTGTAAAGTCAGAAAGCTCCTGGGTGGGTTGCCAGATGTATCCTTTTTTTCACTAAAGATTTGATGCATTTCTGAGACATAAATACATACAAAAAAGGCATAAAATAACCAAGCTGGTGCAGATGGAACATCACAGATTAATTAGCGATGTTCATGTAAGCGTTTCCACGTGGGAGCAGATATCTTCTTTGTTTGCAGTGGCTGTTGAAGCTTCTCACTCGAGTACTCCAATCGAGATTTCTGCAGATAATCGACTCCCTCCTCCTCCTCCTCCTCTGGAAAAAGAAAGGCCTTGAGCAGCAGGCCAGTCCCCCATACTGTTGGGGGAAAGAGATGAGGATTTAGTCATAACTTTAAACAGGTAGAGGAAAATACCACAAAAGCCAAGGCTGAATAGATTAAATGGATTTAAGATCAGCTCTATTTAAGTAGCATAAAGGGTGGTCCCGATGTTAGCGAGCACAAGACGTGCAACCGAGACCGAAGCAAGAAGAGATCTTTACAGGTAAGATTTATGATTAGGTGAGAGACTCAACTATTACTGCATTGTTGAATGAAGAACAGCAGTATTGCCTGGGTGTCTGGGGTGCAGACCACATCATGTGCAGTTTATTCTTGTAACAATTCAAAGACTTTTTCAACGGTTCGTTTGTTTCTGCCCTGATGGCACATTTTTTAAAGCTTAGACTATACTTATTTAAAATATATTTTACAGATAATGTTGTTATGACACTATCGAGAGTTATGCAAATAAGTTGAACTTAAACAGGCTGAACTTTTCTGTGAAAACAGATGAAGCGATTCAAGTTACAATGAGAAACACTATCTGTAAAGAACAACAGTTTTTCTTCACTTAGATCCTCTGAGTCTGATTTAAAGGTGTGTTATATGCTGGTAACAGGGTTTTTTTTATCACGGTAATCTGTAGGAGTCATCTACTGTTATCAAAGGTTATTCTTCTTACTCGTATCTTTTGAGGGGGTTAAAAATCTGATTCAAGGCCATTTTCATTTTCTCATTTTAAAACTACTGCAGGAACTTTTTACGTGTGGATTTTGGCGCCCTCAGTAGGAAAAGTCATATGTGTTTAATCTGGTTGGCCCCTTCTTTTTTATGTGTAATGGTGATTACTGACAAAAAATACCTCATCTCACTGTGTCTTCAGAATAAAAATATGTTATTTAATATGAACATTTATATTTAAAGAAGTAGAAAAGGGGTTTTTATATAGAAATCAAAACATCTGACAGTAGTTGCCACAATAACAATGTACATCAAAGTAACTGTCTGTGTTTTTGCCAACTGTCTATTTGTTTTTGTAAATTATATCAAAAAATCATTTTAATTTTCCAGTCAGTTTTATAACTATCAAAAATTCTGTACAGGGGCTTTAAAAAAACAGAACAAAGAAAGCAGATATAAAACCCCAACAGCCTTCCTACAGTTGATGCGGTAAAAGCTGTTCACCATGACTTGATCGACTTTTCTTTTTAATGTCTATTTTGAGTCTCAGACCGTTTTCTTTTATTACGAGAACACAATGAATTGCTTTGAGCCAAGCTGCTTTTGTAGATGGTCCTTGAAGTAACTTTTTCTTAGAGTTTTTCAGCTTTTAACCAGACTTATCCAAAACTATTTGTGCAGAGAAGTCCAGAGTCCTGTGTGTTTGGCTTGCATTTTAACAGCTTCATTTTTAAAGATCAAAATTTTGAACATTTTTTGATTTCCTTCCATTTGACTGCTTTTTAAATTAGTTTCAATGAAAAGTCCTAAATTCAAACTCCATCGCCAAGAAAAATCTTCCTTTTTTTCCTTTTTTTCCATGATGTGAAATGTGTTCAGTGTTTTTAGAAATGTGTTTTAACAGCATGGATAATGAATAAAGCATTTTTAGTGTTCGACAATGTCATCAAAGTAGTTATCAATATCTTTTCATGTTTACTGGAGTGTATTACGTTGTTTTTTGAGTAGATACTAACTTCATGAGGTTAACAGAGTATTACATTTCCCCCGTATGATTCAAAGACAAGAAAAACAACAGCAAAGTGAGGGTTGCACTCTTAACCTGGTTCAGTTTGTTGGATCTTTTGACACATGTCCTTAGAGCATCTGAGCTGAACCCTGGTCCCCTCTTGTGGTAGGCGTCTGAGCTGCACCCGACGAAAGATGCTGTTGGTTGTCATGGCAGCAGTGCTGGTGGTGGCGGGGGCGAGGCAGGGCTGCAGCTCTGAGTGTCATCTAACCAACATTCCCATCCAGGTGGAGAGCTGCGGTCGCACTGAATCTGTTTACACCACTGTGTGTGCGGGACAGTGCTACAACAAGGTAAGAACTCATTCCCACTCTGAAGATATAAACGATCTCTTCTGTCCATCTGAGCATTTAATCAGTGTGTAATGCAGGAGTAGAGTTCACTCAAGTTACACAACTAACAGTTTGCTGGACGTTAACTGAAGGAAAAGTACAATTTAACCTTCTGTTAAACTTTAAAAAAACAAGAGTGACATTTTAACTAATGAATGTACTGGATCAGCAAAGAAATAGAGTAATGACTTTGTCCACAGCAGGTACCAGAAACAACACAAGTCAAAAGTTCCTCACAGGAGCTTCTACAGAGTGATTTTAAAACTTATAAATGCAGTCACAGTTATGATACTGTTATTCCACTTATTTTTCAAAACTGACATTCTCAAATAGAAAAATGATTACAAATCATTCTTATACTAATAAAAACAAAATAAACCCTACTGTCTGAATGGACAAGAAAATTTACTGAATTATTATTTGTTACTTTCTTTTTATCATCTTATCTGTTTATTGATTTGTTTCAGCTGCACTTTGAAATTTCGAGCAAACATAATTTTCTAATTTTTTCTAATTTGTATGTTCATAATCCAGTTTATCAAGTTTCAATTACAACTTTGACCCTCTTGTTGTTGTTGTTGCTGTTGTTGCTGACAGGACCCGGTCTACATCGGCCACGATGACTGGGCTGAACAGAAGGTCTGTAATGGGAACTGGACTTATGAGGTGAAACAGTTCCCAGGATGTCCTGTGAGCATCACTTACCCTGTGGCCACACACTGCGAGTGTACTGCATGCAACGCAGGAAGCACACACTGCGGACGCTTTATTGGAGAAGCACCCAGCTGTCTGCCTTTTTAAAGGAACGGAGCCTCCATCGCATCTACAGGAAGTTACTCAACTGGGTACTGAAATAAAACTGCAACGCCAAAGTTTTGCTCTTTGTCTCTTTTTTTATTGTAAGTTATATTTTGTTTTAGGATGATGATGTAGGTATCGGCATCACTTTTGGGCTTTGTGGTCACAAGAATGAAGATGCAACATCTGGTTAGACTTTCCCCACATCACATGTGCAATCGTTGTTGCCCAATGGTTACAGTTTTCCATGTTAAGACACCAAAAGTAGTCTGACTAAGTAAAAAGTGCTGGAGGAAGAAGTTTTATTGTTGTTAAAACCTAAAAGATGAAGCAGCTAATGAAACTAAAAAGACGGCTGAAATTAATATTGATCCCCCTTCATGACTAACAAAAGCAAATGAGACCATTAATGACTAAACCAGTAACCACTGCTACAGGTGAGGTGTCACTGATTTAAAGTCTGTGCGGCAAATATTCACACAGAGGGAAATGTTTGATTGCCTTTTTAAGACACAGCAGCTACTCATGTTCAAGACAAAATAACCATGTTGAGATATGTCAAACCAGTAAACCCAGGAGACTCATCAAAGTCAATACAATCCAAAAGGGAAAATTCTGCTCATTTTTTGTCTTTTAATGGTTATTTTTGTGTTTATGTAGCCACGGGATAGTGAATAAAGATGGAAACTGAGAGGGAGCATGGGGAATATCGTGAGGTCTGCCTGTAGGGCTGTAGCCTTGGGGCACGCCATTAAACTACTGATCTAAACTGGTGCTTCAGATGTGACTTACTTTTTGGTTTAGTTATCACACTGTAACCAATGATTTTCATGCTTGTTGCACTTTGTCACCGCCTCCATCACAAGATCAGAGCAATAAGATGAGTTCATTATCCAGAGACCCCGACCAATGAGGTTGTCTTGGAACTTGGAAGTTAAAATTTGTTGTTGCTTTGAGTTTGAGGTAACAATGACCCAAAGAAGACAACAGAATATTCAAATGTGCTACGCTCTGCTGGGAAGATCTCAGAAATATATTTCCCGTTAACCTATTTACATATAGGAAGGAAATATCATGAGTTACTGCAGGACAAAAGCTGTTCCTGTAATAGTGTTACTGAAAAGTTTCCCAGAGATTTAACACCCCTCCAACTATTTCCCCTTTTGTCCTGACCCAACTGACTGACCCCTAACATTCAATACCTCTGGGTTTTAAAGTTTTCAAGCTTTCAATTTGAAGGTTTGGTTGAAAAAGATCAGGCTTCACCTCTTTTTTGACAGGGGTGAAAATGAAAATGTAGAGTTTGCAGTGTATCCTAAAGCTCCTCTAAAGTGCCTGCTGATCAGCGGCTCTCTTCAGTGGGCGGCACTAAATTTAGAAAGAGCTCAGCGGGCAAAATCTCCCTCTCATCAGAGCTTGAACTGCTCCATACTGGGTTTGGCTTTTACAAAAACAGAGAAAATACTGAATATGAAAAATATGGGATATATTATATATCAATATACAAAGAGTGATGCAAACGTTTCTTTTCTGCATGTGCAGTACCTCATTGAAAAATGTGTTAGGATATGAGATTCAGTACCACTTTAGTTAAACCATTAAAGTTGCTGAGTGAGTCAACTTTTGACTCTTTGGTTACATTAGTATTTAAAATAGAAGCAGACTAAGATGTTAGAATGGCAAAGCCAGTTATCTTGGAGTCAAAGGTCTGTATTCAAAGCACAGATGAGGGTGTGTTTAAGTTCAGAACAATGTAACAGGCACCTAACTTCCTACAGAGAGGAATGACTTGACAAAATATTTACTCTGCTTACGTTTTCATTAATCTAAAAGGCATTATGATTCTGGCAATGGCAATGTTACACCCTGGGGCTGTTTTAATTTACATTTAACCAAACATTTCCACTAATTAGTGAGACAAATAGAACAGGTTAGCATGAATCAGCTCAGCGCCTGATTACAATTTTTCAGCCTTGAGTCAGCTGAAGTTTTCATTTCCATTTGTCAGGCTTTAAAACCCCACACTGCGTCTGTTTTAAGAGACTTTAATGGGTCTTTTTCAGTTTGGTTGAGTTTTCTGGCATAGTTTACAGTCTTTTGTTTATATTTGAAGATTTAAAGAGTTTTAATTATTTCTAAAGAATGATTCAGTCTTACTGCCACCTGCAAAAATAAATCCAGCTGGACCAGCTCTTCTTTATGCTGCTATAGGTTTAGGCTGCTGGGGATATTGGCACACCTCTTTCTGTCTGTATCATTAACTTTAAATCATCATGTCCCATTAGAGAACACCTGGGCATTTGACAGTCCGAGGGCCACATCCGGCCCTTTAGATATCCCTGCCCGGCCCTTCATGACGTCCGTCAATCAAATCATCAACATGCTATAAAAGTGTGTCGCTTTTATTTTTAAAAACCAAGCCATTGTTTTATTTCCGTTTGAATGCACTTGTGTACATCCTAGATCTGCATTTGTAAACAGAGACGAGTTTAAACATCGGCAAAATATATGAAGATGCCTTAGAGTTGCCAAGTCCCCTTATTATAAAAGACTTTAAGCTTGTTTCTCTCAGAAGTTGCTTATAAAACTCATGAGTCTTTTTTTGGGCTTGTTTTTAACTAGTAGTTGCTTATTCGGGCTTGCTTTTCTGTATGTGTGAACCCCCCTGATTTGAAGTTAAAGTTATTGTTGGTTCGGCCCTCCAACACAGTTCAGGTTTCTCATGTGGCCCCATGTAAAAATTAATCGCCCACCCCTGCATTAGAGGCACTAACACACTGTCTTTTCTGTGAGTCCCTGAGCTCCATCATGTCATAAGCTCCTCTGGATCGCTGCTGCAGATGTTTTGCTTTCTGCTTTGCAGCTGCTTCAACTCGTCTCACCTCTGTTCATTTCTCTCCTCATTCTATATTTTTTAAACTTATCCATCTGCCATCATTTGGTTTCCAAAAGCTTCTCCAGAAACCTGTGAGACAACATCTATGTTTTACAGTCTATGGTCAGTATAAGTTTTTACCAGACACATGGTACAAATGTCAGACCTGTGCATGTGTTGGTTTATTTTCCACTGCGAAAAATCCTGGAAACAAGAATTCAGAATTCCTCTCACGTAGAATGCATAAATGTCTTTGCAGAAAAAATGAGCAGAATAATAAATCTGCTCCCTCCCTGAAGTACTCTGCAGACTGTCATCATTTCTATTAAACAGTAATGAAAAGGCCGGTTTCAGCCTGAAGCAGACTGTAACAGTAACATCTTATTACACAGAGACATTACCAAACCTGAGGCCTGTGCTAACCACAGAGAGCTCACCTATTAACATGACAGGCTGTTAATTACTACCTACAGTGACGTGACTTGGCAACTTATCATTTTTACCTTTTCATTACAATTACCCTTCTAACGGTACAACCTGCTGACAGAATAAGTACAAAGCAGCAATGTCATTGGGTAAAAAAAAAGGATTGTTGTTGTTCATTTTATTGTATAATTGTTGCTTGAGAGAGAAAGCTTGTGAGTTAAGATAGAAAAAAGAAATGGCAGCTCACATAATGGTAAAATATTGAATTTTACCGCTGTGTAAATCAAATGATGGAGCTTAAATGTGGTGCAGAACTGAACAGAACATGCAGTTGTGGCAGCAGCAGGGCATCTCAATATGGACTATAAAGCTGTTGTAGCACCATATTTGACAAGACTCGACTCATAAACAGGTACTTAAGAAATTGCAATCCCATAAAGCTATGTCACTGACAGGCCATATATTAAAGAAACAATGCCTTCAGGGACAGATTTATGCTGGTTCTCAGTCTCTATACATCAAGCAGAGCTATCAGGACTGCAGGTGCACAGCAGCTTTCATTAGGTAACTGCACAGTTATTTTGTTCAAATTTAAACTTTCTTCAGAGCCAGACAAGATAATGTGCAAGTGTTTCTACAGCTCAAGATTTACTTTCAGCGACTAAACTAATAAAAACCTGTTGTGGCTCAGTCAGTTGTTCCTCAACCAGGCAGTTGGGGGTTGAACCTTGTTGCAAAAAGCAGCGTCTGCCATCAGTGTGTGAATGTAATATGTGTTGAAAAGGTGCTTTGAGTGGTCAGGAGACTATTTACTAGTTCACTCATGAGTGTTCCTATATGCCATCTGTAACAATGGGCTTACTCATGCAAATAGACATTATTGACTTTTTTTCCCATTATGTCTAAAATTCATCCTTCAAACTTCCTCTATTGTTGCACCATTAGATTGATAGTACTCTGATATTACTCATTTTACATTGATTTTACTATGTTTATATGTATTTTATAACCTGGCTGCTTTAAATTCTTGATTCTGATTGGTCTGCATCCATGAAAAAAGTGGTAAACTCTCCAGGGTCTACCTGATCCCACTAAAAGACTCCGGCATGTTTGACCTCTGCTTGTTGACACCATGGCTAAAATGTTAGAGTCTGTTTCAGGTTGGTCTTTAGAGTCCGGAGGTAACAACTGTTGAAGGGCACAGATGTGAGAGCAGCCTGAGGAGCTTCTGGGTCTAAACCATAGATGATAGTGACAAGAGGAGCAAGATCATGTCTGGTAATCCAGGCCATGGCAGCAGAGCTGATGAGTGCGCCTTGAAAATGTTGATCTGACGGACTAACCTAAACTGTGACTGGTGGTGGTAATAGCTTAAATGATAAAAGGTTTGACATTTTCAATATTTTATTCATTTTTAAATTCATTGGTCCAATTGTGGATGCAGGTGAGAATGTGCAGTACTTGAGTCCAAGACAAATTTCCTCTAGAGGACAATGAAAAGGATGTTATCATATTTTATCCTATTGTATCACATCGTATCATATCACATATTGCATCGTAATTTATGGTATATCGTTTCGTATCGTATCATATCGTATCGTATCGTATATCATATCGTATGGGATATCGTATCACATATCGCATCGTATCATATATCGCATCGTATCTTATAATATATCGTATCGTATATCGTATCGTATATCGTATCGTATATCGTATCGTATCTTATGGTATATCGTATATTGTACTGTATTGTATATTGTATCGTATGGGATATCATAATATATATCGCATCGTATCTTATGGTATATCGTATCATATCGTATGGGATATTGTGTCACATATCGTATGGTATGGTATGGTATATCGTTTCGTACTGTATTGTATATTGTATCGTATGGGATATCGTATCGTATCATATCGTATCGTATCGTATCATATTATATCGTATGTTGGTCAGCTGCAAACCCAGAGGAAAAGAAAAACTGAATGGGACAAGACCCCTCTAAATCATATCAGGGTCCTGCTCAGCCTGTTTGGGTTCTAATTCCCATAACCTTCTGCTCACTGTACATTACTTCCTGTTTAGTGACCTCATGAAATAAAAAAGCCTCAGAAGAGCTGATCAGTTTACTTTATCTACTTTATTTTTCAATTTCACCCTTGATTAAATATCTAAGTATTCTAAAAGCAGCTATTAAACTGAACCTAATTGGGAGGGATTTAAAGTTAGTGCTACAGTAGGAGACTTGCTTTTAAAAGGTTTCAATATTTCAGCCAGCCAGCGGTGCACAGGTCAAGACTATAGAACCCAAAGAAGTGAAACAATCAATGACATGATCGATTGAATGTGATGGAGCAGGGCGATCGATAAGAGAGGAGGAGTGTGCCGAATTCATAAGATGAAGGAGGATTACAGAAAGTATGATTGTACTTTTAGATAGCAGAACACAGGAGAGGAGAAATATGTGCGAGAGGGGGCTGAAGGGACAAGTTTTCAGCTTGTACTTGGAGGCCAGGTGGAAGATTGAGCTGAGGCTAGATGGAGTGATGATAACCCTGCAGGTGAAGCTGGCCTGTGTTGTGTGAGCTGGCAGCTGCAGAGACGGATTGTGTCCTTTCAGTCTCTGTAAAGGCACTGTGCTCTTAGCCTGTGCCGTGTTACTACATCAACATGATTTAACTCACTACAACACCCCGAGGAACACCATTTACTTCAAACAGAGATACTGCACACTAACGGTACACACATATTTATACGGGAGCAGAAGACCTTTCATTAAATCTTCTCTGTCAACATCCAGACGAACCTTCAACCTGCTCACCCTCAGGTTCATAGATTTTGTTTCAGCCTTCAGCTCCTTACACGGGCTCTTTGTCACGTCTCCAGTTCAGTGTGAATACTTCAGGCTGGATATCAGCAGACAGATTTCACTCCTCTCGGGTCATTGGTGTCCTTTGATAGCAGCTCCTTGTTATTCAGACGTTCCCTTAGGTTTGCAATTTCACCCTGCTAATGACCGCCCCAGCCGACGTTTAGTGACTCTGTTTCTCGGCCGCCTCGGCTGCTGGAGGGACACAGCCTTGGAGTAGATGGCTTTGTGTCAAACTGATAAATCCTTCGTTAAGTTGAGTTTAATAAAACTAAGGTCAGATATTTTTAAGGCTGTACCCAGCACGGTCCAGATCCTGTAACAGCTTTTAAAAGCACACAGAGCCTTGAGTGGGCACATGAATATGCAATTTCAAGAGTCTGTGGGAGGAAATAACCTTAAATTGATTGAAAGTTTCCTGTTTTGTAGCTTGAATCTAATTAATAAGTGATTTAAGCCAGTGAGAATACCGGTAAGAAAGAGGCACTCCAACCTGAGATGTTTAAGAATCAAAGCCGCAGCCCAAAAAAACAGTAATTTATTCTTTCCCACAGCAACTGGACTGCTTTGTGTTAGCAAATCAAATGATGTCGCCTTTTAGAAGACAGAGGATCTACAACTGGCTCTGTGGGGCTTTACTTAAGCACAGAGCAAACTGCTGTCAGGCCAAATAAAGTTTGCACTAAAAGTTACCAAAAGTTAATTTTACAAAAATGTATAAATGTCAACCATTAAAGCTGTAGTGGGGAACTTTTGGTTTGTGTTGGTCCTGGCGCCCCGCATGGACAACTTAATGCCCCTTATCTCCTGCCCTGTATGTGTGAAAGCGAACCACAAATGTTTGGACTCTTTAACTGCAAATACAATTTTTTTGACAGTGACACTACAAGGAAAAGGACTTGGGATTTTTTTTCCCTCATAGCACAAATAAAATCTCGACCAATCATTACGGCAATGAATCCTACGGTAACAGAGGAAAGTCTATTATCTGTTCTGCATCATGCAAAGGATTCTTTATTGATTCTTTGGTTAATATGGGATCGATTTACAAATAAAGAAGAATAACTTCAAGCATGCCTGTGTGGAGATAATGTTCAGGGTGCAGCCATTAGTGGGTAATAAGCCAAAGATGCTTAGAAAGTGACCTGCCTTTGTTTACGCCATAAAGCTCCAGTGAGTGATTTTCTGTTGGTGTTGTTTCTGGTTCCCTGGTGGACATATATTTCCTGCTGTGTTCCCACAGCATCTACCTCTCCATCTTCTTGAAGAAATTCGACTTGAAGGAGGGCAGGACATTAGATTGATGTTGAAGATTTGGCTGTTTCTGATCATATGCTTTACTTTGAATCATTGCTGTTGAATCTCTGCAGGGTCTTGTATGCTCTCATAAAGGCTTCAGTGTTTATCCAAGTCAGAGTCACCAGTTAAAAACTCATTTCACATGCAAATAATCAAGCGACCAATGAAAGGAGACAATAAGAAGACAAATAAAGAACACATTAATGACACAAAACAACATAAATGAAGACTGTAAGGTGTGGTGTGCAGGGCTACAGCTTTGAATATAGGAAACAGATTCATTTACATTTGAGTATGTGTGTAAATGTGCATTTTGCTGAAATATTGCAGTGATTTAAGCAGATTAAAAAGTGTCACAACTGGGAGCTCCCTGAAGTCTTTATGGAAATAAACATGTCAGAAACAATAAGAGGCACAATTGTGATGATTGTCTGGTATAAAGTTTGGATATTTATGACAGCATCTTGGAATCCTTGGATAAATTCATCTGGGTTTATGAATTAAGTTCCCTAACTAACTCTGACATTTTGTGCTGCAGTCTGACACTGAGTTCACTTCTACGACATCATACAGTATTTCCAGCGGGCATATTTTTCAGTGACACCTGAAACTACGATTCAACTTATGAACTCATAAATGGTCCCAGTCCAGCTATACGTGGTTTCTGAGCAAAATGTCCTCATTCTGCTCCCAGCATCAACATAACACCAACTAATGTCTTTAATATTCCTACCAGCAGGCACAGAACACATTCTTCCCTAAGGAAATCTTTCAACTTAAATTTAAGTTTGAGTTTGGAGCAAAACTTCAGCTGCCATGATAAACGATTTGTTTGCACCAATTTGCTCTCCGCTCTCATCGACTTGGTTCATAAATATTAACAAGCTTCATTCATAAGTAGCCCTTTAAAATGAGCTATAAAACTCATTGTCAAGATAGTTGGGAGTGCAACCAGCACAGCAATAACAGAAAAAAAACTGGGGAAATCTATTTGTGATTCTACGGGGGCCTTTTGCACATTACATGATGAACTGGACTTGATTTAAATCTAAAATTGATACCCGGTGATTTAATTCCTTAAAGTTCATATTTGGCAGCAGCTCTGCTCTGCATGACTCCTGACTTACAGCTGAGCTGGAGGACAGCAGGACGTGTATTAATGAGACGTAACGTTCTGCATCTCTGTCTTTATTCAGCGCGGTGAGGTTGCTCCTGGTCAGCATGTAGGAGAGAGAGAAAAAGCAATCTGGTGTCTACAGTGTGTGATTATCAGGCTGGAATGACCTAATGGAAATAAAAATTAATGAAATTTTAATGTATGAGATGGATAACTGAGATGACTAATTAAACAGCATCTTCTCTTGTTAGAGGTCAATAATAAAAAGTTCACTGCTAACACTGATGTTGGACAAATAAAGGAAAGAGATTCTGCTGCTGACCTTCTTGTCGCCTCATTTATTAATTCTGTTTTTCATGTATAGGGGATAAAGTGAGTAAAGTGAGTGGGTTATTCTGATGGTTTGGAACCCAAACAGGGTCTTGTTTGAATCGTAAACCACAAAACCCACCTGATCACATTGGTAGCTAATTTAAGATAAAAACAAAGTGGCACAAAATCTTGATCTAAAGATGGTTTTGTTGATTTATCACTGATTTATTTATACTGCTAAAAGAAGTCCCTCCAGTTTGATAGTTGATAGTAAAATTCAGAATCCAGCTCAAACTCTTGTGTGTTTAGAGCATTGCATGTTAAAGTATCTGTCTCTATCCACGCGCTGCTGAAGCTCTACTTCTTAAGCAGGATTTGTGGTCCTCTGATCAGGATTTGCTGGTTGTCTCTTGCACCAGACTTAAAACTAGGAGGTGCTGGATGGCAGAGGTAGAAGAATGCCTGACATGCATTTATAGAATCGTCATGACTGTGAATTCAGCTGTTTTCATGTCAGATGCCAATTTGAGATATCATATGATTTCTTTGTTGCAGAAGATGACCACCAAAGGCATTAAACATTAAAATAAGAACAGTTTATTTACACAGAATGAAAAAACAGAAATATTTACTGCAGAACAGAACATCAAAAAGTTAAAGAAACTAGAGGACAATTTTCAGGGCAACAAAATCAATCATTCAGATAAAGTCGAGCATTTTTCTGCTGTTTTTACCATCAGTTGGAGCTCCATAAATCAGATAAATACTCGTTGTTCTGGAAGATGTCTTAACCAAGTGTCTCAGTCTTTAGAGGTCCATTAGTTGGACTTACAGCTGAATATAAAGAACAGGACAGTCTGGTCCGCAGAAGCCCCCTGTGGTATTATGATAAAATGTTTTTTAAAGCCACTGCTGACTAAAAGACAAATTTGTTTCTGATGATCTCTCCACCCTCCACCTCCATCTGCTCGTAGAGCCACTTCCGGTCACAGCGGCACTCCACTCCACACTTTCTTGAGTCGCACTCGGGGCAGGGATAGAAGCAGCCCATACAGTCCTCGTCTAGACAGTCGCACATGTCCTTACTGTTGGATAGCAGGCGCCCTTTGTTGTCGTAGACTCTGCTCTTTGTGGCCAAGGACTGTCTGCGCACAGGAAATCAAAAACTCACATTACTCATCATATCTTACTTTCTCTTTGTATAACATGTAAAGTTACACAGAGAGAGATTTCTTTTTTACATTTTAAAACTTATAAGTGATTTGTAAATAAGGCACTCAGGGGTGGGTGAAAAACTGTGCACAGTTCTGTATTTCATGTCACAAGACAACAGTAAAACAACATTAAGAGGTATTCAGTATCAGTAACATCCCTCCACCCCTAAAAATACTGCAACCCCCACCCATCCTTTCTACCTTACCCTACTGTTGCTCTGTTACTAAGTGTTGATATTCACAGCAGTCTGAACCTGCATAATCCCCTCCTTCACCACAGACCACCAACAGAAGGCATACTGGTAACAACAACTCACAATTCATGGACTTATTTTCTCTCTCTTCAATGATGATTAAACTTAAAGGTTATCTAAATTCTCCTGTTATCATGCTCCTTGTGTTTCGCGGTGGCACTTGTAAAAAACAACCACAGTTGGAAGCAGAATTGACAACTTCACTGATTGTCAAACTTTGAGAAATAAAACTGTCTGGACCTGGCAGCAGTGTTCAGTTTGTGGCTTACAGAATAACAGACACCTTTATAAATCACTTCTAAAACTCACTTTTACTGCAGCGTGTACGTCTCCTCTATTAATGGCTTCTTGCATCGCCCGTCTTTGACTCCTATTTATCAGTTTCTAAACCTTCTTCGAAGTCATGGTCTTGGCAACCTTTGCTGCTTACTTATACTTATTTACAGCTAACTTTAATTAGTCTGTTTTTATATTTAATGTGCTTGTATTCTTGTGGATTTGATGTTTTCTTCTCATAAAATTGAGAATCTTTCTGTATCTTTCATTACTGTTATTCTGTTTAAAACAAATGTAATAGTTTTGCCTTTATTAAGTGCCATTGGAGACAGCTTTATCACCTTTATTCCTTTTATCTATTTTGAGCTTCTGTTGATCTTCAACGTTGCATCTTATTCTTGCTATCTGTTGAATCATGATGGAGTCAGATGAAGCTCATTTTGCAGAAAGGATCAGTAACTGTCCTCACACAAATATATTCGGTGCCTGAGCCAAACAACTTCATCTGGGAGGAGCTGTATGTTGAAATGGCCTCACTGCTTCAGAGGGCAGACATTAGTTTCACTGAGATAAGGAGGTGGAAGTCCAAAATGAAATACATCAATCATACAAATCACCAACGCTACAATAAGGGCAAGAAACACAGTAGTCTCACCTGTCATTAAACTGTTTTCCTCCACGGCTTCCTCGCCCACCCTGTGACAAAATAATCAAGTATGTTAAAGGTTAATCATCAACAGTTCAGAAAGTGAACAAATGGTCTGTGAATTCAACCTCTAATTTATGACAGCACAGAGATCGCTTTTCTTGAAAGAGTTCAGCTGGTGAATTTTGGTCATTGGTTTAAGTGCTGAGAATTGTGCTCCTCTGCTGCCACTCTTGGAAAACGTGAAAAAACTCTGACAGTCTGATCACACAGTGTACAGTCTAATCTATAAAAGATGCTGTGAGTTTGGTCATTAACACACAGGGTTGTTGCTTCATGCACCAAAATGACACCAAATTGATCCAAATGTAAGATGACCCTGAAAGAGTGACAACCCTCTTGAGAAAGGAAAAGAGCAATTCTTATCTCTACAAATACAATTGTTATTAAAACCCAATAGTTTATTGAAGATACTGCAAAGACAACATATTATTTGTTTTCTCATGTATACTTATTTTAAATTTAATACAAGCAAAACATATCTTGCAATGTAATCACTAAACCCCAAATCTAAGCCAAGCTTACTTTTTCATTTGTATTTTAATGAAAAAAAAAAACATTCTCATAAACTGGTCAATATGGAAAGCTGTCATCCAACAGTGAGAGATAAACTCACCCTCATCCCTCCTCTTTTTTCTCTGCGGAGACCAACAGCCTCTCGCGCTCTGTCTCCCTCCGTCTGTGCCGACATCGGGCTTGCGACGTTTGTGTCCTTGGTTACCGCCGCTCTTTTTCGAAGTTCAATCTGCAGATTATTCACAGTTAGTACAAAAGTAACACTCTTTGTCTTATTTGAAATAAAAATAAAGCCTGAGAAATAAGTATCTCTGCATACTGTCAGCTCATACCTTGGAGGAATCCCTCCCATTGTTGAATATTGTGGGCACTGCATCCTCCCGCAGAAACTGTTTGCCGTTGTAGTCCCTGAAGCAGTCGGTCCTGAAGTGCTCGGAGCAGAGGCAGGTGTTCGCAGTTGGGATGAAGTTCTTCATCCCGAGGCTGTGCACCCATTTGTTGGCAAGTTGAGGCTTGCTGAGAGGAAACCTGAAAACAGACAGTTGTAAGCCAGACTAGCCATCACACCTGTTATACTAATGATTTAAATCCTCCTGGTAAGTTATCCTTTTAGAATATTTGATAGTGAGTAGGGGAGAGTGGGGTAAAATGAGCCATTTTTCATATTTTGGATCACTACATCAAGACAATCATAGTTTTGTCTCTAACTATGTATCTGCATATGTGCATCCCTGCAAACCTCATGCCAGGTTTTTGACCTCATGTTGTAGCTCATAGATACCACAATTAATGTTTAAAAAGATCTTTTTTGGTCTGAACACAATTCTAATCAAACTTATGACAGACTAAATTCACTTTCAAGAGTGAAAAATGTTTTTAATGTCGAACCCCTTAACCCATCTTCTAACCTTCACAGACTCCATGAATTGATGCCCATCTCCTAAATATTTGGTCACATGATCAATTTCTTTTACCATTTCTAATCATCAGGGGGTGGCTCAACTTACCCCACTCTCCCCTACCTTGTCAAACCTATTCACTTGCTAAAGGATGTATTAAGTTTGTTTTTCTGCCACCTCTCTGCTCGATTATATTGATATGCTGCGTGTGTATGGAAATGTAACGTGAACGGGCTATAGCACACATTGATGCAAAAAAGTGAATAAAAACTGTAAACCTGATTAGATGGGAATAAACTAACAATCCATCTTATTTGTGATGAGGTTTTTTGGGCTCCAGACTTTTCCAGTCCAGGCCAAATAGAGTAATGTCCAAGGACAAAACCAGTTTCTGACTATTTGATACAAAAAACACCTTGTGTTCCTAGGTCTAAACCAACAGCAGAAGGTAAAATCTGAATTATTTCGGTCTTTTCTCTGACCTCCTCCTTCTCCAATTACCGCACAAGCTTCGACCGGTGCAAACTTACCTGTAAAATCGTATTTCTGATCCTTTCACAAACTTGTTGTTGCACCCCGAAACCGCACAAATGACAGGCATGTTGTTGTTTGCCAAAAGCTCTCCAATAATGTATAAACCAGCGGTAAAAGTGCAGAAAATGCGCCGCACGATAGCGCTTTCTCAGATTGTTTTCCTCTCTTCTTCTTCGTCGGTAAAGAAAAAAAAGTTGCTATTTCCGCGTCCGGTTTCGTCTTTGGAGACTCTGTCCTCTAGCGGCGGCTTGGGTGACACATTTTTTTATTGGGTTGTGCAGTATATAATCATAGACTTTCAAAGGCAAGGGGTCTTTTTTACATACATGGACACATCATTGACTGCTCTTTTTCAAAGGCGAGAAATGAAATGACATTTTTCTGCAAACAGTTTTTAAAGGATGTTCCCTTTAAAATGGAGAAGCTGGAGTAATTAGCTACAGCCTCTAAAAGCTAAAAGGATACTGACCCATGCAAAAGACTTCTACAGTTTAAGCTGAGTATTGATCTCAATTAATGCACATTGTTACTCTAGAAGTGAGAGAGATGATCACTATTTATTTTCTTGTTATCCATTCAGTTTACTTTGGATGGATTTCTATGTGTGCATTACGGTAAAATATGAAAATACCAACCCTGAATTTTAGTGTAAAGTGTAAAATTTTCTTCAATAACTTTATTATTATAGCTATTTTTTCTTATTACATAAATGTAAATGGCAAAACACTGCACCACATTTCCTTCCTTTTGTAAAAGAGCTTTGTATATTCTCAAAGTCTTTTTATTTTATTAAACAAAAAAACCCTTTATCTATATGATATGTGTGTAGTTATTGTGGGATACAGACATGACATATGGTCAATTTAGCCTAACAATATAATAAAGCAGTGAACCTGTGTGGAGGTAAGCAGAAAGGGAGTAAAGTGACCTAACTTCAGCTCTGTGGGCTCTGGCTGTACTCAGTCTTCTGCAGATGTCAGACACACCTCCAAGGAGGACTCAGTAAACACTGTGAGACTAAGGTAAAGATTCCCAAACTATACTATCAGTTTAAGACCCAAAAGAAAAATCTGGTGTAGCGCCAAGCCCTGGTACATCATGAATCCCCAAATCCTCTTCATTCTTTTACTGATGATAAAAAGAATCAAACCAGGAAAAAGAGAGCAATGTAATACATTAATTAAATATAGAAAAAGCTTCATGTACCACTCCACTTCCTCATCTCTCCTTCCCTCTATCTTGTTTTCTTTCTCTCCCCCTGCCCTCTCTCGTACTCCTCTCCCTCTCTCCCCCTATCTCTCTGTATTCTTCCCCAACCCAGCAGCGGCCTGCTGGCTGTCTAGCATGAGTCTGGTTCTACCCAAGGTTTCTGCCTGCTAAAAGGAAGTTTTTCCTTGCCACTGTCACTCCTGTTAGATGAGATGGGCCAAACCCCACCATAGGTTGAGTCCTGATAATTCATCAAACAATGAGTGTGGTCTAGACCTGCTCTTTTTCTTTGGAAAGCGTCTTGGGATGACGATAGTGTTGTTTCGTTCGTGAACGATTCATTCAAAAGAACAGAATCTTTTAAGTGAACGTACCGAACCGAATTACTTCCCCGAGTGATTCATTCGTTTCTCACTTCAGTTCAGCTGAAGTGAGAAACAGCATTGCCAGGCCAGCAGCCGGCAAATAAGGGACCACATGCACCGACGCCTGAATCACTTGGTGAACAAATCACATATTGAACTACACTCTCTGGAATCATTTTTGTCGGACAAAACTACCTTTTTTCTTTACTGCTAAATTGCCAGCACAACAACTTGGATACAATAGGACACAGCATGTAACAAGTTAAACCCGCAGCATCCTATCATTGTTGCTAGGGAACGGTGCATGTTCAGTGTGAATGTTTCTAAATGTTCAGTGAACGAATCACTCACTGACCCCAATTTACTGAGCAGACCTGATAAATAGCATACCATAGGACAGTACACTTAACACATCATGACTTATAAACAAGTTCATTTTTACAAACATGTTTGCCAAAGCAACAGAGCCAAACACTCTTGTCTCGCGGCCCCAGAAGCTATGTATTGAACTGAATCCTGAACCGTTAAGCTGTGTATAAGTTCAGGAGGTCAGAGTTGCAGGCTGCTCCCGCTAAATGAATCGGTAATTTGGTCAACGAATCTTTTGAACGAATCTTTTTGGTTAACTGATTCTAGTGATTCAGTATATCTAAAAGAACTGTCGTGCCCATCACTAGATGACAACTGTTGTGAATTAGCGCTATATGAATAAAATTTGATTGATTGATTGATTGATAAAACCGGCTAGCAACTTGATTTGGGTCCTAAACTTTCTTTCTTTCTTTCCTTCTTTTCTTTCTTTCTTTAATCTTAAATGCATATCAAACTTTTGTTGCTTTTTATGTTGCCTTGAATTTGAATCATTTTGCATTTGTATCTCTTTTACTCGGACTATTTAAAAAATTATTATTATTTTTGGAACTTATAGTGCTCGTTAGGTTTGTTTTCTCCCTAAAGAATTAAAAACGCCTCACGGTTTGCCTGACAGACCCTACTCAGGGTAAAACTCCCTGTGTCCTTCAGCCTGATGAAATCTGTCTCCTGCTGCGCGTGCCGCCTGTAGCTCGAGCTTCCCGGCCCGCTGCGATCACATGATCAGAGCAGCAGCGAGCTAACATGCTAGCTGCTGCGGATGTCAGAGCCGCTGTCAACAGCTACGAACGGTCGGAGTAGCTTCTTCTGACTGGAGAGTTGTCTCAAAGTCGTGGAGTTTCAGGCAAGTGAAGCTTCTTTTTGTTATCTTTAGTCATGTTTGTGGTGTGATGGAGCCCTGAATGGCTTAGTTGAAGTTGTTGAAAGGGAGTTCTTGTCGAGTGCGGGGGTGTTAAGCTAACGTGAAAGATATTGGCCTTGTTTGGATTGACAGTGAAGCTAATCTCGACTAAACAGCCTTTTGTTTATGTTTCTAACGCTCGGTGTTTCAACTGTTATAGCGGGTTCAAAAATAATACTGCTATATTATTCCAGTTTTCAGTAATGTTTACAAGCCGAATATGTCGCTAGCTGCGTGTCTTTGAATAGCTATCAATTAAGTGAGAATAAAGCAGGTGAAATAACTTTACTAGTGTCCGCGGTGAGTCCGCGATTAGAACAAGCTCCAAAAGTCAGACTGTAAAACTTCACTGAAGTATTGACTTGTTATGTTTACATAACACTATTGCGAAACACAGCTAACAGAGCTAACCTAAAGTGTCATTTAACAACCTGCTAACAGTTCACTCAAGCTCATTACAGGCTGGCACAGGGTCCGAACTGAACCGAGTATTACGCTGTTGATCACGGAGGACCGAGATTCACAGTTCACAGTATATTCAGCACATATGCATGAATAAAAAAATGTCAATTTAATGACATTTACACAAGCAATGACCAAATAAAGGAATAAAACTAAAGCAAATAAACTTCAAATTGTATTTATTCTCAGTCAGTTGCAATCAATTAGTTTACAGGGTAACCACTTTTTTGACACTCACTGGTTCTCACTGGTTCTCACTGTTCATGTTTTGAGCACACACACTCCTCTTAAATCACTGGAAGACTTTAGTTTCTAACTCGAAATGCCAAGACCTTAAGAATAACGCATTTGTAGATTTATATCATCAAGTTCTATTTATTATGGTGATAACTTTGAGCTGGATCTTGATTATAGAGTCGACATTTGTCCACCAAAGCTACCAAACTGCACAGGTTTTGTGTCATGATATCCTTTTTATGTCATTTAAGTTTTCATATTGTGAAAGATATAGGATAGGACAATAACACTGGTGAAATGTCCATGAGCCTGAGGTAAATTTGCACGTTGTTGTTGTTATTATTATGATTATTTTTATTATTGAGAGCAGATGCAATAAACAACATTTCAGCAGCTGAATATTCTCAGAGTTCCAGCAATGTAAGAAGTGTAAAAAAGTGGCTGAAAACCTTTAAAAGATCACACACGTGGAGTGTATCTACTATGGACAACTTGGTTCTGCCTCCCGCCTGTATACGGATTTGAAGCCAAAAAGCTCTCGGTATTTCCGGGATTTACTTCATTTCCTGAAACCAGCGTTGCGCAGTAGCGTTGTGCGCATTCAGTGCGAGAGTCCCTGTGATGATGCTCGGCTCAAACAGTGTATCCCCTGGGTGAGCTACGCTATCCTTGAACGCCAATAGGCTGTATCAGGTGTCAATCATAGAAAACATGAACCCCCCAATAACTTTTAAAAATGGAGCTGTACAGAAAAAAGAGAGCTTGCGCACAAACCAGTCTTACAGTAACTACATGTCAACATCGCAACCAGGGGGGAGAAAAATGTATGTTTTGTGTAATAAATTTCGAAAGTTTGTCCACAGCCCCATAAGCTTTGCTGGTGGAGGCGGGATTTATGACCTATACTGCAGCTGGTCACCAGAGGGTGCTGTTCTCAGAGTAGCTTCACCCAGCAAGGAGGCAGACGCTGTCCATTCTATATACAGTCTATGATCACACCTTTATTCTCTATTCCAGCCAACATTTTTTGTATGAGATTGTGATTGATATAATGTTGATTCAGTTTGTTTATTAAGATCAGTAGGGCCTATATTTCTTTACAATCTGAGGGTCACTTGGGCAGCCCCCAAGTCTATAATCATGGCAGAGTTTAAATTACGAAATATTGAGCAACTCTGATCAGGCACCATGTTAATGATGAAGTCATGCTGGTAATGTATACCCCCACTTTCTGGAAAGGATAAAAAAGTTAACTCTCACAGATTGTCAAAATATTTAAGTTTCTGTCTGATATTTCCATCATACATTACTGGTCAGCAAGCCCATGCTGTGGATTTGGGAAGGGTTACAGTAAAACATATGCATGAGTAAATTTCTCTCTATAGTCTCCTGGAAAATCTTCCTAGTCTGTTATAACATTTTCCAGCACTCCTTGTCCCTCATATCACACTGTGGATTTTACAGTCAGATGATCCTAAATTACTCTCTCTTAGCTTTTTCAAGGTTTTATAAAACAGCCTGAGAGGCCCTTTGTGCTTTACCAGGTACTCCAAACCCCTCTTCCTACTTTACTACACCATGCCCAGCTGAGTTAGTCACCAACCCAGAGATGTAGAAAGTTAAGAGGAGAAAGTCTAGTTGGGAAAACATCTTTCTTCATGAACCTTCCTGTTAAACTGGCTTGTAATTGACTAACTTAAATATCATTAACAACATCTGACAATGTTGAAGTTTATATTTGATCTGTGTCACCACCCCTGTAATAGTAACGTATCATTAAACAAAATAAAATCCACCTTTTTCTGCAAGTGATTTCCGCAATGCTGCAATGTGTGTGCACTAGCAGGAATAGGAGTTAAAAGTAAAGATGTCCTGTGATATGACCACTGATACATGAATGCACTCCCCTTACAGCACACATTTGTTTCTGAGGCAGTTAAGATGCCTCAGGCAGCAGTTGCCTTACTGGGACTAGGACTCAACTTAGCTTTTGGTTGTCCTACCAAGAGACAAAGAAGAATAGCTGAAGCAGAGCTATAACCTCCTTGCTAACAGCTACAGTGTGCTTGCCAATCAGTCAGGTCAGCTGTGGGTCTAATGCTGCGAAAGTCATGAACTTAATGTCTTTAAAACAAATGAATTATGATAGAAATCTGCCCTTGCTTATTGATCAAAATAGTTTTTGAATCAGGCTGTAAACTTATTTAGATTTTTCCCAAAGATAGGCTCCTTTGAACGAGTCTGTCTGTGGTGTCCAGTGCTTCTGCAGTCAGCTTCAAAGAGGCACGCTGGGAACTGCAGTTTATAGCACATCAGCATTGGCCTCATTTAAGGCCAGAGACAGTTGCTTGTGTATTCCACACATCACAGTTGTGATGGTCAAACATAGGTTGTTCTGCTAAGCACAGGTCATGTATCAGATATTCCTTTAAAACAACTAATCACAGTTGGCAAGATTACATGACGTTAAATAATCAAATGTGCAGCTGTCCAGCTAAAATTGGATATGCAAACATGTTAGTGCAACTGACATTGCACCAAGTCAAATTTCTGAAGTCAGGCCAACATATTTTGGAGATATACTTAAGGAAAGATTTTTCACAGAAAGTTGGACACCAAAAATGGGTTTAAAGAAGCCAGAGAGTAAATAGAATCAATAAATGAGTCTGAGAGATGCAGCGTTGACTGTGTTTTCACCATTTGACATACAACCAATAACCCTTTGCTAACTTGTTTATTGATTCTTTTAGTGTATGACACACTAAAGGACTCATATTTCTGAATGAAGGTCCAGTAAAAAGGCCATCTTACCACCTGCTATAGCAGAGGTGGACATACTTTAGTCAGTAGATTCATTCTCTCCTCTTACTTGTCTATTGGGACAAGGACAGTAGTCCAATAAAATTGCATAATCGAGCTTTGACTGCAGCTAGACTTCACTGTGTGTAAAAAGTTCAAACGTAATGAATAAATTGATGTTTTTCTGATGTGGCTGGGTTGTGCCATGGAGGAATAAGATTATTTTGAGAGAACACAACATATTTTTTCTGTACCTCTCTTCAGACGGTTTTAGGATTTGCCAGCACTGGGTCCATGATGGAACTAACCCTAATAATAAAACAAAAGTTAAAAAACGCAACATTTATAAAGCATTATGTAAAGTAGAGTGCCTCACTTTAAGAAAAGGAAATGAGATACATAATACCCGAGTGCCTCATGCTTACCTAAACTAATGCTTCCATTCATAAGCATGATTGATCATCTGTCAGGGCATGTGCAGGCTGACACATGCTGCACCTGTTGTCAGTTTGGGATGAATTACATCTACTTATTTTTTTATTGTTTGTGACCTGAAATAATCCCCAAAACAACTCCACCCAAAGTCAACCTGAGCAGAAGTCTCCGGTGAGAAGAAGTGAAAACATCAGGGTGGGTCTGCAAGACCTCGACGTACTGACTGTTCTACTTCTTCTTCCATCAGGGTGTTGGTGGGAACTTTTGTTCATTGTGAGGCTGGTGACTCCTGAAAACACTGACTCTTTGCTTTCACACAAAGTTGTTGCTGATTATGGGAGACCGTTTTTGTCTTTTTGGTGAGAGTTACATCCTTTGGCACCCTGAGACCTTTTTGAAAAGGATGTTTCCCACCCAGTCATGCTGACTGTACATCTACACCAGGGTTTGGCTTCCTTGCATAGGGGCTTTCACGGACACAGTTATGCTGCAATCACTCTGAAACCCATTCAGTTTATTTTTTTATTTTTTTTTACTGATGATAACTGGGGGTCCATTAATCAGTAGGGCCCAACCGATATGGATTTTTTGGGGCTAATGCCGATAACGATTATTAGGGGGGAAAAAATCTGAATTACCGATCGGCCAATTTTTAAATTTTTTTAAATTAAGTTATATATATACTGTAGGTAGCTACAATATACTATATATTGTAGGCTACTGCTCCCCTCGCTGACAGGAAGACCGACTGATCAAATTCCGACCAGAAAAGCGTTTTCAACTACCTACCCCCCATCTTCATGTAACAATTCCAATTTAAACAAGTACATTTCTCAAAGTCAATCCAAGCTAACCTCAGTTTACAGATCAGCTCAAACCCTCTTTGGACTCGGTTGTTGGAAAAACACTTAATTTTTCACCTTAAAACTTCTGCACATACTTCAGCGTAGCTGTAATACTAAAACTAATCACGATTTTCCAGAGTCTGCGGCCAAACAATGTCGGGTTTGTCAGCTGTAGCTAACAATAGCGAATCTAGCACCACAGCCTGTAGTCCCCCTCGCAGGTTAACGCTTAAATGTTTGTGCTGTTTACACAATTCTCAAGTCAAATGTTTATATGATGGTTTAACCTCAGGCTTCCGACATACAACGTTATCCTTTATTTTCTAGATCATAAAACTGCCAAACCCTACCATGCTGTTAAATGGCACTTACTTGTTTACGCCTAGATAGTGAAGCGTTATTGCATTATGTTAGAAGCCAAAGCTGGTAGTCATATTAACTCCTTTAATCAAAGAGAGCAGCCTAATATCAGGAAATTAGCGATATAATGTCTTGGCATCACAAGTCAAGTTTAACTATTCAACTTGTTCCTTTATGAACTGCAGATGAAGTAGTTGATCTGTACAAGAGAATAAACACTTATGTCTTTCACCCAGATGTGAAGCTATAACATAAACAGAGTAGTAGGTTTAGGTGGTTGTAACGCCTTGACCAGTTTCATTATGTTTGTTTGTTAATGGCCTCTGTTGTGTACAGTCCACGTCGCTGTCAGTGATGTAAGGCTGATAAAAGCTGTTAGGTGTAATCTAAGCTTTTGATTTTGTACACTTGTATTGACTTTGTTGGTGGCTCTCATTTAATTTCCAGCGGTCTATGAAAACATGGCACATGGACAAAGGTGACTGGCTGATAAGACACAGGGGGGACATTGGACTTGCACAATGAGATAGCGGCGGGGATGACATGAGGTCACAGGCAGAGTAAAGCTGTTTTACAAGCGGCGAATCTCTAGATTCACCCAATAAAGTCTGATACGTTTGATGACTTGACCCATTGTCGTTACAACAGATTGTAGAGCTTGATAGAGCAAAAGTTGAACAAGTTTAGACCTCTCTGCTGACATAACATTTGATCGTGATTACCGGCTTTTCAGCATGTTAATTTGAGACCTGCTCTGAAACTTTTGACACTTGAAATGCTATTTTTTTGTTTTGTTTCTCATACTGTTTGAGAAACTATTTGGTGCAGGCCTTTACAGACAATACACTCAAGCTGTGGATTACAATGTTGTTATATTTTGACAGAACTGGTCCTTTAGTTGTCTGTGATAATCAGGGATTTGGGGTTAAAATTGGCTGCTTAAATAGTCAAAGAAAAGGACCGCAGAAGCAGAGATCTGTGTGGATTTAAGAGCCCTGCACATGACCAATAGTAACCTCTTCTTGTTCCCTCTTTCACCCTCCCTCCCTCCTCCCCTCTCTGTTTTCCCTCCTGTCTCCCATTGGGCATTGTAGAAAGGGACTCGTCTTCTTTCCTACTCACTCTCTTCAAGAAATCAACTCATTAGACTTCTGTCCAACTAGCCTCATGGGGCTTTGGCATCTTTAAGGAACGTCAAGGCGAGCAAGTCCTCCATCAGCACAGGGATATCGACGGTCTGAGGTTGTGGACACACACGGGCAAGATGAAGAGGCGATAAATAAGACATCAACTCCAGAGGTAGGGTCAGTCTTCCACCATGTCTGACACGAAATCAGTGCTGAAGTTGAACTGACTCAAAGAGGGCTCCCAGTTAAATGTTGTGCTTGGTGATTTAGCCAGTAAAGGTTGTTTTTAAGGGAATTAAACACCAATATGTAAAAAAAAGAAGTGCTAGTTAAGCAGAAGAACATCAGATTTTTTAAATATTTTTCACAACAGATTTGCAGGATCAATTCTCATTTTCAAGTAGTATTGGTTAATATTGCATAAAAGCCAGTCTATCAAATTCATTAGCGCCTCCTGAGTGAAAGCTTTTACTTTCAGCTGCTGCACCAGTAACAGCTTTAGTTTAGTTATTCAGAAGCTTATCAGTGGAGCTTGGGAAATGACTTCTATTCATGCTCTTCAGCTATTCAGGTTTTTTCATGTTTCCTTTTCTTTTACGGTTGTCCCCCATTATTTTCTGAGTCACTCTCTAGCAGGTTTGCTCCACACATAAGCTTTTGATTTACAGAGACTGACAGAAAATGTGGCTTGCACAAGCTGTTGATAAATGTTCCCCTTATACACTGTTACATACAGGTTTTGTCACAATCTATTCATATGGGTCACCAAATTGATCCACATGAATATAGAATCAAACATCAGTCCTTATCACCCTTTGGAGATCCTTTTATTTCTCTGTCACTTTTTTCTTTAAAGCACATTTACCCATGACAGACTGTGGCAACAAGCCTGCCAAAGACCTGAAAATATCTATTAAAGATATAGCTGCCAAGCTCCGTCCATAAACATAGAGCTGTGGAAGTATTTTGTTCTAAAGTGCTTTGTCAATATTAACATAATCAAATAATCATTAAATCCATAAAATAAGTTGGGGGTGTCCCAGAGGTGACAAAGGGTTAATCTGTCCTTGTGCTACCATTGCTTCCATCATTGTCCACAATGTGCAGTTTCTGAACAGCTGTGAAGCTCTTCCCGGTATCGTTTGTTTTTTTGCTATCCTGCCAGCTACTAGCTCAGTGGAGGTAGCATTAGTAGTTGGACCCACTGCCTGTGATCAATTCGCTGAGGCCTGTGTCACCCCTCTCTGCTTGTCATTTGTTGTGTTAAATTGAAGTCTTTTCAATCACACCAGCGCTCCACAAAGTGTATTTACTATAAAGCTTACCGCTGTGTTCTCACAGTTTTGACCTAATGAGGTAGAAAAGTTGTTACAAACTGAGGCTGTTAAACTCGTCTTCCTCACTGTGTTTCCAGCATGCTTTTTCAGAAAAACAAATGCTTGTTTTTTCTGTGGGTTTCATCTTTCGTGTAATATACTGAAACATACTGACATAACTCTCTATGTATCATACTGCTGTACTGTTTGTACCAGTGTATAGGGTGCATTTTATTATTTACAAAACAAAACAAAAAAGGCATTTAGAGTGCCTCCTATATGCCATGAGTTATGGTGAGTTGATATAGACATAAATAACTGTATTGAACCTGCCTTTGTCTCATTCCTATTTCAAGCTACTAATTTGAACCAAACTAAATCTTATCTTGGCAAACACTCAAACATCAACAAATATGAAATCATTGCCCAAAATCTCTTTAATTTGTGTTACATCCTGCTGAAACTTGATATCCTCATTCCAAAAGACGGTAAATTAACATAATAGACATAAAATTGATTGGTTAGCAGGTCAAAATGACTATCAGGCTATCTTAATGTATGTATTCTTACACTGAAAAAACTAAATTCGGATTGTGCTTTTGCTGTTTCATGCACTAATCGACCATTAGGAAGACAAAGCGATGTGCTTCTTTTAAACTTTGCTATAATTGTGCAGGGTTGCTGGCTCAGTTTCCATCGAGGCGATTATCACTGCCTTTTAGATGAGATACTGAACAAAATGGCCAGGTGTTAACACTGTGTTGATTTTTGAACACTACGCCCAATTCCTCTGTGCTTGTTGACTGAGCCTTCTCCCGGGCGCTGAGTGTCAACATGTGCTTCCAACATATTCAATCTTTACTGAGCAAAAGAGAAAAGCAGACTAAAATGAGAAAGATTGAAGAGTAAGCTGGAAGCCTCAGCTTCATTTGCTGCAGAAAGTATGAAGTCATGTAATTCTTTTGTTAAAATAGTCAGACTTTTCTGTCCAGTATTTCTGGAGAGAAAAGATCTAAAAACCTGTAAGATGGACACTTTGTTTGTGAAGTTATTACACTTAATTTATTAACATTTAGGAGGATATATTAGACATTAGAAGTACTCAGAAGTACTCCCAATGATATGATTTCACTTTAAACAATATTTATATATGTTGTTAAGTGTCAGAATAGCTTTCTATAATAAACCCAGTTATTCTTATGTGTTTTTCTCATCTGAATTTTGCCTCTCAGCAAAAAACATGAATTGTATATTTTTAAACTGGGTGTTCCTTCATGCATGCCAGTTAAAAATAGGCTGAAATCACGCATGTGTGTTTGCTGAATCAGTTTCCTGAAATGCATCCATATGAGGCGCATGACAAACTTTCGCTTCTGCTTTCACTGCCAGTTGGCTCAGGCTGTGCACGCCTGTGTAGCAGGATCTGAGCTGATTTCAATTTTTTTCATATTGCAGTCCTTTCTAAGAACGGCATTGTGCCATAGAAGAACATTTTTATTACCCTTTCACGGATGTATCCCAACCATATCCTGGTCCTAAACTATATGCAGCTTTCATAAAGTTACTATAGGCAATGTACTCAGAGCAGCGGTTTGAATTCCTACAGCATTTACTACCCTTAATCAGGCTGTATGTCTTTGAAAGAGTATAACTGTTATGACATAACTCAGGCGCCTTAGGTCACAGCAGAGTCTCTTCACTGTTCAAACAGTTGTCCCATTGTTGAGTGAATATATGCAATAATGCATACATTCAAACGTCCAAATATAGGACAAAAAGAGGTTTTTGTCGTTCTTCAGTTTCTTATCCCAGGGGCATTTACTTGGAAAATTTAAGATTATCATTAGTCATCTACTCTCTGATTATTGTATGAAAAATATGACTAGCCTGCAGTTCAACCATTTTTTAACCAAAGAAGGTCTGATGTAGCCAAACTCTTCTGGGTGAAGGTTGTCTGTGTGAGCAGATTTTGAGGGAGTAGCTTTTCTTTTCCTCTTGAAGGATTTTCTTGTTAATTTACTATCGTAATTGAGTTTAGTTTTTATTGATCTGCAGGTACACGTTGATTTCGTAATGACAAGCTGCTGTGCAGAAGATGTCCACGCTGTCTGTGACTGATATCCCAGATGTTGGTCATGGTAAGAGAAACCCCTTTTTTGGAAAAGCCCGCTGTGTGATTTTCAAACTGATCGGTTAGTTTTATCTCTGTTGTGCTTTACAACAAGTGCCTTTAAGCTCTGGTGTAGCTCTATGCTTTCAGTCCATTATTTATTATTTTGTCCTCATGGCGACATCTTGATTTGCTGTTAGGTCATAAATTTAATGCTTGGCTTTCTAAAATTCAACCTTTGTTAGCACATGACTGCTTTGATTTCTACTCTCAGCAGACATTTAAGATTATGAGCCTCAGACCTTATCTTATATAGCTGGCTGTCGACGGTCACAGCTTGCTTCGTACACCTGTCAAAATAAGATGGAAGGTGTTTATTGTTGACTTTGTTTGTCTCTCCTCTGTCAGATGAGAGTAAGGTGTTTGATGGGGCCTCTGAGCTGCAGCTGGACTGCATGGTTGAGGAGAACAGTGGAAGCACCACAATGAAGCACGACGGCCTGCTGTCGCTGGCTGACCTCTCCCAGCCAGATGACTTCCCCGTCCCCCCTCACAATGGCCCTGCACTGACTGAGATGAGCAGCCCTCTGCTGGTGGACCCCGCGGACATTAAGCTGGATCCAGCTGCCAGTGACACATCTTCCAGCGCCGGTGAGGGAAAAAAACAGCCGATCTTAAACTGTTATGAACAGAGAACTTCAGGGTTTGTGCCATTACATTTGAGTTATTATTGTAATGAGAAAGACAAAGAATTAGCCACAGCATGTGTCCCATTATTCCTCAATTAAAGACCAGTCTCAACATGGAGCCGGACCCTTTATTAAGACCGGGGTCATGTCCATTATGACTGAATAAAATCTGCTTTTCAATTATTGGCTGGGACACTTTCATATTTTTGTCATGGAGAGCGATTTACTGTAAATTCAGGACGATCGCACAGCAGCTGGCAGCCCAGCTTCAAAATGTGTTCAGTGTAACAGAAAAGGTGCTGCCAAAACACAAAAAAAAGGCACCGTTCATACACAGAACAAAAGAGAAGACAGAGTGAATAAGATTTCTGCAGAGAGTGTCTTGTTAAACAGTTTTGTCCAAAAATCAATAAGTAATATGCTGATATCTGTGTGCTCAGTTCAGTCTGCTAAGGGATCATCTGAACATGACAGCTACCACCATTAGTCTGTGTGAACAGAGACTCCAGAGTAAAAGGATTGATGTTAATATAAACCCAACATGTATGAGGCCCTCCTCCCCCGGTAGTAGGAGAGCTTGTGTGTTACCAACAGTTCACTCCTCATCCTTTCTTGTAAATTTTGATGCTTTAGTCACCATGAGTCAAGCATGACACAATCAGTGAGTGCACAACTGTTCTTTAAATTAAATCAGGTTGGTTATCCGTCTAGGAGACTTTTATGATGTCTGTTTTCAGCCATTTTTTTTCAGGATGCTGTTAAAATGAGCATCATTGCAGTGTGTATCTGTGGCATGTCGCTACAGGTAGCCATGTGTGCCTAGAAAGGCTTGTTTGACCACTTTCAGAGACAAGAGTTACACATACTTTAATCCATCGATCATCTCTGGATGTAAGAATGAATGTTCACCTGTACATCTTTAAAGAACCCCAACCGGTCCTCCAAAGTTACAATACACCACTTTGCTTCAACTATGCTGTGTTTTTAATGCTGAGAAGTCAAGCAAAGGTGACCGAAGTGAAGGCTGGATGCTGAGACTGGTCTAGGTGTGATTTCAGATTTATGAAAACAAAAGCATTCCTGTGGTTTGAGAAAGAATTCCTTGGCTATTACCTGTGGTCCTGATGCTTTTGTGTATCTTTTCCTAAAGAGGAGCTCAAAATAACCGCAGAAGTAAGCTCTTCTGACATTTACATTTAAGCTTAAACATTTTTCTTTGAGTTTGCAGACAGTCTAGACTTGTGAGACTTCAGACAGGATGTGCTGGATTTGCATTGTTTGTCCTGCATATGGTGCTTCAATATTTTGCATACAGTGCTGTGTCTCTTAACTTTACTCTGTTTAGATTGGAGGCCTTTAGATATTCACCCTGTCTTTATTCAAATGAACAAAGACATGCAGACATTACCCAACCTCAGCACACATTTAACGCTCTCTTTTGAAAAATCCCTGAACTCAATTCCTTGAAAGGACTGAATTAACTGTTTATTTTTAATGTATGTGTGTATAGATGGTCAACCAGTGAAGAGGAAGAAGGGACCTGCGCCAAAGATGCTGGGCAATGAGGTGTGCAGCGTATGTGGCGACAAGGCCTCTGGTTTCCACTACAATGTGTTGAGCTGTGAGGGATGCAAGGGCTTCTTTCGGCGCAGCGTCATTAAAAGTGCCCAGTACTCCTGCAAGAACAACGGACGCTGCGAAATGGACATGTACATGCGCCGCAAGTGCCAGCAGTGCCGCCTGCGCAAGTGTCGGGAGGCGGGCATGCTGGAGCAGTGTGAGTATCTGTGCGCCAGATGAGTCAGAGATACAGAAACTTTAGATCCCACTGCATTTTTTATACCCGTGGGTTTTGCATCGAGAGTGAAAAATCACAAGAATAAAACAAGATCCGAAGTCAGAGGATTGAACTTTTTTGTCAATATGTGCATCCCTCTCTGACCTGTAGGTGTGCTCTCTGAGGAGCAAATCCGACTGAAGAAAATGAAAAAGCAGCAGGAGGAGGAAACGGCCCGCACGTCCACAGTGGTCACCCCCACCCCGCCGCAGGAAGCAGCTGCCCTGGATCCCCAGCAGCAGGAGATGATTGAGAAGCTGGTGGCCATGCAGAAGCAATGCAACAAGAGGTCTTTCCTCGACCGACCAAAAGTGACGGTAAGTGGACATTTAATACAGTTAGAATTAAGAGTTCTCTTTTTGACCAATTTGTTCATCTCACAAGTAAAGTTGTTTCAGGCATTTTCCCACCATGTTACATTCATTTATTCCCATAGTTTGTTTGCCTAAAAGAGTATGCTGTCAAATGAAATAAACATGAAAACAATTTAACAATTGGTTTGTTTGTGAAATTTAAAATAAACTGGGTCTTTTTGTAACAGGTTGACACTGAGGCTACATACCTTGCATGGGTGGTGGGATTCTGCCCAGGATTTGGCAGCCTAAGGAGAAAAGATAGTGCTAAACTAATAGACTAAATATAATTACTTTTATGAAGCTTTCAGTAGCCATGAAGACTGTCCTCATGTGTAGGAAATGTCATGGAGAATCATCTGTGGTCAATCACTGTTCAGTAAAGATTCCTTTTATTGCCCCTGCTGATCGTCTTTACCCCACAGCATGCTGCTTTTCTGGTTTGAAAAGGCTTGTGTTACTCCATGCTAACCAGTTCATACATTGTCTTTCACATGTGCATCAAACAGCCGTGGCCGCAGAGTCAGGACTTGCAGAATCGTGAAGTACGTCAGCAGCGGTTCGCCCACTTCACTGAGCTTGCGATCATGTCTGTCCAGGAGATAGTGGATTTTGCAAAGCAGCTTCCTGGTTTCCTGGAGCTCACAAGGGAGGACCAGATTGCTCTCCTTAAGACATCTACCATTGAGGTTTGTCACGGTCTATCATGAGACTGTGTCTCGTAGCCTCAGCTGGAAAAGTTTGTTTTACTTTGAATGCAAGTCTTTGTTAGTGTGTATAAGTAGTTTCACAGCAACACTTAATAAAATTTGTTCCAAATGAGCTGTTGGACTTTTTTAAGAAGAAAGAACAGAGGAGACGGTCTAAATGTAGTCATGTCTTAATGCTGTGCAGTTTTATAATACATATCCACTGACTGAGGGTTAACATTGTCTCGCAAAGTTAAATATGTTACTGCCTGCAAGATTCGGCTCACCTTATCATTATCTCTGCAAATATGTTTGGCTCTGTGTTATCATGTCATTCATTTACATGTGTGTCTTCCTCAGATTATGTTGCTTGAGACATCTCGGCGGTACAACCCTGCTATTGATAGCATAACATTTCTGAAGGATTTCAGTTACAACAAGGAGGATTTTGCCAAAGCAGGTAAACATACTCTTTTCTCCTTTTCAAGATTTTTAGTAGATATGAATATAAGGGGAACCTTTTAGCTGAATGCTTGCATGCGTTTGTCACACAAACTTAGAAAACAGCTAAATGAAGCGTGGCTAGACTAAAAAAGTAAATGCTGTTTTTAATTTGGACAAAATGTTTTATGTAACCAGTATACAAAAAGAAGCACTTTGCTCTTGCCCTACTTTCACTGGAAACTACAGACCTTCTTGAAAATAACCTAAAGCCTACAGTGTTATTGCGCCACATTTCCTTTTGTAAAGTGACGTTTGTTTCCTTGTCTGTCTCTTAACTTTCACCTCACTAGGCCTGCAGATCGAGTTCATTAACCCCATTTTTGAGTTCTCAAAAGGAATGAATGACCTGCATTTGGACGAGGCTGAGTATGCCCTGCTCATTGCCATCAACATCTTTTCTGCAGGTCAGAATTGATTCACTAAGAGTCCCCTGTGAATAAAAATATAAATGTTCAGGGCTACACCTGTCAAATGTCAAGCTGTATACAGTCAAAGATGATTGTAAATAGAATATTAACAAGTTTTTTTTTCTGTAACGATTTAGATCGTCCAAATGTACAGGATCATGATCTGGTGGAGAGGTTACAGCAGCCCTACGTGGATGCGCTACGCTCTTACATTATGATAAAGAGACCAAATGTAAGTGCCCAGCTGTTTACGTAACATCCTTTCCTGCGACGGCCAGAATGTCAGCATAACCTGGCTGTCATCATCACAACAAGCACACTGGGTCAGGGCTGAGGTTAGGTTTATTTTGTCAGACGGGCAGTGAGGATGGGGTTAAATGAGTGCAAAAGGAGAATGGCTGTTTGATGTGACTGTTTACTGTAATGCTTTTTTTTAATTTTACTTCTGACCAACTGAACTCTCTTCACATTGTTTGTGCTTCATGGAAGCAGCTCAGTGTTACTGTTGTCGTTCTTAATAACAGGCAGATGTAGAGTACTTCAGATTTAAACCAAAAAAACCCTCACTGATAGCGAATGTTGTGGATACAGTCAATTTTTAAATGGAAGAAGAGTCAATGCCAAGAGCATTAATAAACACAGAGCTCTTTTCTTTCACTAAAAACTTGGTTAAAGAATATTATAGTGTAATGTCAGCCAGTTCTAGCATAGAGTGTCACTCCTCTCTTATGCTCTCCTACATTTGCTGCAGACAGTACATAGAGCATCGAAAACAATAGAGTTAAGGCATTTCTATCCTAGAGGAACAATGAAATTTATAAGTCAGCCATAAAATTGTTTTCCTTGTTATATGACACATAACAAAAGTTTGCATGTTAGCACAGAACATGAAGCAGTCCAGACAAATGCAGCAGATGTGACTTGAGTTCAGGAAGTTTCCTCCCTAAATTTCTGTTTAAAAGTTGTTTCCCTGGTTTCCTCAGGATCATTTGATGTTCCCCCGTATGCTGATGAAGCTGGTGAGCCTTCGTACACTAAGTAGCGTCCACTCAGAGCAGGTTTTCGCCCTTCGCCTCCAAGACAAGAAGCTTCCCCCACTGCTCTCTGAAATCTGGGACGTCAATGAGTGACTGCAAACCTGACGTCCCTCTCCGTCTCCGTGAAGGCTGAGACAGACCTGGCACCGGGCAGAAATAGGAAGAAAACAGACTCCTTCTGGTCCATCTGGTCAGGGATTGGTTATTGCATTTGAGTTTTTTTTTTCTGGTGGGAGGGGAGCAACACTGCCCTTTGCTCTCAAACAGACTGCTGAACAGTTTGAGTTCATGAGGACAAAAATGGACATCCTAGTTTTCTTTGAGCCTTTCGTTGTTTTTTTTGAGATGCTGATATATTTGGCAAAATTGAATACCAGCATCAGGCTCTATAGCCAGTTATTTCTGAGTTAATATTTGTTGACGGTTATGATCTCTAGTGCAGTTCTGAACTCCTCTTTTCATGATTAGAATCAAACCTCTGAGCAGGTCTTAGCTGTGGCCGCTTCAAACGCCAGATTTACAGCTGCACATTCAGTTGAAATTGTGATTTTTGCAGTCGTGCAATAAGTGGAAATGGATGCAGAGCTAAGCATGAGCAGACCCGGATCTGCTTTTCACTTTCTTGATGTTAGGATAAAAATGTAGACCATCTGGTTGGGATTGTGCATTGTACAATGGCATGAACTAGCTTGTGTTCCTTTTGGAGTAACTGCAGAAATTGATGGGTTGGTGTAGTCGCTCAGGTAAAGTAATGTGAAGTAGACCTCTGGGATCTAGAGGCTTCTTTAATTTCTATACATTAGTTTTCTTCCAAGTGCATAAGGGGCCCTTTTGGTCATTTGTAGATGCCCATTAACTTTCATGTAAAATTGTATATTTATTTTCACAAGCAGAATGTGTAGAGTGCACACATGTAAAGTATCCTCAAGATTGTACAATCACATACTAACGCACAACAGAGTAAAACCCCAGCAGGAGACTGGCAGACTGTCCCCTCATTTACAGCAAAAGGTGATGCAACTCAATATTTTTCCAAGCGGCGCACCAGTACCAAGAGAAGGCCGGTACTCATGTGTCCTCAGATTCCATGTAAGGTTTTTTTTGTTTTTTTTTAAGTGAATAAAACCATACTGACAAAGTTGTGTTCAGAGATCATACTAGAAACAATTTCCTCTATTAACTTTTTTTGTTTATGTAAAATGTACTTCTATTCATTTCATTACAAACAAGTACGGTTATGTTTTTTTTTTTTTTTTTTTCAATTTCATAAGCTTTCAAAGTTGGGAGAAATGTATCAGCAACAAACCTGTTGTCTGGACAAGATTTAGCATTTTTCAGCAGCCTTTTATTTTTGATAATCTACCTAATGAATGATTCTGAAGACAAGAACTGAATTCCAGATGAAAAACTAGAGCAACTTAATAGTCGTCCACAGTCCTGAGTATTTCCCATGAACAGGTACTCGACACCAACAGCTTTAACCGGTTAGATTTTGGAAAGTCTTACTAAAAACTGTACCAAAATCAACAAAACCATGAAGCACAGAACAACAGAAACTGAGTAGAAAGAATAATAAACTTTATAACAACAGAGATGCTGTGTTTTTCATGAATTCTACTGTGCAGTGTAAACTTGAAATATATTACAGATGGTGTACGAATGTCAATGCAAAATCTTAACTTTGCACATGTTTGACCATTTCCAGGTATCACCATTGATTGATTTTTTTTTTTTGTTAAAAATGTGGATGTTCATTATCTGGTTTGACTTGACATAAACAGTTTAACCATTTCAGCTTTTTACCACCAGATGAAGGCATTATTTGACTGTTTTCCAACGTTTTCAGATATCCGTTTTCTTGTAAACTAAATTTTGAAGGTAAACATTTAAGCAAAGATGGGACATTGACTCTTTGCATACAGACAAAAACAGGAGTACATAATATTTGAGTAAAGCAGGAACAACTGGCTTCCCTTTCAGTAACAGGCAGGCCTAGTTTTTAATTGATTCTTGTGTATTTAACCCAGAAGCACCTGGTTTGAATCACTGTGTGATCCATTTTGAAGTGTTTAAAATCATCTTAAATGTAATGCTAGTGTGCTGTCTTTTTCTGTTCTTGCATCAAACACTTACTTTCTGTATGACATGGTTTTTATCTGAGTTCATGTCCTGTTGTGGTTCTAGCGTAGATGATCTCTCTGTAAGTGGGCTTATTTTCACAGGCGTTTTACTTTATCACAGAAAACATGCGTATCACTTCCAACTAGGTTGCTAGGACTGTAAAACTAATGCATTAACTTGTAAAGTTATTTATTCTGGTTGTCCTTCTGTGACAAGTAAATTCTAATGCGAGAAGAAATTTTCTGTTTTCAAAGTGACTCAGAGTGCGCGATAAGACTTGAAGTAGTTTATTATTAGCCTCCATATGATTGCAGTGTCTAAAACTGTAAAGGTTTAAAACATACTTAACAATGGAACATTAATACCACGATAATATCTCTTGACTTGTGCAATAGATTTATGGTATTGCTGCAGCCAAATATTAATGTTTAACTTTTGAAAAGGATATGGCACTGTAAACTGGCTCCTCATTGCATTTTACTCACCCTGTCATTTCTTCCAGACTCTTCAATAATGATACTTATCCTTAACTTTACCTCCAACAGGTATTCATTCTTCTCTCCTCCTGTCATGTCTTACAATCTGTCCATCATCTCAGACCTCTGTATCCTGACATGATTATAGTGGGTCATCATTTTGTGTTATCCTGTGATTCCCATTCCCATCATTACTCTGAATGATTAACTTGATATGAACTATGCCATTAACTAACAGCTTCCCTTGTAATTAGGTTAAATCAATAGGTTATCAAGTTTTTATTATGCTTTGTGAACCACAATACTCCATGAAGCTAGTTAATTATGGTTTTATATTTGTTAGCTCCCTGAACGACTGGAAATAAAGATTATTAAGATAGTTATCGAGGGGAAGCCTCTCAGTTTATGGCCTAGTGTTTGCACCATTAAAACATGCAGGTAAAGGTAATAATAAAAGCTTTTATGACCAATTAATGCCTCTCATAACAGCTGGTTAATAGTTAATGTGTGCCCAAATATAAAGTGTTCTGTCTGTTGCACAGATTAAGAGTCAGTTTCATATGTTGCATTTACAGTTGAGAAGATCGGTGATGTATAAATAAACGCTTGACTATGATTTTCGTGTAGACTGGCTTCATGGAGCAGTAGACCACAATTCACTGCATTGTCTCCAACACCAGAGACTAGAGTATAAATGCTCAAAACACAGTGAGCTCCACCTATTGGTTGGTCAAATAAGTACAAACAGGTTGATTATTTTCCTTGCACATTCTTCATTGTGTTAACAGGAGTACAGTGTGTTCTGGTACCTTAAGTATCATCACAGAAACAATAGCTACCAGAGTGTTTTTCTTCCTCTCCCTGCAACACTGACCTGGATAAAAACACCTAATAAGGGGCTGCAGTGAGGTTTTTTTTTCCTGCTGCTAGAGTGAGTGCAATCCAGATTTACAACATTATAAAATGTCCCACTGTTTTTTGCATCATTGCTAAAAGGAAAATCTACCCAAATTAAATGTCTAACTTAATTTCTGTTTTTGTGCAAAAGAGGAACTTCCAGAGGCACCATTGTTTATTCAGCAGGAGCAGACAGAGACAGATATCAGTGGTGTCCTGTTGTTTTACTGACCACATATTGTCTCGAACCTTCAGACTTGATTTTGCTGATAATGAATCTCTTAAAATTAGAGCTTTTTCTGTGATTGATTTTCTTTCATCCTCTAACCCTTGTTTTTAATGGTTTTCCTTCTGACGGATGGATCAATATTAAAAGGAGCAGATTGATGCAGGAGGATGCAGACTTTTGAAAAGCAGTGATTTGTTTTGGTTGGTAATGCAAAGCTTTATTTTTATTCCTTTCACAATGAAATGTGAGGTTTGCAGGTACTGTTTAGTGTGTTGTTAAATGGTGTTACCGACCAATCAGTAGCTATAATGCTAAAAAAATAACCTCCACCGTGGCCTAATTTCATCACAGCAAGTCTGTTCAATGGCGTTTTTTTTTAACAGAATGGTTATCAGGTTGTGCAACACTCAAATGAGCAAAAGCATCTCTTGCATATGCCATGCTGCTGCTGTGATTACAGAGGATAATTGTAGTGTATAAACTGTGATTGACATCTGACCTTATTTAACTCCTACTTGTAAAGAGTGACACTGTAAACATTGTTATTACATAGAAAGGCAAAGCTATTTTAATACTTGCTTCTTCCTGTTTTGTACGTAATGTCAATTAAAGCTATGTCGTAGTGCCAGTATATGTGGTGTCGAAATCAGTTGTTTGTCGACTAGATTGTAAGAAAGAAAAAAAACGGTTCATCACGTTAAAACCTCCATAGTTGTCTCGGCATGCTCAGGTTTATTAATGTAGATAAAATATATACCCCTGAACCAGTATGACGTGATAGATAAATACGACAATGTCAAGGCCAGCCTGTAATCAGTGCATCATTCAACAAACACACCACATATAGAGAACACCAATTTGTGGACCAATTTGTATCATATGTACAGAAGCCCTCAGCAGCCATTAATGGACACATTTCTTCTACTCCATGTTCCTGTGATAATGAGGTGCCTTCAGTTACATCAGTGATCAGGACTTGTTTTCCTGAAGTTGCGTAAGAATTAAACGAACACACAAACAGGTTTAGCTCATTATTGTGGGCAATGGCAGCATGACACCATTGAGTTATCTTTGAAAGCTGGGTTCATTATTTCAACTCCAGTAGTTAACTTGAACCACATAAAAGACCAAGTTAATCCCATCAGTTGACTTCAAGTTTTTATAAGTCGATTCTGTAGTTTATAATGAGCTGAGTGGGACAACTGTGAAGTCAGAGTGACTGGGCTATTTTTACAGCAACGAGGTCTTCTACCAGCAGCAATAATCTTCTCCCACTTTGAGGTGCTAAGCCAAAATACTGCCTTGGTAGGAGTTGACTTATTGCACTGGTAGAGCCAAGGCACTGGCTGAAGCGATCGATGATCATAAGGAATCAGACAGATTGTAATTATTTGGCTTCATGTTGTTTAGCAGTCGATGAGTAGGAGGGAAACTGGCCACATTTCACAACAAAACATCATATTAGATGACTCATTAGCTACTGCTACATAAACACAAGCACAGCATTGACCATTTCAAGCTCAAATTGCAGCTTAACTGTAAGATGATTTAATAGGATGTTTACTTTAGCTGGGATAAAACAAAAGTATCTTGACTTGCTTTCTCAGATTGGACTCAAGTATATTGAAATTTGTGTACAGTTAACATTAAGAATAATTCTTCATTTAAAGAACCTCAAACATGGCCTTGAGATATGGCTGTGGGTGCTTATCCCTCCCTGCTGCAGCCATCTATACCATCACTACATGAACTGCCTGATCTGAGTGACGTTTTCTTTAATTTCAACCATGAACTTGTATAAGGCACAGGTATTATAACACCACAAAGACAAAACTACCCACAGGACAACTTGAGTGTAGATCTTGGTTGGATTTTAGAAAAGTGACAATTCATCAGCTGACTCTGGGACCAAATTAGCAAGGGACATTCATAGAAATATAGTAGGTCAAAAGTGGGATATATGTCTTTTTAAAGCTGCTATGAGTAACTTTGGGTTTGTGTTGGTTTCAGTCTCCCTTGTCACATACATGTGAAAATAGTGTTTTCAGACAAAAATCTAATCCGAACATCTCTAAATGGTAAAATATTTAATTTACTTTGAGTATTTGCCATGAAAAAGGGGATATTTTTTTTACCCTGCTGTCCATCACCTGGTCTGACCCCCCCCCACCCCCACAGCAGTTTCAGGTATTAGGAAATGCTACAGAGAGGATACCAGTCTTGTTCCTGATGTTTTTTCTTGCTTTCAAAGGACATAAAGAGGCAATAGTATCAGTTTCAGTCTGTTTCCCAACAAGTTCAAACCTCCGAACAGCGCCTTCAAAGAACTGGACCCCACTGGTTTTTAAAATGCTGCACACTCCTGCATTAATCAAATGGTTTGTCAGAAAGAAAACTGTTAAAAACGAGGATAAAGAAGATGAAAGAAAATCAATCACAGAAAAGCTCTCATTTTAAGAGATTTAATATCAGCAAATCAAATCTGGAGAAGGAAGGCAGAAGGTTTGATGTGGTGAGTAAAACAGCAGGACACCACTAACTACTGTCTCTGTCTGTTTCTGCTGAATAAACAATGGGGCCTCTGGAAGTTCTTCTCTTACACATAGATGGAAATTAAGTTTGACATTTCATTTGGGTAGATTTTCCTTTCAGCAGTGCAAGAAAAACAGCTGTGGACAGTAGGGGGACTTCTTGTCTTGTAAATCTGGCTTGCACTCACTCCTCTGACAGAGAAAATGACCTTGCTGTGTACAGAGTGTTTTCTTCTAAGTAAGTGTTGCAGGGAGAGGAAGAAAAAACACTGATTACTATTGTTTCTATGATGAATCTTCAGGTACCAGATCATACTGTACTGTGAACACTATGTGCTATTGACACAATAAAAACATCCATCTGTTTGTACTAATTTGACCAACCAACAGATGGAGCTCACTGCGTTTTGAGCATTTATAAGCTTTAGTGATATGGCTTTAAAGGTCAAACTTTGAAATAAGACTCAAGATGATGATATGGTGAATTATGGTCTGGTACGTTTAGCTTTTGTATCAATATAGTTACAGTTATTTAGATATTCCTGATATTCTGAGCAGCCAAACATGTGAAACTGGATCTTAGCCTTTTGGATGGATACTTTTTTTTAGTTTGATGCACATTAACCATCAACCAGCTGCTTATTAGAAGCATGTTAGTGGCTCCTAATTTGTCATTTTGCCAACATATCTACATGACGCAACTTTTAGGATGTAAACAGAGAAGTTTCCCCTCAACAACCTCCCTATCATCCATCATTTAAGGAGGGCATTGACAAAAACTAAATCATTAATAACTAGTGGTGCATCAAGGTGAAAATGTCACTTTTGACCTAAACAGCAGTTGTTAGGACTAAACTTTGAGAAAAAATGAGTAAACACTCAGAGTACATGGGTGGAAATTGCAGGCTAACTCACATTTTTTTCACCACATCTGAGTTAGAAGACACTGACGACAAAAATCCTCCTGAGAGGCAAAGTTTGAGATTAACGTCTTTGGTGCTGCTGTGAAGAGTCATGAAAGAATGATGTGATGAGTCACACTGAAGTGGAGCTCGGTTTGAAGCTTATGTGCATGCTGATAAGCAAAGAGTATTTTTGCTTCAGTATAAAGAGTTACTGTGCATTTTGCAGTGCATCTGCAGTGCATTTTGCATATCACTGTATAACCACAAATGTTATATAGTATTAATGATTTTGCATACTTTGCATGGATTGTTAAATGCTTACTGCTGGCTAATGGAAATGAGTAAAAGATATGGCAGAGTAATGCAGAAAACAATACAATACCCAACACATTACCAACAATATTGTTGATGTTAGAATACAATGAATCTGTAATAATCAGTTTGAGAGAGTCACATAATGATATGTAATTACAATGGATAGCATCCTACAATGTATATTAACTCATCCCCTTTCCTGCCACCCACTGACCAGCCTTTTAAAGTGCTGCAAAATTTTATGTCGGAAATGTCTATCAGTTCTTCTGGTGAACATTTTTTGTCACTTCAAGTACAAGTTTAGCAGCAAAAAACTTATAAGAAAATATTGATTTTGAGAAAATTATCATTGATTATCTGTCTTTTAAATTGACTGCCATAAATTGCTGGTCATATATAGTTGCAACTGATATTGATACTTTCTGGACTTTTAAGTGCAAAGCATCATTAGGCTATACTGTAAATCAGCTGATTTATGTTTTTAAAGTACGCCATACAATTTCATTAAAGAATAATAATTTCGATAAGTTATTTCAGTCTGTTTCAGTCAGTGTGTCTCTGTTTAGAGCTCAGACACTTACGAAATAAGTTTGCTATCCAATGAAATGTTGTTATGTTGTTCTGACAGCCACCAATCAGAGTGCTTCGATATCTCCAAGAGTACTTTTTTCATTGTTAACATTAAGTCTCACTGAATAATGCCATGATGACTCATGCAGGGCAAGTTATGGCTGAAAACAGATAAGATCTTTTTATTAAGTTTCCTTTTTTCTACTGTATTGTGATATTGCTACATTTCATTTCTTTATGATGTGTTGAGCAACCAATGCCATTTTCTGGACTTACTGTAATTGTCTTGCTTGTAAAATATTTTCCGGACAAAGATCTGCTGAGGGAGGGGAGGGTCAAGAAAATATACATCTGCAGGTTTATGTTATTTGTTCTCACTGTCATCCTTATATTGATTTGGCTGCGTCATGAATTGTTACAGAAAGAAATCATCAGATGATGTACACCGATGGAGAGATCTACACTGAGGAAGGTGGAGACTATTCTGAAGAACATGGATCACCCACTTCAGAACACCTTGATGGACCAAAGGGCCAAAGGTGGTGGACGGCTCCTCTCTCTTCGCTGCAGGACAGAAAGATTCAGAAGATCTTTTGTACCAACAGCCATCAGACTTTATAACTCTTGTGTAAATAGTAGATAACTTTTAGAGACATATTTTGTGAGACAACAGACAATTGAATATCTCTTCGGGGATTAATAAAGTTATTCTTATTCTTATTTACTTACTAGAGGACAGGATAAAAAGAAAAGACTTTCTTCAGGGTAGATGCCAAATTGACACAAGTCTCAAGTTCCTCACTGGAGCTTTAAACAGCCCCACCTTCCCAAATATTAACATTATAAGGGGGGACCATTTTGTTAACAAACATAAATTTCCTTACTGGAACTTTGAATGGTGCTAAAAAGTGTATTTTTTAATTAATTAAAAATAAATCTTGGATCATATCTTGCATTTGGCTCATTCTAGTTTTAGCAGTTTTATGATTTGATCTAAAGGGCTGGTCTATTTACACGCTGGTTATTGGATAAGGATGTACAGACGCACTCTGTGGTGCCCGAGGGGAGCTCTCTCGGTGGGTTTAGTCAAGCTGCCGTTAGGTCGAGCTCTCAGTATGCGGAACTCCCTGTAGACTGGTGGTGGTGATGATGAGGAGGAGGATGTTATGAAGGCAGGTTGTAACTGACCGAGCTACCCGTTCATCGAGCAGGGGAGGCGGTGGACACGCTCCCCGCATCGTTTTGTTTGCTTTGGAGGACTGAATAACAATATTTCGAAATCTTCACATGTTCCCGATGATAAGCCGTCATATTGAGGAGGACATAAAGCTGATTTCGGACAAACACCGCCGCCAGCCTCCCTGCGTAACCGAGGAGGGCGCACTCCACCCAGGCCGTTGGAAGCAGCTGGCTCCGCGGCGGACGTTAGCAGCTAACCGGCTAATGTAAGCAGGTAAGGATGCTCCAACTTAACATTTGTGGCGCTTGAAATTACTTTCTTTACTATACTATGTTTCTGGCTTTTCTTCTCAATGTTGAAAACCTTATTTTACATTTTAAATAGAACTTATTTATGAGTCAAAACGGCCAAGCTCCTGTTAGCAGCTAGGCAGCTACCTAGCTAGATAGCTAATCCATCCGTGACGTACGAAGCTAGCAGAGTGGAGGTGAGAGGATGCTTCGTAGGGGTGAACATGTAGGACAAACCAGGCCTGATACCTTTTATTAGAGAAACGATAACACTGCTACAAGAAGTCACACGACCAGCTCTCACAGAGCTCTCCGTGGGTTCTGGCATTGCCTCATCACGTTTGTTATTGCGTATGCCGTTGCCATAATCTCAACTGTGAGCTCGTTAGGTTGTAAAATCCCCACTACACCTCGTAATTAACCTCAGCTCATATGGGATTTGTTCCCTGTAACTGACACCCTCTCCTCCGAAATCGGGTGTTATTGTAAACGCACTTGTAAGCCAGCTGAAAGCATCAGTGAGCAGCTGTTGTTTTACACAGTGTCAGCCCAGCCTCGGACAGAAAACAGGACTGATGAAGCAGATAATAGAGTCGTGAGTGTTTAAATGACAACCAGGGTGAGGCATAGACAGGGGCGTGTCCATACTTGCTTTGACCGGGGTGGCTCAACTAGGGCACTGATTCAAGTAGGGTGGTGTGAAGTATGCACCCCCCTTCACCTGCTGTTGTTCAACAAAGAAGCCAAAATATTCATGCAAAGGACACTGATATGCTGTAGTGGTGACGCATTTTGGAGTAAAGGCATGTGCAGAAGTGGTGTAGCTCAAGAACTGATGTCACGCTTCTTCTGCTAATCAGAACACACCTTTGACTTACTGACAAAGCATCAGAGATCAGGGAGCTAGTTATGCTGAGTGGTTCGGTTAAACATCCCATAAACAAGGGGTGGTTCTCAAGCTGGGAGCCCAGGTTAACCCTACATATTACTTCCCTCACTCTCCCAGACATCGATACAGTCCTCAGCAGACCTCATCCTTGGGTCAGTTTGGACAAAATGCTCACAATTATGGAGTAAAAGGAGGGGGTGGAAATTCAATCAATCAATCAATCAATCAATCAATCAATCAATCAATCAATCAATCAAATTTTATTTACATAGCACTAATTCATAACAGTTGTCATCCCAAGACACTTTCCAAAGAAAAAGAGCAGGTCTAGACCACGCTCATTGTTTGATAATTTATCAAGACCCAACCTTAAGATAGGACAGATTTGACCCATCTCATCTGACATGAGTGACAGTGGCAAGGAGAAATTACCTTTTAACAGGCAGAAACCTTGAAAAGGACCAGACTCATGTCAGACAGCCACCAATTGTGGCCTTAACTTCTGCAAGTCAAGATGGTGTGGCTGCACTTCTGCCTTTTTAGGTCATAGATATCACAGGTGTCAACACAAGGAAATTTGCTAATTTTAAACACCAAGAAAGCCACTGTAATAAAATAATAATAAAACGATAATGATAAAACATCAAAGAGCTCACAGATGCAGTAGCTAATTGTATTGCAAAAAGCATGCTACCAGTAAGCACTGTTACATTTCATTTTTTATATCATGACATATATTGATATAGACTGATGTGAAATAAATATATTGGGATAAACTTTTCCCGTATCGCCCAGTCCTAGCTGGACTTTTCACAGTGGGTAGCACCATGGGTGGCTTGTGAGATTTTAAAAGGGGGAGGGGGTAGTTGCAGGAAGTGGTCTTTGAGAAGGGTGACTGTCACTCCTCTCATAGGCCACTTCATAAGCTAACATGATGTAATTACACCGTATCTCATCCCAGCACTAATAATGTTCCATTTTTGTGCTGCATGCCATCATTGTTGTGTTTTACACACTGAGCAGATTTCTGGCTGTTACTCGACAAATCCTGAAGCTTGCCATGTTCGATTTGACTCAACAGCTGCCAGTATGACAATATGACCCAGATACAACCTTTTACAACTCTAGCGCATCAATTTCCTGCTGATACAGTATACAACAAGCTATAAATGTAGGATTTGATGGGAAGTTTGACATTGAACAACACATAATATAAGCGTTTACCCACTGATGGACAGGCAGTTGAACCCCCTTCTTGTTGATGTATACACTTTCTTACTCACTGCAATTCTTCAACAGCTGTTGATCAGAGCTTTGCTATCACTACACCCTTGTACTTACTCAGTGCATTCCAAAACATTGTGATATTGATGTGCCAGCGTGTCATTACACAGCCTCCTTCTTCTCCCCACTCTGCCTCTGTTACTACCTTCAGGGAAGCATCAGAGGCGCAGTGACTTTGCTCCACCATTACATCTCAGTGTGCTACATATTGCAGTTGAATTGTATCAGGGGTGTGTACTTCTCTCCTTGAAATGGCAGTAGAGAAGCGCCTTGTGCGTTTTGCAGACAAACGAGGTTCACAAGCTCAGCAAGGTCTAGAAAAATTGCTGCAGACTTTTTTTGCTCTCAAGGAATATTTAGAAAATGAAAGGAAAGTATGGTGCTTTGTCTGTCAATGTCGAAAAGGCCCCTGCTCCATCTTTTTGAAATCGACAGGGAACATGGATTCATACATCTGTTCAGCGGTGGCACATTACACCCTCGGCTCAATACTACCAGATTGAAATCTAAAAGCAGGAGTGTAAAGATCAATGCTTTCTTAATCAACACTCCATCTCCTCTGTTATCCGTGTAGGCTGACCAAAAACAAGCTCAAGAAAGCGCCTTGGCTTGTCACTGCTCACCCTGACTGGCAAGTACTGTCCATGTTGAGAGTCCTGTGATTCATATCCATCTCCTCTCCATGCTTATATAACCACAGAGTGCTGCCTGCAGACCACTCTGATCACATTCATCTGCTGTGTAAACCCTCATAATAACCTTTCTCTAAAGAGTGCACAGAGCAGCGTTAAACCTTTTCTGGAGAGAGAAACTAGATTTGATACCAAGCTTAATCAGAAAATTCAGTCAGTGCAGTAATATCCATTCTAATCTAAAAACAATGCTGTGGTCCTGCTCTGTCTTTGTGCTTGATGAGTCTGTCTCCAGCTTCACTGCTTCATGAAATAGCCATTTTGGCATTGTACCTGGAAGCGTTCATGTTGCCAGACCTGCATGTTGATTCATTGTCCTCCTGATGGTTTTTGTAAGATAAAAAGGGGGTTGGATCCATTCTGAACAGGCCTAGCCCTCCCTGCGAGAATAAATTAAGTTCTTGGCAGTCTGTCCTCTCTGTAATTTGCAATCGCTGTGAGGGAATAGTTGTTTCTCTTGAACGTGCTCAGAGTTGTGCTATTGCGTTAAAACGGAAAAGCTGTGGAAAGAAGTATCTTGTAAAAAGAAGTGCTTCAACACCAGAGTGTTTACTCCTACTGTCTCTCAGAGAAAGTACACTTAATAATATAAAGTCACAGGCAACAATTTTTTTATTCATGGGCTTGCAAAAGCCAGCAGAGGACTGTCAGATTTTGAGTGCATTTCTATAATTTTATCCAGCATGATGTGTGCTGATGTTAAGCTGACTCAACGAGACATGTTTCAGCCCTCTGTGAAATGCTCTTTGAAATGTGTCATCTTATACTGTTACATTGGACCGTGGTTGCCAGGTTACGCATTCCTCATGTGAACCCTGTCAAGTATGGACCAGCTTATTTTTTGCTCAGAAAACATCACTGATTATTCTGCAACAAAGACCAGCCTTGTTTTATCTTATGTTCTCTTAAGTACTCTCTGATCTGGATTCATGGAGTGTCACAACTTGGGTTTGAGAGTGGATATTTCATCATAACTTTACTCTGTATCTCAGAAAGACTGAAGAAAGAAACAATATGTTTTCTAATAGTGCACTGTACTTACAGTTGTGCATGCTGGAGTTAACTAAAGCTTTGCATACTGCTAGCTTGATAGTTTCTGCCCATGTCTGTTTTTGTATGTTATTGATATGTTTAATGTTGGTAATAGTTTTAGACTCTGTTAGTGACCTTACATTTGTATCACCCATGTTTTGCAAAATTTGGCTTATTGACAATGCGCTAAAATGAAATTGGTGGGCTCATGTCATTTCCCACTTTCTCCTCCTAGTTTCTGGGTTAATATTATGTCAACTCTTAAAAGACAAAATAGCCAAGCTTCAAGCCAATAGCTTCAAGCCAAGCTGGTTAACCAACTCATATATTGTCATACATACCCTGTCAGGTGTGGACCAGCTTAATTTCTTCCCCAAAAAGGACAGTAAGAAAGATTTCTGTTACTGCATTGACACCGTTTTCATACTCATTTGTCAGTAAATATTGTCTGTGTTGGATTCATTAGGTAACTAGCAAAATCTGACCATTTAATCATAACCCTCCATCAAGATTAGTCAGATCACATTTGTCTCGTGTCCCTTCATGGTGGCTCTTCTGCTCACATTTGGAGCTATTAGAGATAATTAGACCCATAATGCATCTGCAACCTACTGTGATAAAGCCAGCCTTAATGTCAGCTGGACACAGCTGCGTCATTCAGAGTCTCTGCCATAGCTGCTGGCGTTAATAACAGCCTGTGTCAGGATGTTCGACTATAGCGTCCTTCTCATGGCTTACATGCAGCCTATTGCAGTGCCCTGTTATCTTTGTGTGCCTGATCTGTTTTTACTGGACAAGCTTACATCTATGACGCATGAAATCTACTCGTCAACATTTGTTTACCACTTATACTCACGCTCAATTGTGACTCTAGGACTTCAGCAGGCAGAAATATGGTAATAATGTTGATATATAGTCAACCCCCTTTTTGCCACAGAAAAGAAATACAGGGTAGTTGTTTCTGTGGATATCACTTACAGAGCTTCATCTTATGCTTATTGTCATTGTCTGAATCTGCCAGTTATTTCAACAGCTGATAGATTGATAAGGTAGTCTTTGAAATGTCAAAAAATTCAAAGATGTTTTGCTGAGTCGAAAGGGACAACTTTAATTTGCTTCCCTATTTTAACATACAGTCAAATTCTTATGCGTGAGAATCTGGAGCCAGCACTGTTGAGGCTTTTACTATGAAATAGTGGATTATTGGATTACAAAAGTGGTTGGTAATATTTAGTCATTTGTGTGATTTACACACAAACCCTAATATTATTTCTTAGCATGGAGAAAAATCATGGCTATGATGAGGAATTCTTTTCAAGCTACAGACTTGGTGTTTCTGGGAATTAACAACCTCTTCTTTGAATCTATTTCTTTCATTAATGGATAAAGCTATTGAGGAACACGCAGCATAACTATGTTACAATCGGTACTGAAGCTCAAACTGTAGAAAAATAACAAGTCTGTCAGGCTCTCCCGACAGACTTAGTGGACTCCCCTGAAATATGGCACGGAAACTGACACCACAGCGGTAAGATGACTCTGCAGCTTGATTGACTAACATCCAAGTTAACAGCTCTTATAACAGAAGCTCCTGTATCAGCACTGAAACAGGATCATGTGCTCTCAAAACATGCACATTCTAATGCATTTTAATTAGGGTTGTTGTTACCTGACTCAGACTGTGGTTCTTTCAAACAAAACTTTGACTATTTGTTACTTTCCCTAAGATCAGCTCTGTATTGATGCCCCTTCAGCCTCCCTGTGTCTTGTGATTTGTCTGAACATTGCAATGATCCTGTATGCTCTGGCTGTCTAAATGCTGATCGCTTTCTTTAGTGCTGCAAGTCATGTTGACACCCTTTTTTAGTTTGTTTTACACATATTGTCCAATCAAATTAAGCCTACATGTGTTTGGGACGTCTGAATGCCAAGTTATTAGAAAAGAGGAGACAGCCTGAGAAACACAAGTTGAAGGAGCCATAATCAGCTGTTTAGCAGCATGTCTGTTTGTTTCAGTGAGGAGTAGATCTGCACATTACTCAGCCATAGAGAAAAAAACCTATTGAGGGATCAACACTGAGGGGTCATTTTAAGACCAGGTTGTTGTAAAGTTTATAGCTGACCATGCTGTTGATTCTGCGTCGCTCTTGAGCTGAACACAAGGACAAAAATTCAAGCCACTCTTTGCAGTGCACACATGCTACGAAATAAAACCTGAACCACAAATAGCAGCTCTGTCTGCTTATCAGTGCAGAGTTTACAGCCTTTCAGAGACCATGAGAACCTCTCTGGGTATATTGTTTGTGTTTCAGGGCGGAGTTTCTGCATGTTGCATTAGATGGTGTCAAAGTATAAATGCATTCATCTTCACCTGATGTTTCACCTCTGTAGGACTGACTCGCCTAAGAAAATATTCTGACACCTTGAGGTTTTCTTTCCGCTCCCTCTCCTGCACTGTGACTAAAATTATAACATCAGAAGCACGTTGCATAATAATAATAACATAAAAATGTATATGAGGCCTCTGCAGACTGAAGCGTCAGGATTAAGCAGTCAGGTTTTAATGCATGTGCCTTGGAACGAAACGGGGAAGGCTTCATTTTAGAACCGCCATTTTAATGCAACATTTGACAATCAAGCAGGGAGGAGTGTGTGTGGAAGAGAGACAGAGACGTCTACTTTCTTCCCTGACTGTGGTCTCAATAAGCCAGATTGCACTCAAGCCGCAAGCTGTTCTTTGTAATTAAAAAGCCCATTATCCTTTTAGAGAAAGGTTAACATAGTCATACATCCAAAGAACAGGTGTTAACAGACAGAGATGTGTATGAAACAACAGGTTGGGTTTTCACCCTGACCTCTGATCACTTTTTTGTGGGAAAGTAAAAAGATCTATATGCATACTAGTACTGTATTTCATTGCAGCTGAAGGTATTACATAGAATACATGCTGTTATATACCACCACCAGTGCTATCGTTGTAATTTTTGCCTGACACAAGCAAATGCATACCCTTTTAATAGTGTTGTAATTTAAAAGCTCCCCAGTTGTCCAGACTTGCTTACATGTCACACATTTTACACCATGATATTCACCGTATCTGTGACAAATTGGTAGATTCAAAGTGGCTCCATGGGCAGGAGTACCCACGTGTAGAGTTCCTGAGATTACCTGTCAGTCACAGGGCTGGAGGGAAATATCTCATGAACTGACGAGTGCCTATTCTACAGAGACTCTTAAGCTGCTTACTAAATGGGCAAGCCTTCACTGAAAAGTCCTAATACCCCAATGAAAACAACCAGGTGACATAATGTTTACAACAGAAATTACCCACAACAATTGCAACTCTGTCCAAGCTTTACAGATTATTGATAACAGACAGGACGGTGTTTCTTCCCTTTATTATTTGAGATCAAATCAACACACAACACTGCTAAACACTGAGGTTGCTGTTGTGAGCTTGTCATATTTGACACCTTTTGTGTTTGTCAAGCATTATCATATTGTCTGCCATGGACTGTGTTTGTTGTTGTGTTTAATTTCCTGCCAAGTCAGATACCAGCATGACATTTCCAACAGAGCTATGTTTGATCCTGAGAAAACCTCTAAAAGCGTTGACTGTCTCTGTCACTGTGAAGGTTCTTTCTTTAGTTTTACTGACGATGAACTGCTACAGAAAATGAGAAATTTTGCTTCAGAAGTAATTATAATAATAATAATAATAATAATGATGATCATAATGGCTTTATTGTTATAGCACTTTTAAAAACAGAAGTTTACAAAGTGCTTTGACAAATAGTCATACAGCACAGGACATTAGCACATGGACATAAAAACAAAAGCTCAGTTAAAACAAGACCTCCGAATTGAAGGCCAATTTCATTTGTCATAAGGAACCAAGACAATACAAGACCCTGCAACATAAACTGAGACCATGAGGACTAACATAAAAACACAAAATAGGTAAGAAAAAGAAATGTAATCAAAAAGGTGGGTTAAAAGGAGAAAACAGGATAGTAAATATAAAAAGACGATATTAATAATGATAATAAAATAATCACAAAATAGTAATGATAGTAATAGTAATGATAAAGGGGATACAAGAAAAACGAGAAAAGAAGAAGTGGCAAACATCACTAGTTTCTTCACTGGGTGCAGCCTCAAAGTAAACGGATATGAGTTTGTATATTTGCTCATTTGTCTCTGGTCATTAGCACATGAAGTGGCTTCCTTATCAGCACATCAGCACATCAGCACAGCATTACACAACATTGTTCTCTGTCAACCACTAGTTTTTTTTGTTGAAATATCTCAGACAGATTTGCTTCAGTTGAGAGGTTTGTTTTTTTAATACTATGTAGCTGATAGCAGCAGCAGCATGGACGAGGAAGGTAAGGGGGAAATGGAGACCTCTGCCAACTTCAGTAGATTTATTGCGCGTACGACATCTTTATAGGTCTTGGCATTTGAAAAAGTCAAAGATTACAAATTATGACCAACACCACAGTTCGTCATGTTTTATAACTCAGAAAAACAGCTGATGTAGTGGAAGTGAGGTTACTTCCACAAATATTGTGTCCCGTCTCCAGACTAAAAAAACTTTTCTTTGTTTTTCTTGTGTTTCAGGTTTGACTCTGTTCCAGGGAACCATCACAATGACTACTGAGAAACTGCTTTGCTGCTTTACTGAGGAATTTGCCCGGTTGTAACAGACATACACCACTGCATAAAGAGGGAACATTAATCCTAGATGCCGTGACATACAGGACGTGGCCAATCCAAGATGGAGAAAAAGAAAATGTGCCCCCGCCTTCTCGACTACTTAGTCGTGGTCGGAGCAAGGTAGGTTCATCATTTGGATTTTTACTAAACTAGATTTGAACTGAAAAAGGAAATAAATAACTCAGGCAGATAATGTAAATAATGTAAATAGATGCTCTAATTTTGTTTTTTAAAACAAGATGAGATCTTTTCTTTAGCAACATGCTATCTTTTTACATTTATTGTACTGCACAAAAGGTTCACGCTAAAAGAGATGCTGTTTTACTGATTTGAACACCATGATGTGAACTTTAAGTGCTCATAACGCAGTACCACGTGATGTGGCATGCATAATTAGAGACAACAGCACATTGTCTCAAACACTTTGGCCGTGGAGGGGGATGGTGATTCACATGAACACAGTGAAATTAGTCAAGTGTCCATTTAGTGACTGCATTTAGAGCCACTTAGTATTTCTACTGGAGTTGTAGGTATTTAAGTGTTATGCGTGAAGGCAATTGTCGTCGCTGTGGGCTGGAATAGTTATTTGTTTAACCTCCCTGACCAGATGTTAACAGCTTGACAAACAAATGATTGGCCTCTGTAACCACAAAACCACATCCAGGCCTTTGCTCCCTCAATTATCCAAAATGTTTCTCTGCACATTTATCCAGTCTTTTAAGCGCCTTTTGAAACTGCATGTATGTACGTGCTGACTGTTGTTGCTTTTGTCAGTGAAAATGCCAAAATTTGCAATTTGGAATATTGTAAACTTTAGCACAATACTTTGACTCAGGAGTTAACAGTTAACTAGCTACACTTAGTCAATCAGATAGTGTTGTGGATGGGACACTTAGATGAGGCACAGAGGAAGACGTGGAAGAGGGAGCCAAAGTAGCACACTTTCATATGATTACTTTCATCTGCCTGAGTATCAGCCGGGTAATCGCTCTAACCCTGGTTTGTTTATTATAGGGGACATGTTTTTTCATAAATCAATGCCATAGAAACACAGTTATTGAACCACAAAGAGTAAATGTTTTTTCAATCAATCGATCAATGATTTATGCACCCATAGGGCCAATGCTGCTTTCAGAGTAAAACAAATATTTATCCCTCTTTCCTCCAGGCAACCAAGCAGTGACAGTGTGGCCCAGACACCTCAGCTCCTACGCCGCTACCCACTGGAAGACCACCATGACTTCCCACTGCCACCAGATGTGGTGTTTTTCTGCCAACCAGAGGGTTGTCTGAGTATACGCCAGCGCAGGGTCAGCCTCCGTGACGACTCCTCATTTGTTTTCACGCTGACCGACAAGGACTCGGGAATCACCCGCTACGGAATCTGCGTCAATTTTTACCGATCATTCCAGCGAGGACATCACCGTGCTCGTGGGGACAAGAGTGGACACACGGAGACAGCAGGACAGGCAACCGGTGACGGATCTGATGGCAGCGGTGCAGGCCAGCCACCCTCAAAGTCTCCAGCCAAAAGTGCTGAGTCAGCACCTCCACCTGCCTCAGGAGGGGAGAGTGGACAGCCAGGTGCCGAACTTAACACTGGCAAGTCCCCACAGCACAGAAGAAACGCTGCCAAGATGGCAGCCAGGAACCGCAACAGCACACTGACCTCACTGTGCATACTCAGCCACTACCCCTTCTTCTCCACCTTTAGGGAATGCTTATATATTCTCAAGAGGTTGGTGGACTGCTGTAGTCAGAGGCTAACCCAGCGGGCAGGGCTACCTCGTGCCACCCAGAGGTAAGGCTGAACCTGTGTTTCCCTGCTTTTCAACTGTGATCTTGTTTCTTTCCTGGTAAAGCATTTCAGGATACCGCGTGGATAATTTAGTTTTGATGTGTTTTCAAGTTTTTAGCAAATTTATACTTCCCAGACAATGAACACTTATTTCTTTTGACATCTCATGACCTTTTTGGTGAGGCCAACCTCAGGCCAAAAGCTGAGTACTTGCATAATACTGATGGGATGCGACTTTGATTTTAATCAAGCCACAACATTTCCTTTCACACCCCCAATTTTGGTGATAAATTGTTAGAAAAACATTCAGTAATTTCTCAGAAATTGTAAGGAGAGTATAATAAACCTTGCAGACTGTGGTTGGGATGGGTGTGTGTGGGGGTGAGTGTTGTTAAAAGCCAATGGCCCATAAAGTCAGAGTTCAACCTATCACGCTCTGATTTTCACCTTGGGGCAAAAACAGTCAGTCCCACATTATCAGCCAAAGGCTCAAATGCCTGTAGCTAAACACATCATGTCAAAAGATTTTTTTATGTTTCTTTTTCTACCTCCGTAGAAAAGGTTTGATGTCACAGTGAATATCAATCGTTATATCCCAGTGTCATTGCCTGATGAGACGGCCCAATAAGTGGACAAAGGGCGAAATCCTCTGACATTTAAAGCTATTTAAAGAATTATAAGTCATTATTTCAAACAAGGATTAAAACCAGGCCTCTCAGAAGAGGATTTTTTTCTGTATTTTGTTAGCAGACAGAATTGACATAAAGGCATTTCCACGCAGAACACGATCAACTGAAAATGAAGAAGCAGCTACCCCCAGTGGAGCTGGAATTTATTTATGAATTATTAAAGAAGATGGACAAATATTGATTAAATATTCTCTACTGGTTAGTTTTTCAGAGGCATCTTTTCATTCATATTAACATAATGGATCACATAAAAATAACCCTCATACAGTTGCTTATTTTTCTTGGGTATCAAACGTTCACAGCAGGATTATTTTACAGATACAGCAAAAATGTGTTGTTTTACCAGTGTGTCTGTTTATGTTTTCAGCACAGCTTACTGCTTTCCATATCCTTCCATCTGCTTCCCTCATTGTCCACCTGCTATGTGTATGTCTGTGTGGCAGAGTTAATACAAGAGCTTTTGTCTGTGGCTCCATGCAGTTCTGCCGGCCATCTGCAGCTTGTGTCATGTTTTCACAGTGTGCTGTACGATACCACACCCCGCCTTGATGGTAAACAGTGACAACTAAAATATCCACAGTTTTGTTTTGAAAGGTTTTTATCGGAGCAAATAATGTAATCCAGAGATGCAGTTTCAGCTTAAGTGCTGTCACGGTTTATAAGAGTAATATTTTTATATATACTAAGATTGTGAAGTCTTTGTCATAAAAAAGGCCCTAAATGCACAGCTAAGAAACATCCGGGCCCCTTTTTATAATCATCGTTAGAGTTTAAGTATGGCACTGAAATAGTGGTGTTATGATGTGCACCTGTTTTAAATAGAGGATACGTGTAGATGTAAACCAGAACATTTTTGGAGGCATGCTATTTATTGGCATAATTCCGGTATTGGAAGATAATAGCTTTAAAATGATATGAACATTTCTAAGTGACGTGCAATCGATGACATCTTACACATGCTAACAGTTGAACGTCCAAGTTTGAGGTAAAAAAGTAGATAGTAGCGGTCCACCCATATTGGTTTCTCATTGATTCATTGATCTACCTCTAATTCATTCGTTCTACTTCTGAAACAAGAAGACTGTCATTATAAGAGTAACAGGTAAATTCTAGTACAGGAGATTTCTGCTGTTAGTTCTGGTACTGGTATAAGCAAACTTGACTTTCAGAACCTTACCATATTGGTCAAAATCTGGCATCATGCCCTCTTGGATAACAGTCCATCAGAATCACTACACTTGTGTTTTAACTGCGCAGTATTCCTGCTGAATTAATGACTGACATGTGTGAAGTATTTTGCTGGAAAAAAAGAGTTGTTTGTCTGAGTTTATGAGCACTTGGGTTGATTGGTTGAGCTGCATGTTGTATTTTCTTGTTTCATTATATTGTGATGTGGGAATATTTGCTTTCCTTCAGTTGCCATGGAAACACAAAAGATTGTGAGTTTTCTGTGATGAAGTTTTAATTAGGCTGTCTTTTAACTCCAGCCTTTGCCCAGTTTGATTGTCAGTCACCCAATGTGGACATGTTTTCTTTCCGTAGTTGTCTATATATAGTTGTAAAAGCAGTGCAGCTCTCCCCACATTGATAAAAGGGATTATAGGAATGTTAGATTCACAGTTAATCTCATACCTTCACTTTTCACTCTTCTGATAGTGGGCTCTAGTGGGTTCTCTTTGTATCATCAAAGTAAAGCCGTGATTTCTCTGACAACCTTGAAATGGCCAATGAAGCCAAAGGCTGCGCTGACCAGAGGATCTTTTTTCCTCTGACATGGTTGGTTGAAATGTGGTGCGTGGCAATGACAGAGAAGGAAGAGAGCCATTGCATAATGGCTGCAAGCGCTTTGTGCCATGGCGGCTCTGACAGATTGAGGTCTCTGGCTGCCTTCGGGTAGCAGCTGCAGTAGGTGGGAGGGCTTCAAAGGACTAATGATTTATCTCCCTCCTTGCCACACACACACAAAGTGTATACACTCTAGAAATGGTTAAGTGGCACCCTGTGTGTGAGGAGTGGAGGGTTTTCAAATCAATAACACAGCAATAGCTTGAGAGCCTCTGCTGTGTTTTCAATCTCATTTGCCCATCATATTAGTGAGTGTTTGTAGAGGCCTCATGGTAGTTGTTTTAAGCGATAAAATGAGCAATTCATTTCATTTAAACTACTTTGCACTTTGGAGTAACTGCTGACTGATATGACTACACCTTATTCATTAAGTCTGGTATATTTTTCTTATTGGTAAAATATTTGAACTTCCAATGTGGTGAGGCTAAATTATGCTATTTGTCCTGTGTTACAAGCTACTTCAGCCACTAATGAAACAATCAGTCATTACCCAGCTAGCAAACATTCCAGTTATATGATTAATAATTTTAATATCTGATGTTCTAGTTTAGTCTAGCTTTTTTCAGGGAATCATTGGCACAAACAAAGAGAATTGAGTCATACTTGAGAGGCTTTCTTTGGCTTATTGGTCCTTGAATTCCCCAGCTTACTCCAAATCCCCTCTTTTGTTTAAAATCTGTGAATTTGGTGGGAGTAATGCAACTTCCAGCTGGCCACTTGCAAAACACCTTAAAACAACAAGCTTCAAAACAAAAAAACACAAATAAAAAATAGTGATTTTTCTTTTTTGAACCACTCTGAGAAAGGAACAAAGCCCTGAGACTACGCTGCCTTCAAAGAGCTGCTATTTCCAGCACTGTTTAAACAAAGTATCTTAAAACTGTCAGATTTTTATATGATGCTCTAAATAGTTTGGACATTTGGTGGACTTGGAAACAAAAAATTGTGGCTGCCAAGTTTTTTTGAGGCATCTTTTGACTTTTTACAAAAAAAATGATCGCAAACCGATTTCAAAACCAAGGTGCACATTTTCTATGTAGCTCTAAAGGAAATTACCGTATGTACAAAGAATTCTGACCTTTTATGTTGTTTATCTTTTTAGAGACACCATGTGGCGTGTGTTCACTGGGGCACTGTCGGTGGAAGAGAAAGGCAGCCAGCTGCTGGCTGACCTGCGAGAGATTGAATCCTGGATTTACAGGTTGTTGAGGTCACCGGTACCAGTGGCCGGTCAGAGGCGTGTGGATGTGGAAGTTTTGCCTCAAGAACTCAAACGAGCACTCACCTTTGCCCTTCCTGACAACTCTCGCTTTGCCATGGTTGACTTCCCCCTGCACCTGCCCCTAGAGCTGCTGGGTGTGGACGCCTGTCTGCAGGTCCTCAGCTGTGTCCTGTTAGAGCACAAGGTAAGGATAAACACAGCATCATCACTCTAGCCGGTTTCTAAGTTATACTTCTAGGTTTTATTTGTGGTCTCATTCAAACAAAATCAAGCCCCAGCTGATTGTTTCAGGGAGAAAGGCCTGGCCATAGCAGGTTTAGTATGTTATCATTGGTCAGTGATTTGTTCTGAGGTGTAGCTGCTCGTCTCCCCCTGCCCTGGAGAAGGATTCTTCAAAAGACCTCCAGAGAAGTGGCCTTCATGCGTCATTTCCTCTCAGGCTTTGATGTAGTGGAGGTTAAAAAAGGAGAAGCTGTGGTGTGTGACTGAAAGTGCAGGCACTTCATCTCTGTTTCTATCGTTAACACTGAAAGCATTAGTGAGGCTGTGATAGATATCCCTCTTTGGCAGTGCGGGTGTTGTGCCCTGTTGTTGCTCTTGGTTTTCTACAACATTGATACTCATTTGCATTTATCCTTGATTGAGCCCAAGCTTCACAGCTTCACTCACACTGCAAAAACACCATACTGCTGATAAATGATGGGCAGTTTATTTGCTTTTCTGCCCTTCAGCTTTTTTGATTAGAGAATATAAATGGACAACCCACGTAAAAAGATGTTCACCCACTCAGAGGGTTTTAAAGGTTCACTGCGCCTCCCCCCTGCTCCTCTTTGGGGTTGATTACTGAAAAGAGAATGTTCACCTGTATGAAATCCTGCCATCTTCTATTCTGTCTGTTCGTTTTTTGTTTGAGGATGAATTCAGAACATCATTAAATTCATTCAGGCTGAACTAAGTGATGTCTGAAAGCTTTCTGAGTGACTTCCTTTCAAGGACTTTTTGCTGCCAATTGAATTTTTATATGGGCTCAGTTTTTCATCGGACGGCCACGAGGCAAAATTTCTTTGTTCACACCTTATACATGCAACTAGGAACTGAACACATGAATTTCCTAGAAATACATAGAAATACTAATTTTTATTTTACTAATCTTATGTATTTTATGTAATTCTGATTTATTAAATTGTACACTTTTTTCAGGTCATCCTTCAGTCTCGGGATTACAATGCTTTGTCTATGAGTGTCATGGCTTTTGTGGCCATGATCTACCCTCTGGAGTACATGTTCCCTGTCATCCCTTTACTGCCAACATGCATGGCCTCTGCTGAGCAGGTAAAATGTACCCTCTTCTATATACTTGTCCAGGATTTAGATCTGTTTTTTTTTTCTTTTTTATAGCAACAAGCTGTACTTTACTGGCGTATCTTCTCCTCTCCACAGCTACTTCTCGCCCCCACCCCCTACATAATAGGTGTACCAGCCAGCTTCTTCCTCTACAAATCTGATTTCAAAATGCCAGATGATGTGTGGCTCGTGGACCTTGACAGCAGCAAGGTTAGAACATCCACCTGGTGCTCTGCCCTTCCCTCTGATCTCAATTCGTTTCTCTATGTCCACTGAATAAATGTTTTTCATAAACTAGTTAAAGAACTTTTTTTCTTCCTTTTCAAATTATTTTTTGGTTTTTGTCTGCAGGTTATAGCACCCACCAATGCAGAGATTTTACCACCTCTTCCAGAGCCTGAAGGGGGTGAGCTGAAGAAACATTTGAAACAGGTAACGAATGCAGTTTGTCTGATGCCTCTTGGGTTTTTAGCAGTTTAACATTTTCTCATTTTGGGCCAGGGCCCAGACTTAAACCAGTGGGATTACTGCTACTTTTTCAGAGAAATTTCTGGAACCCAGTTAGTGCCGTGTCGCCAAGCTATTTTTGTCCCCGTGACCATTAGTAGATTCAAATGTGTAAATATAAACTTCTCTTTCAGCAGTATGAAGATTAGGGGCTTCCTCCTTCAGCAGAGTTGTATGTATTGTAGAAGAGTGTGCAAGCATTTGAAATGAGTTTTGAGGTGTACTAACATGAACAAATGTTTTTCTTTTTCCCTGTTTTTGTTGCATGCTCTAGCTCTTGGAGGTAAAACCAGATCATAGGACCTTGTTACCCAAGCCAAACCTTTAGTAATACTTTGCTGGTAGTAACTAACATGCCCCTCTAACCCTGTTATCCAGCATAATATTGGAATCTGGTTCTGATTCATGGGAACACCTCACTTTTATTTTTCCAACATTGCACATGCAACACAAGTAGACTGTCATGTATCATAGAAATGATTTTAATGATCTCTTAGTGTACTCAGTGTGCTGTTAGTTCACCACGGCTGACCTTTTAGCAGTCATTTGCTGTTGGTAAGATTGCCATGCATCCCATTTTCTTCACAGTGCTTCTGAAAATTTGTCATTAGACTCACATGTTGATGATCTAAGATCATATTTGAATGGGTGCGTGAAGGAATGTTAAAAACAATCTTATCCGCAGTAAATATCAAAACTGGCAGCAATGAATTCAATCTTTGTTTTGAAATTTACAAACTATTTTATGAGACTGACGCTAAAACCCTGCAACATCCACTATTTCCTCACACATAGGGATAACAGAGATACGGCTTTTTAATACAAACATTAAGGTTTTTGGGTTTAGTTAAATTATGGAATAAAAATGATTTAAAAACATGTAAGAATTTTATTTTTCATCTGTCGTCCCACGCTTAAGTGTTAAACAGAATTTGTAAAATACATCAAGGAACAGCATTAAATAGTTTTCAAGCAGCCAAGATAAAGCCCAACAGTGAAGTCAGTACAAACAGAGTTAATTGTTTTTTTTGTCTGTGCTTAGTTGACTCATATTCCATTTAAATTTCACTCTGAAACTCATTAAAAATCAGTGCATAGGTTATAATCCGAACATACACTTTTTTCTTTGGTATGCCTTGAATCAGAGCCGGTTCGTTAGCTGTGTGTGATATGCAGCTCTCTCCCCTGTGTGCGGATGTGTGATGAAAGGCTGGTGTGTAGGAGTGTGTAAAGCCTCAGTTTAGCAGTTGTGTATTTGGAAACAAGCACACAATATTGGTATCTGCGAATAGAGAAAATGTCACTTGAGGTGGTTTACTGAGTATTTAAAGCCTGTGATGCCAAAGCAGAATGCTGTGGATGTGAGAGTCACTGAAAATACTTGCACTCGACTCTGGATGACTCGAATAAATCAGACATGATGAGTGACTGATTTATTGACATTTACAGAAATGGTGATGGTGTTGTTTCAGCTCACAATGAGAAGTTACCATGAGGGCTTTTATTTTGATATAGGCTGTGCAAGTATGGTATCTATGTTTGTGAAAAGATCTGCTGTTGTTGTATCTGTCATCATGGCCACTCCATTGTAACCACTGGACTTTCCAGTTGGTCACCATGGATGGCCTTCATGTGTCTTTTAGCAGCTTGATTCTGTAGGTAAAGTCTTTTTGGTCACATTATTGCTTTATTGTCTCACTGTCCTCCATTGTCTTCTGTCCAATTCTCTCCTCCTCTGATTGTCCATCACCTTAAAAAAGAGAAATCACACAAAAGTCGCTTTTCTTATCTCTTTTCTTCAGCAAATTGAGGAATCAAAAATAAAAATCACAAAAAAGACATCTGTGATTGCACAAGCAAATCAAACTATCATCAGCATTTCTGTCATGGTTTTAGATCTATTTGAGTCTTAATCAGGTGGAACCAAAATACTCCTAATCCTTGTCAGCCAAATACAAACAAAAAAGGAAATGGTGTTGAAAGGAGATCAAGAAAAGCAAAGGAAAGGGCTGAAGTTGTGACCTTTCCGTCATGTGCTGTTCCAGTGTGAGTCACAAAGTATCCATCCCAAGCCTTCATGTGATTCTCCTCGCATCTCTCTTCCTAGTGTCTGGTTAGGTTGACCGTGATCACCCAAAAGCAGATCTTCTCCTCTGAAAATAAGGTTACTCATCTCTCCTCCCATGGAATGTGTAATGCCCCTGCACGGATATCTTCTTCTCTCTCACATTGTTTTGCTTGTCACTACTACTTACCTCCTACTCTTTCAGACTTGAATAAAAATGCATAACAGTGTCACCGAATGTTGCGGACCAGTTTTTTGATACACTGCTTAGCTCTGGCTTGAGCATGACTGAATGTGCGTGCATCTATATCTTGGCATCAGTGAGTGTTCTTACAACCAAAACAAGATATGATGAGGCCAATCACCTCTGAGAAAGTTAACATCCATCAAGATCCAGCAACTAAATGTTCCATTATGCTAAGCTAAACATTGATACTTGAGTTTGCAGCAGTCCCCTCAAGGCAAACCATGCATAGTGACTTACTCCCCTTGTGCTCCTCCTCTCCAAGATGGCGCAACCACCAGAGGCATCAACATTCACAAAAATTACCCGCAGGCTGCTGTGTATATTAAGATACAAAAAACACAAGGTTGGGTGCCTATAATTTCTACTAGCTTTTGTCACTTGGGTAAACTACTGGGCAAAGAGGGGTAATTATTCATATGGAGTTTATTGGATTATCTCTTAATAATTGTTATTTGTTTTCATTGTAGCAGCCTGTGTCTTTAGTATTTATTGTTTTCTTTTTTTAACCCAGAGAGAGGGGGAAAAGTTCACAAATGTCAGCAGTTTTAACAAAATGTTGATGCCGAAAGTGGGAGTGTTCCATCACAGCGCTTGTAATTTTGATTTTGGATCCACTGCTGTGTTTTTAATTTGTGTCACTGTCACCTTTTCTAGGCTTTGGCCAGTATGAGCTTGAACACCCAACCAATTCTGAACCTGGAGAAGTTTCAGGAAGGACAAGAGTTGCCCCTGCTCCCACCTGGACGAGACAAAGCATCACCGTCCTCCACAGAGTTCAACCCTCTTATTTACGGCAATGATGTTGACTCTGTGGATGTAGCTACCAGGCAAGCCATAAATGTTTTTTGAGATGTCCTGATCTTCGGGTAAAATATGAATAGTATAATAATGATGAGTTTAAGATTAAACAAAATATTTAGCAATTCAGTAAAGATACATAAAAGGCTTTTCCAGTCCCCACAAAAATGATTTATTTACCCCTTTGTGTAAACCCTACTTGTTTCTTTTTATACCAAGATCTACCTCATCCTTTTATTTTCTCGCATGTTCAGCCAAAACAAACAAAAGACCATTCAAGCATCTGCACTCATTCTTGAACCTTTTAATTAGCTTATCATCAGGTTAGAACTGGTAATCCACTATTTGTCTCAGCTGTAAGCCCTTTTGCTCTAAAATGCCTGCATTTCTGTGGCGACATCAAACTGTTCCTCTCTCTGACACATGACACAAGAACATGCAGTAATGTCACTGTAATCCTGCTACTTTGAGGCTGCTGCTGTTAGAGTTCTGCCACTTAACCCACAAATGCTCTAAAAAGCTTCATTTTCATCCTAGAATGACTCAGTTTTGTTCTGTTTGAAATGACTTGCATTCTCCTAGTATCTCATCAGTTTTTTTTCAGTTCTCTAGAGCTTGCAGGAATCCTATTAACAGGTGAAAGTCAACTAATTTAAGGGTGGCATGTGATGTACTTGATTGTCTGCCCACCAAGATGTAGACAGCAGCCACAAAAGGGTCACATCTGCTTTAAATAAAGGAATGGGAACACTTATGAGACTTGTTACACAAATGCCAAGAATAATTTTTGTTACATAACAGAGAGTGACAACAAATGACACTTGTAGTCTGAGTCTATCCTCTTCATCCTCAGACTTCATTAAAGTACCTAAAATTTGGTCATCCTGACAAGAAATATGTGTTCATTCTTATGGTTTATATGTGGAATAGCTTATATAATGTGCAGCATTGCCGTAGTTTAAATCTTTTAATACACATTATATATCAACAATAGTTTGAAGCTAAACAAACCTCTCATCTTTACAGAGTTGCGATGGTTCGATTCTTCAACTCTCCAAATGTTCTCCAAGGGTTCCAGATGCACACTCGCACATTGCGCCTCTTCCCCCGGCCTGTGGTGGCTTTTCAGTCGTCCTCTTTTCTTGCGTCTCGGCCACGACGCTCTTGCTTTGCAGATAAGCTTTCTCACACCCAGGCGGTGGAGTTCTATGGAGAATGGGCCCTTAACCCCTCTAATCTAGCCTTTCAGAGGATACACAACAGTAAGACTTGTTTTTCACTCTATTTGTAAAGTTATTGTGGTTCTTACATTTTAAAAAATGTGTCTGGTGCAGCTGCAAATGTATGCAGTATGGAGTATCTATGACTACTCCAGTGAATAGTGAAAATCCTGTACTATAATTTATTAGCTTTTAATTGACTTCTTCCTCCCCAAATGGTTAACATACACAGCTTTGATACACTTTAAAACTGGCAGTAACAGCTACGGTTCAACTGCCGGAAAAAGCAACAGATTTTAGACGAATCATCATCTGGTGATAGCAAACAGCACTGAGGTGTTATAACAAAGCATTTCAGCTGAAGCTTGCAAAATTTTGGCCTAAGTAAGCCAAAAATATTTTTAAGGCAGTGTTTAATTTTTGAAAGTGAATATCTTTGAAACAACTGCTTAAAAACACAAAAAAACTGTGGTTTTATGGCCAAAATGATGATCTTCCCAGCTCTCTTTGGATGTCGGAAAAAGCTGCGTTCATACACATTATATATGTAGTAGCCAATACCTGAGTCTACATACTGCACTTGCTGTTTGGAGTCTGTACCTTGTTCAATTACATTACATAAAACGTGTCGAAGTATGTGTTGTGAATATTATGCCATCCACATTTCTGCCTCTGCCTCAGATGTGTTTGACCCTTCCTTAATTGGAGACAAGCCGAAGTGGTATGCTCACCAGCTGCAGCCGGTGGTCTACAGAGTATACGATGGAAGCTCTCAGTTGGTTGAAGCTATGGCAGGTCCCTTGGAGGATGAGGGCAATGAATCTGACCCCACAGACAGGTAGGGAAGAACACGATCCCTTTATGCATAACAAGTCTACTAAATCTTGGTCTGTTTTATTATGTGCTGTGAGTAGTTTCAGTCTGGCAGCCCTGGATAGCACACTTTTATTTTGTTGCAGTGGTAGTGACAGTGAGGCGTACGACGACTCCAGCTCATCCTATTCCTCACTTGGAGATCTTGTGAGTGAGATGATCCAAGGAGACATCCAGGGAGACACACCAAGTAAGCCGTTTCATTCATTACAATCCACACATTGACTGCACCGCATTTTTATCCTTTCCCTTTGTGTAACACCTTTTAATATGATGTCTCAGACTTGGACCCACCTACTCATGCAGCGCTGGGTGACGCCAGTGAGGTTGAGTTTCAAGACTTTGAGGACTTCAGGGAAGGACAAGGCTCTGGACCATCCAGTGGAGACGGACCTGCGGAACCTTCAGATGGACAGCCTCTTCGCTCAAGCTCCAGCACAACTGCAAGCTCTAGTCCCAGCACAATTATCCAGGGTGTCAACCATGTGAGTGATCTGTTCAGTCAGTGCATAGCTTCATTTCTTACAGCTTTTTTCTTACATTTGTTGAAATCCTACATAATTTTTTAATGACTGATTTGGTCAGGGTTTATATACTTTAAATTTATTTTTTCTATTTATATTTGACTTAAACCACACCTAATACTGATTCAAAGTACAGCTTATGGTAAGTTTAGTTAAAGCTAATTTAGGGTCATGCAGAATTAATCTAGTCTGTTTGGAAGTGATGGAAAGAATGAATGAGCAGTGAAAGTTCTTGTATAAAATGCACAAAGTGGGCTGTGTGTAGTACACTCATGTGACCAGTGTGTCAGTGTAAAATGCAGAGAGGGGTTTTCTATTGTGTTGTGGTCTTTTACCCAGAAGATGGTGCTCAAAGAAACAGGTAACCTCTGTGCCGTCAAAGCATGCTGGATGCATAGTAGGGAAGACAGATCTAGCAGCACCACCTTACAACACCTTTCCCTCCTCACCAGCTTGTAGTCATGCACAGTTGGACACGGTTTGGTGAATAAACCCTGTGGTTCGATTCTCCTCAATTTGAGATGACAATTGACCATCACAGGGAGGCTAATGTTATTGAACCTTACAACTACAAACACTGTCTCTAATATACTCTAAAGGAGATGAGACTAGAAAAAGCTTTGCAGTTGCTTAGATGCTCTTTCACATTAGAAGACAGTTTCAAACCTTTTGCCCTATAGGAGCTCCCCAAAATCTGACTGTGTCTTCTAAACCAGTGCAATTTATATTTAGGACTTACTGCTTGTTTACCACAAGGAAGAAAATCTGCACATTTCCAAGTTAATCAATGTCTTTGTTTTTCCAGGAGCAAGGGGAAGTGCCTGAAATTGAAGCTTCAGCAAGTGCAGCTTTACAGAACTCAGTCCCTGCACTGGGAAATCAGCCATTCCTCAGACCTGCAGCAGAAGCTGGCCTTGTGGATCAAGGCAACAAAAAGCAGGAGTATGATAACCCATACTTTGAGCCTCAGTATGGCTTCCCCTCAGAGGATGATCCTGATGCAGAGGAGCAAGTGGAGTCATACACCCCTCGATTCAACCAGAACCTCAATGGCAACAAGTGTGTTAAACTTGTTCATCACTTGAATGAATGCATAATCATCATTCAAATGGGCTCTCTGACCAAACCATGCAATGTCAATCTCTATCAGAACCCAGCATGTCAGATCTAATCTATCCATTCATGGTGGTCTTGAATCTTTGGTGGTGTTATGTGGCGTGGTGTGAATGCTTAAGATCTCCCCACATAAATCAGCATCTGTCTGTGTTGCCTGGGTTGCATAGTGATGTTTTTGACGTGTTTGTAGGGTACAGCGTCCTCTGCGTCCCAGCAGTCTGAGGCTCCCAGGGGAGTCTGACGGGGAGGGAGACTCTCGCAACAGCTCGCCAAACTCCACCATCTCCAACAGCAGCAATGACGGACTCGGAGGACTCATGTCTTTTGCCAGTAAGAATATTTGAATGCCATTTGGGTTCTTTTCAGCTGAGCCCAGATGGCACAACATAGAAAGTGGGCTGATCTGTGTGGGTGATGATGAATTGCTGCACCAAAAAAACCAACAGTGCTTGTCAGACTTGAGATCAAACACCCAGTTTAAAGGCAGCTGCAAAAGCTGATTTATTCCTACTTTTATAAGAGTGAGCATGTGCTTCTGGATAATGTTGTTTCTGATACTTTTACCCCAGCTTTTCTCATTTCAGTTCTCTCATTCTCATTTCAGGCAATCTCTACAAAAACCATGGCACCAGTTTCAGTTTGTCCAATTTGGCCCTTCCCAACAAGGCAGCGAGGGAAAAAGCAACACCTTTCCCCAGTTTAAAAGGTAGGACAACGCTGCACCTTTCTGTCTGGGGTTCATCGTGAGATTGGTGTTATTGTCTTCTTACTGTCTGTCCCACAACGTATTAGAAATATGTAAATATAAGCTAATTATTCAGGGCATAGATAAGAACTCTTGAATTAAGAGGATAAGAGTTATTTTAAAGGATTTGATATCATTATCATCAACATTTTTGTTAATATGACCCACTCATTTAATATTGTGTTGCACCATTGATTTCATATTTGCAGTTTCTACTCAATAAAAGCTTTTTATCTGCTTAATAAGACTAAAACCATCAACTCTTACAATCTAATTGTAATCCTGCATTAGTCATAGTTTTTGCAATAAACATAAGTGGCACTCATACCCACCACTAAAAATAAACCATAGCTATTAACACGTTTAACGGAAAAACATTTTTTTTCCAGTATATTTTAAAAATACATTATTTTTTCTGATTTTATTCATTTACTTTGTCCTTCTTTGCCTTTTGTTTTCATTTTTTTTATAAAGAATATTTCAATATTGATATTGAGGAGGAAATGGAGCAAGCAGGTTTGTAGTGTGGTTTTCATAGCCTGACTTTCTTCCTGCTGTATTGCCAAATAGAAATGGCACTATTTTGAAGGAGGATATTGAGGATATATCAAAGTTTTTCTCTCAGGAGTAACAGGAAAATCCACTCGAAAACAGAATTCAGAATTGTTTCAGCCATGGTGTTGATAAACCAACCCTTTATGAATATGAAGTCTTTATTTAGTATTATTTTTTTCTCAAAATGTAGATAAATCTAATAATGTTTGACAAATTTATCAGAATGAGCGTATGTATTTCTTGTAAACACTGAGTAAATTTAGCTTACTTTCATTTGGGAGCAGACAATTGTGGAAAATATGGATGGAAACAAGGAGCGAAGGGACTCTAGTCTTTCTTAGGGTAAGGGTACAGATTTTAGTCTTCAGACAGATGCAGGCTTAAACCTTGAGTTATGGACATGAGGAAAGATAAGTAATGCACTACACAAACAGAGCTGAGAGACTATAACAGAGACTGTAATTGGACCTGGGAACAGAGGCCATATTGAATTTGTTTCAACTGGATTTTCACATTAGCTGAGAGAAAAAAGGTGAAGCATGGTAATGTAACTCAATAGCTCCACTCCATGTGGAATAGCTGCCATGGAAAATGTTCTTTTCCTTTGATTATGATGTGTTTTGTCTTTGTTGTTCAGATGCCCCTGACAGCCCGGGTATGTTATGTCTGGTGTGAGAGTTTGTATTAGCCCCCTCACTAGGTTTTCCTTGAAGTGACTTACACCTATATTGAACCCTGTTTATCAACATAGGACTAAGATAGAAGGTGCTTCTCTGATGTCAGTCAAAGCTGTCCCCCCTGTTCCTGAGCCCTCTCCCTCTCTATGTGACTGGTGGAGTCTCTTGAATGTGCTGTGATGCTCACATAACGGTCACAAAATTCCCTCTGTGACCAGTAATCGGTGTGGCATCTGCACATCCTTACACCCTAAAGAAGGATGCTCAGTAACATTATATCTGTGAGCGACTTTCATAAAAAGTTCAGTGATCTGGGTATGTTTCCCACCCGCCTCACCTTCCTGCTTAAAATGTGTGTTTTGTCCTGCTTTCTTGTCTGGTGGCTTCCATTGTTGAGTGTTACCCTTTTTAAGGTTGTTCGTTATACTAAAAAAGACAAACAAACAAAACTTTGAGAATCCTGGTTTGTTTCTTATGAAGTATTTCTGCAGTGTGTCATGATTATCTTTCTGTGTTTTTAACTTCTATCATGCCAAATCCCAAGACAACTCCATCCATCCCCCCAGAGTTACATTGTCATCGTTGAACTGGACTGTTCAGCATTACTCAAGCACTGATACATACGAACCAAAGTATGAGCTGAACACAGCTCCTACTTGGTCCTAGAAATGTTAAATGTGTTTTCAGACACATGTCAATCAGGACTGATAACATCATCAGTACATACTGTCTTATTCTATTTTCTGTCTGCCCTTTTATCTTTTACTTTTTAATTTATGTTGGCGCCATGTTGAGTGTGCATGTCTGTTGATTTATGGGTTGATGTTCAGACTGGTTGTGTCTGGGCCGGTGTCCCTTTCTCTGTCCACCTTTCCTCGGCACTAATTTTGGGTTTTGTGTGCAGTATTTGGGCTAAATTCTCTAATGGAGATAATTACAGAGGCCGGCCCGGGGAGCGGAGAAGGTGGGTTCTGCCCTTTTATCGAGTGAGCTGCATGCTTCTCCAAGCCAGTCAACTACATCTCCCAGCATCCCCTTGTGTCTCTCCTCATTTCAGTCACCATGTTGTGTCATCAAAGATCTAGTGGGGTCTGTTGTCTTATCATGCTGCCATTCATAGTGTCTGCTCCCCCTGCCTCAGACTAACTGTGACTCCACTCCACTTTGTTAAATTAAATTTATGGAGACAGCTCCATCAGATGGAGATTCAAAATGATGTAAGAGAAAAAAGTCAGAACCTGGTTCTACTAAAAGTGATCAAACGTAAAAGCGAGAGAAAATCTTCAGAATACAAACGATACACAAGACTAAGAAGATGTTTGAGATAAGTATGAAGAATACATCAGAAAAAGCCAATCTACCAGCATCTTTTGTTCGTCATTGTTTTGCACCCTGCAGATGAGTATGTGGGGGTGGGGCCCTATCAGGCTTTGGTTGTGCTGCACACAATAAGCAGTGACTACTAAGCAGATCAGCAATGATGATGATGCAGTGTGCCAGCATTTTATAGCTTGGGTGCAGTGTTTTTGATAATGTAGAGAGTATTGTATGTTTGCTGGACTGCTTAGGTGGGGTCAGGGTAATTACCCTGCTGCTGTTGGTTTAGACGTATTTACTCAAGAGGCTTTGTGCGGTTGTTTGTATGTAAACATGAGTGTGGAAAGAGCAAAGAGCTTCAAATATTGATCAGAAAGTGTTCTAAATTTAATTAAATGACACTTAAGTTTTCATTTATCTGAACAAAAACATCTAATTTCACCTTTATCTTCTGGTAATTTGTGTCTTTTGTGCTGTCCAATTATTGGTATAATTACAGGTTTTATATAACAGAGATTTCACGCTTTTTGCATTCTGCTGTGGGATGAATATAACTTCATGAATTCCCAGAGGGAAAACTAGTTTGGTTGCTCATGCACAATAACAAAAGACATAATAAGGACACATGAGAAACAGCTAACAACAATTATCACAGCAGTAAAAACACAAACACAAATTTGTGTTTAAATTTGATCAACCACTGAGGAATTTTTGACTAAATGTGAAACAGACACGGTCCAAACACATGTATCACCAATGAATGTTATATGTTACTGTTCTATAAAGCAGGATCCGATTTTTTGGTGGGAAACACTACCTACCCGTGAAAAGGACATGACTAGCAAAGAGATATGATGCACTTCTACACAAACCAAACATTAAAAATAACATGGACAACATGATCTGTTTACCATAAACGCAGAGAAGGAAAGTATCACATGCTGTTAAAAGTGTCTCAGTTGTGGGCAGAAATGACTGTTTGCACCTCGGCCCCCAACACCCCCGCTGTGCAACTGTAAGCATGTAACACCTTCCTGACCAAAGAAACATGCAGACTAGAAACAGATGCATTCATTTACTTTTAGGAGAATGCAGTGTGCAATGGTGTTATCATGCAAAATCATTGATAATATGAATCTGATCTAAAAACTATTGATCTGTTTCATGCTTATTGTCTTGATAGAGAGATAAGTTTCCTTTATCTGTCCCTCCAAAGGCATTTCAGGCTTCATATTTTCCGCCACCCCCAGAAACACACCAGAACAAATTCCTTAATCACAAAAATTAAGCTACACAAAAATATTGTACTTATTTTGTATCCCACTGATGCTGATGAGCCTCATATGATGGCTTGTTTTGAATCAACAGAACTTGCCTAACTTGTCTGTGGGCTCACCTGTCAGGGAACTCTTTCTTTAAAGCCTTTAATGACTCAGTCTTAGAATTCAAATTGGCTTCCCTGCCATCGCTTGTTACGCAGGTCAAAAAAGGATTTGATCCCTAAGATCAACCACCATTTAAAATAGCAATATCCTCCATTAACCCACTGAGCTCGCCTGGCCACATTGACCAGCTACAGTTAAGAGCTGGGGTCTGGCCAAGACCTGCAGGCTGTCTTGCTAAATATGTTGATGGAAGCCTCCAGCTGTAGAGGCTTGAGTCAGGCTCTTACTGTTTGTTTCCAACAAGCTTTCTTATTTAACCTGAGACCTCAACTGTTCTGTCAATGGTGGACAAAGTTTGAAAGGAGTTTCCTTCTGGTATTCTTAATCACACTTCAGAAAAGCCTTTGGGTTTCAGGTGCTGTTTATAGATTAATGCATGAAGAACAGCTTTGTATCATTAGATTACGAGCTAACTGCTAATAAATTTGACTTGTGCAAACAAAATAACTACATTCAAGCCCCCATGAAATTTCAGCATGAACAACAATAACAACCCCTGCTAACATAGAGACAATACACCCGCCAGTAATGATAGATGTCAGATCAGAAAAGCTTTGTGTTCTTCTGTTGTAGGAGGCTGCTCCTCCTCCATCCTCCAAAGCCTTAAGAAAAGGCTATGAATTGTAGAAAACTTGAGCTCATGCTTCTCTGACGAATGTCAACAGATACGAGTACGTGCTGCACTCATCACATAGTACAGGAGAAGGCATATTGCAGTGATTAGACATAACCTTAATATTTGTGCTTACTCTCTTCAACTTTGACTCAATCCTAAACCTATTAGCACTGTGCCAGCAGGCACAGTGGAATTTCAGACAGACATTTTTAGCTGGATTTTAGCTCAGACTTGGTTGAAATCTTAATCTGGAGGAAAAAAAATATTTGGCTGAATGATTTGTTGTTCTGAATTCATTCAAAGAAGGACCATGACCTCAGTTTATGGTGTTAAATAATCAGCAGTCTGGCTGTCCAACAAGTGGTAGGATCATGGCTGGTTAGGAATTACAACACTGTTTTTGTTCCACATTTCCACTTTCCTACACATTTCCAGTCCTGTGCACACTAAGCAGAACATGACTGTCTAACAGGCAGCTATAGACAAGCATCAAACATGATTCGGATACCTCTGTGCCAAAAGTTGGACTTAAATGCTGAAAAGACATCTCTTCCATGTCCCTGACTTTCTGTTGGCAAATATTTTCACTTTTGAAGTTTTATAGAAAACTGCTACTTTCTGTTATTCGTGCTACAGATTTGCAAATGCAGACATATTTGTCTGAATACATTTCTTGGAATTTTTCAATGAACCAAACCAAAAAGTTTGAGGGTTTTGTTTCCAAAGCATTAACATTAGCTTTAAAGGCTGCAGTTTTTGTGTAGTGGCAGCTCTTGAACTCCTGATATGAATACACCATTAATAATACTGGTATATAACTTGATAAAAACCACATCAAGGGATTTTTCTAGTCCTGAGTTGCTGGAATGAGCCACATCTTTGACCTCATTAATTGCAGAATGAAAAGCCTTCTGTGTCTAGAGGTAATAATTAACAGGCAAATCAGCAACAAGCAATGAAGATAATTAGCAGCTTCATCAAATGCCAAGTGGTTCCTACTGGCGTGGGTTAAGATTGGGTCAAGTCTCCTACGTAGTGGTTTCTGTAAAATGAGTCAGTGATAAATACAATTCCCTTATGTCATGAATACTTTAATTTTCAAACTGTGTTATAATAATTAAAGGATTGATCTGGTCCTGGCGCATACAGTACACTCACAGATCCTGAACATCCAAAAGCTTTAGAGAAACTCAATTAACTAATGAAAATGTCATCGCCATCCGCACACCATTTAATTTTCTTTCATGCATGACATTAGTGACACACTATCATCTGTCTGACCTCACATCTCTGTGCTGCTAATGTGCGATGCCACCACCAAGAGCACCATTTGGACTCCTGTGTGCGTGTGTGTGTGTGTACTGAGAGTGTTTTAATGTGCACCATGTCCCTGTCTGATCTGTCCTTCACCTCTATACTTGTAATAATAGACTCTAGCAGCTGCAATAGTTTGAAGTAGATATCCTTCTGTAGACTCCAGGTGTGTCTGTCCTTTCCACAAAGTGATTCAGCTGCTCTTCCTTCTTCTTTTCTGTCTGATGTTGTACCCTAAAATATAAAAAAACACACACTACTTGTTTGGAAATTGTTTCCTATCCTGGTTTCCTCCTGGTGAGCAAGTGCCTCTGTGTGTGTCCTTTCAACTTCTTGTGTGTGCTATTCTATTTAGTTACCTAATAGTAGTTTGCACTCCTCTTCTCTTATTTTGGTCACCTCTGAGTGTGCCATTCAGCAGCCTTATTGTTGTGGTTCTTCTCACAGGTGCTCGGGCGCCTCGAGCTCTCGTTGATCAGAAGTCTTCGGTAATCAAGCACAGTCCCACGGTGAAGAGAGAATCACCCTCACCTCAGGGTCGTGTCAACAACACCAGGTAATAAATTCTCCCAATTGTAGACCTACTCTTAACACACTCGTCAAGATCTTGCTGTTTGTTTAAATTTTCTGTAGTTTTGAGGATTGAAACAAGCACATAACAAGCACGGTCAGCAGCAAGTGTTGTGTAATTACTAAAAATAAGACTTGATCCATGTTACTTTGATTCAGTGAAAACCAGCAGTTCTTGAAGGAGGTGGTGCAGAGTGTTCTGGATGGTCAGGGAGTCGGCTGGCTCAACATGAAGAAAGTGCGCCGCCTGCTGGAGAACGAGCAGCTTCGCGTTTTTGTGCTGTCTAAACTCAACAGAGCCGTACAGTCTGAGGAGGACGCCAGACAGGAGATCATACGTGATGTGGTGAGACTCTTAACTCTCCTCACACTCTCTATGAACTGATGTGCCAAGACAAACAAGATAAGCAACTCAGCTTGAGTATTAAAAAAAATTCAACATCTGCGTGAATTATTTAATTGTTTTTTTTCCCATCTGTTGTGTTTAAGTGTTCAGCAAAGTTGAATAAATAAGGGCAGCTGTTCGTGTTTCCTCATTATGGATGTCCAGCTTTTTGATCTGGTTAATCATCTTAAAAATGTAGGAATATAGTCTTATTGCATGTGGTGCTATATTTAGACACATAACTCCCAGTACCAAAAACTCCAAGAATATCCAGCTAAGAATGATGTAAGACAGGAATGAGTGAAATCCTCCCTGAACTCTGAAGTTCAAATATAAAAATGTAGGGGGCCTTTTTATCTGTGCACCACACGACATCTTCCAGCTATATTCCATGATGCTTGTTGCATTGCTTCTATGTTTCTTCCATGTTAACATCAATCTTGACTTTATTAATGTGTTTTATTCCCAGGAGGTCAGCAGGAAAGTGTACAAAGGCATGCTGGACATCTTGAAGTGCACCGTTTCCAGCCTGGAGCACTCTTACACTAATGCAGGCCTCGGAGGAATGGCCAGTGTCTTCAGCTTATTGGAAATAGCTCGCACACATTACCAAACCAAAGGTACGTCACAGAAGTAAAGCAGAGAAATGTATACATTAAGCGACTGATTGTGTGATTTGTGGAAAGTACATTCAATCATTTCATGTCTTAAAGACGTAACAGCAGCAGGCCTGTGCTACTAACACTTGTCCCTGTTCTTGCATCGTTCAATAATAGGCTTTATGCTGCATGGACTTCCTAAAGCATTAACTCTGTTGAGTTTAGACCTCGTTGCTGATTGTCCTTCTTTGTACTAATGACCCTCTTTCAGTCTAAACCTCTCCATATTTTCTGTTTCTGTAACTCTGTCTTCGGCACTTAATTTTGGTAACTTGTTAGACCCAGAAAAGCGCAAACGAAGCCCTTCAGACAGTGCTAGCAGCCCTGGGAGTAAAGAGAGTCCTTCTGGTCGTATGGAGACTGCCAGACCTCAGGGCTTCCTGAATGTTCCCCACCTGCAGCTGCCGCACCACCCAACGGGCAAAGGAGCCCGCCATTATGATACCCGGAGTCTGAACGAGGAGAACTTTATTGCCTCGATTGGTGTGTACACCACTCCTGCTGCGGTTGCATGCGCGCTGTGAGATGTCCCCTGCCCTGTACCTACTAGCTCATCAACCTTAATACCAATCCGTCCCTCCCCTGCTCCAGCTGTCTCAAAGAAAGATCCCTTCATTTGCCCCTGATAGATTTTTACAGGAGATCAAATATTCCACCCACCCTGACCTGAGACCCTGGAGAAAATCTCTGGAGAGGCTACAATAGACCTTTACCATATTTGGGTGTCCAGAATATTTAGGATTGCAACTGATTTTAAAATAAAAATCTAAATTCTGATTTTGGCCCTGATATGAACATTGTTATTGTGAAGTAGTGGCAGAGGATGTCTGGAATATTTCCCTGTATTTAAGGCTGGACTGCGTGTTTGTCCCCCCCCCCTCCTGACTCATCTGTGCCCTTGTTTGCCTCTCTGGAGTTTTGTCGTTAGCCTCTTAGCACCTTGAATGCATGTCTTTGTATATTTGGTCTTCCAACACCTAAATCTGCAGTAGTGGACGAGGGAAACCAGAGGTATGTGCACCAATAGTCAAATCAATGCTCGTCTTTGCTGCAGGTTTTCTGCGAGGTGTGCTGTAGAAAAATCGCAGCTCCCTTTGCACTCAGCATGGAGGGTGGAAGCATCACTCCCCGGTAAACAGTCCCAGTAAAGAGACAAAATCACAGCAGAGAGAGTTTTCTATTGGTCACCAAAGAATCAAGTGACTTAAAAGTTCCTAAAAGAACTCTTTTATTGAATTTGATGGAGAATCATTCTGGGTCTGTATACAGGGGACACGTTCAATCGAACCACCCTGACACCTGTCCCACCTGCACCCCTTCTTTTTCCTGTTAGAAGTTGCACCTTCAATTCTACAGAATGCTGTGAGACTTGCATCCCGGCTTCTGCAACTGCTCCATTTCACCTGCTGGCTAGTCGGCCTCTCAACCCCATCCCATGCTCTTTTCCGAATCAATCTTCAACCTCTCTCTCTCTCTCTCTCTCTCTCTCTCTCTCTCTTTCTTGCTCTCTCCCTCTCTCACCTGTGCTCTGGAAAGCCAGACAAATGCCGTCAGTGAAATCAGTGGCCTGTGGTCAGAGCGTGAGGCTGATTCTGACGTCACTGTGTGGCTCTCCAGGACTTTGGTCCAGGAGCTCTGGGTGTGTTGTAATGTTACCTTAGTAGCTGTGTCACACAGCGGTCCAACTGGAGAACAAAATCATTTCTTATTTATTTGTGCGGATTAAAGCCGAGCTACATGCAAACATTACAAAACACCTTTGTTTAGTAATGACAGATTCTCAATGCTTATTTTGTTTTTGTTTTGATTTTAATGCTCATCCACCATACATGCCTTTTCAACCAGCTCTCTGACTCTCTCTCTGTCTTTCTCTCCTTGCTTGCAATGCATCTTGGGTAGAATTGTGGAGCAAGCACCAGGATAAGCAAAAAGCTATGGAAAAACCACAGAGTAAGAGACTTTTTCACACACCAGAAAAAAAAGAGAAAAAGGACTGGGGTGTTCAGCCTGTTGACTTTTTTTCCCCACCCCTTCTCTCCCAGTTTTCAAAGTGATTGGTGACTTTTTACCTGAACCAATAAAGGGGTGTGCTTTTGTTATGACGCTAACATTGTACACAGGCAAAAGAGTCTGTGTTTGAGATCATATTATCAGAAATTTAAAACAACTAGATCATGAAATACAGATGCTCTGTTTCAGCTGTGTACCTGCTGCATGCGACTGGACTGCAGCAGTGTTTCGAATAGTCACATGTTATTAAAAAGTTACTTGGACTAGAAATATGGAACCCAGGGTCACATAATTTCTCACAAAAATAGCTCTGTGAGAAATTAACCCCGTATTTTAGTACCACAAAAGGATTTCGAGTCTGTCTTGGTTTGCTTTGGTAAGTTCTTTCAGCAGGTATTACTACAGTATTTGCTAGTTTCATTCCAAAGCCTTATGTAATTACTGCTGGTTTGTTCTGCAGCTTATCTTTGAGCCACAGCACTAAAGTAAACTTAGAGTATAAACCATCAGGTGTAGTAAAAATAGTGCTCTAAAAATGAAAGTGTTTATATTTTTGGTCATTTTTGCTCCTTGCCTCCACTTTGAACCGGTATATTTTTCACAGCTATACAGTAATGTAAATTTCAAAACTCTTTTGGACGGTTTTAGGTCCTTTTTATTGACAAGTATTGGAACATTGTGGCACAATCACTGGCCAGTGTCCGAGCAATTTGTTTTTGTCATTTTTTTCTTCCTTGTGCACATCAACAAGCAGGTATAAAAAAAAAAGACAAACTCCTGCTCTGTCTCGCTCTTGAATTACATTTTATCTCAGCCTCAAAGTGCTCGCTGCATTCACAGCTGGTATTCCACAGTTGCTGCCACACTTTGGGATTGTATTGAATGGTTTGAAAAAGTAAAGTGTCAGGAAAAGCTGAAAAACAAAAAAGTGTAAGGATGTATTTTTCACCATGTCTGCACCGACTGATGACTGACAAAATAACAAAACCGAAATGTCTCCTTTACCGTCCATCAGTTTGTCTGCATGCCTAACTGCCTGTGTCTGTTTGTTGTTTTTGGTGTAACGAGTCACAATTGCAGCATTGACTGAGATTTAATGTCGCGCTCCTGCAGTTTTTGTTTTCCCCGGTTTATGGCATACTTTGCTTGCCCTTTTGTAACTTCTGCCTGGTCTCACCACACAGTTAAGCAGCAGAATTTTCTACTGATAATATCATTGAATGAGGTTACTCATATTCACCCAGTATGTGAAGCTGTAAGCACTTAAAGGCTCTGAGTCTCTCACCCTAATGTAACTTCACTCAGATGAACAAGGTAATGTCAGCTTTGCTGTGTCACAAGTGTAATGCAGTGTTTAAATGGAGGCTTTGGCACTTAAGCTGGACGTAGCGTCGGTGTTGCTGTGCTGTGTTGGCTTGAAGTAAAGTAACTCTCAGCAGGGCAAGAAGATGTCACTCCCACTCATGAAAGCATGCTGAAAGTTGTGTCTATCTTGCAGGGTCAGACGGATCAAAGCAGCAGCGCCCCCAGGTGGCCGATGCTGAGGAGAAAAAATCCCAGATTAGTGCTGACAGTGGGCTCAGTGTCACATCTGGATCTCAGGTTTGTTTGTAGATTTTTTTTCTCATTGAATGTGTAAAACTTGACTGTTTCTGTAATCTGTGCTCTTGGTTTCAGACTTTTGATGCTTATTTTAATTGGCTGCAGAATTCTCTCTTTGCTCATCCATCTATGCAGAAAAGTGACACGGAGTCTGTAACAAGCTCAGAGCCACCAATCTTGACGAGAAGCACCAGCCAGGACTCAGAGGCCAGCACAGTGGTAGGGCACGGCCAACTTAGACGTGATTCATTTTACTCCACTCTATTCCAGTCACACAGTATTTCAAAGACTTAACTCTAGATCGTGGCAGGGTTTCTGTGGTCCAAGTAGTTTTTCAATGATAATGCTTTGGTCTAATGGGTTACACAATAGAAAGCAAAATAAATCATCATGCAATCTAGTTTGGAGAACTTTGTTCATCTGTTTAAAACTTCATTTAAGTAAAAGCATCAGTGCACTCCATACAACCATAAATCAAGGTAGATAGAGGAGAAAATAGACAGCTTATATGTTCAAAGAAAACAGCTAAAATGACACTAGTAAGATTAAGTTAGACTAAAAATGTCCATGAATGAATCAATAAATTATAGCAGCAAAGGTAGGCCAAGCACCCAGATTAGCTCAAGAGTTAATGAGACTAAAAGATAGATATCAAACCAAATAATAAGAATGTGAATTTGATTTTGTGTTTCACGCATGTCCCCCAATTTACCACAAAAATAACAAAATCAAAAAACAGAGGAGGTTTGTGTAAAATAGTTGGTGGCAGTGTGTTTAATAATGGGGCAAGTCAAACAGGCACAGAAAAATCTCAGTTGGAGGAGTGTTAAGTTGATTAAACTTTGTTTTGAGTTTAGCTTATTTAATGTGTCAGCATTTTTTATACACCTGTTATTCATTTAGCCTTTTTACCTCACTGGCTGGACTGTAACAGAACTTTGAAAACTTGAACCGTACATCAAAACGTAAATCAAACTTAAAGAGTAACTTAAAGTTTCAGAGGATACGCTTTCATATTTTCCGGAACACTGAACTTATTTTGGCTAAACTTAAAAAAATGTTGTAAAAATAACGCACAACAAAAAGTGCACATCGCCTATCATGTGACGACACAACAAATACCCGACCTTCATTAAGCATGTCAGGTTGACATGGACTAAAGACACAAGATTGAAGAGTTTTCCTGTCAGTTACAAATGTCAGGTCTTTTGAAAGTAAGAGTTTAATGACGAGCTCGATCAAGAAAATAAAACTGTTAACCTTTACGAGCTGCCTGCAGACTGCGTGCTATGTGCTCTTTTGAAGCTGTTTTTTTAATCTGCATGTAAAGACGAGCTTATTTCACACCCTCTGCAGGGAAACACTTGCCCTCACTTAGTGGTTTTACCCTTACACCTTGATTTCTATTTTTTAGATAAGCAATAGCTCTGGAGAGACCCTCGGAGCTGACAGTGACCTGAGCAGCACAGCAGGAGACGGCCTGGGCCGAGTTGCTGCTCATTTAAATCAGTCCAGAGGGACCCTTTCTGACAGCGAGATTGAAACCAACCCAGCCACAAGCACAGTTTTTGTAAGTATAAAGTCTGGGACAGGTGGAATATGCATGCTACATCCATGGCAAAAGTTGTCCTTTTAAGTTTGTGAAGACATGAATCATATAAAGAAGTTAAAGAGAATTTAATTTACAGTTGATAGGTTTTAAAGAAAAACATGAAGAAATCCATCTATATTTCTGGAGCGGATAAAAGCCTGAAAATGTGCAAACGTTTAAACCAAAGGAAAAGTCCTCGTGTTTCTTCTGCCAAGAATGAATCCTGCCAGTAACCCTGCACCTTCCAGGGTTGTTTTTTGTTAAGCCCCAATTTGTGATTCAGGAGCGGGAGACCTTAAAATAATCAACACTTGTTCACATTTCTAAAAACTCTGAATGCACCTGAAGTCAGGAAACAGTTTGTTTAGAAATCACCTTCCTCCACTGTACGTAACAGAAGACCATTATGTTGGACAGGACATTTTAACATCCCTTCTGCTGTTTGTCAGTGCCAACAGCTGTCTCCAGACTCTCCACGACTGGCTGCAAACATTTGATCACATCTGACAGTTAGCTGTTTTCCTTGAGTTGTGAGCCTGGACAATGTTTCCCAGTGATTGACATAAGTTTCCAATAAAAAGCCAGACGTGTAGTGTTTTGACATGGGTAAGCTTCTGAACGGAAATAATTTAAGTCAGCTGGTTAGCATCCGACCAAAGAAGCCTGGTCACAGAGCACTGAGCTGAAGTTTAGCAGAGATCCTGCCAGCACAGGGGATCTTGTGTTAAGAGTGATATTACTTCTTATCCAGCTTTGGAAACAAAATGAAAGAAAAAAGACCTTTTTGACTTCCTTTATGTAGTCACTCTTTGGAACTTCCCCAAAACCGGATGACCCTCACTTTTCTCCATCTGGGGCTGTTTTCTTTTCTAAGGGGTCCAGCTAGCAAGGATGCTGCAAGCACAGCTGTCTCATCTCTTTAAGCTCTTTGTTCTGTGGATTCACTGCAAATGCAGCGTTTTTGTAGCTGTGCAGAATCGTGAAATTATGGAGGCTGGAGGTCCTTCCTCATTATTACAGCAGACAGTCCTTTAGTAAAAAGAGGCTGCATCTCTCAGAGGAAGATCTCAGCCTCCTTTTGTTATTTACAAAGATCATTGGCCCTATAATCAATCCGCATCTTTAAAGGACGGCTCAGCGGAGTTCAGAAAAATCTGCATTCCTCGCTTCTACTAAAGTGACTCTAATAGATCTTTCTTTACACATCCTCAACATCCCATGCTGGGAAAGTTACTTGTGCAAATCCCTGAACAGTTTTTCTCTTTAAATGCAAGATTCAAACCCACTGAGAGTTTTTTATTCTTTTTTTCTTAAGATTTGTCCTTTTATAGCATTCACAGTGTGAACATTTTCAAAGATGTGCGCTTCACTACAAAAGCTAAACTTGTAATAAATCAAAGTCAGTTGAACATTGTGCCCCAGAGTTTGATCCCTATGTGTCCCTTTTAAGAATATTTCAAGTATGGGTGTGTGTATCAGGACTGGATTAGGACATTATCCGCCCTGTGATTCTGGATCCAAACAGCTACATCATACAAAACCCACAGGAGACGAGGAGTAAGGAAACCTTATCTTAAATGTCATGCAGACCCACAGATTTCTGGGTTAGCTTATTTTGATCTTGCATACACTTGCTCAATCTGCTTCTGTGGTCCACAGGGACGGACTGCTCCAGCCCTGTCCTCATTAGTCCCCGACAAGAAGAGGAGTGAAGGATACTTTTGAAGTGACAGACCAGTGGCTGCATCCATCTAGAAGCTCTCTGTAGTCTGAATTATTTTGTCATTTGTTGTCACAGAAAATGCAGAACTTCTTTTCAGTCATTTAGATCCCTGCATTCAGTTCATTAAAGGAGAGAGAGAGAGAGCGAGCACGCTGCAGGAGGCTTTTGATCAGTTAAGCACTGCCCTTCAGATGAACCATTGAGTTGATTGGTATTCCCAGAGCCACATGTATCCTGGGGGTTACAGCGTTCGACCGTTTCTGTATGCTGATATGATCAGAATAGGGCAGGAAAGTTAATTTACAACAGGACACTTGAGAGTGCTGCACATAAGACATTAAAATAATACCAACAAAGGACAAAAGAAAGACATTATGAGAGCATTGAAGAATACAAACATGACATGAAAAAGTAAGAGAAGATGAAAGTAAAAACAGCTGGAAAAGCAGCTTAGATGAAACAAGACAGTTACAAAATTAAAAGTTACAGTACAGTGATTCATCAGAAAAATAAAATAAATAGGTTAAAAGTATTTAATGAAAATCAACTTGATAAAAAAAATCTGAGACTTTCAAACAGAAAACTGCTCCTCCGTGTTTAGATCTGATCTTGGATTCAGTGGGCAGACCCGTCCTTGCCTTTTTTTAATCAGACAGCAGTATTTTGATATCTGGGGCAAAAGCAGGTGGTTGTTGCAAAATCTGATGGGCCACTCACTTTGTCTTTTTTCTCGTTCTTACAGGGAAAGACTCATACTCTGAAACCAGGAGCAAAGGAACATGCACACGCTATGGTGAAGGGGCCACCTGTTCAGCCCATGGAGGACATCAGTATGAGGATTTACCTTTTCGAAGGCCTGCTGGGTAAGCTCTGCTGACTCCGTCTGATTCTCCCTCAGTTTGATGAAAAACATTCATGTTTCCTCTCTATGCTTTAATCCAACAATTACTCATCTGGAACTCTGTATATAAAATCTTAAAGCTTTTCTTGGTCTTCTGCATTTCTTTACTAACATTTCTGATTTTTTTTAAAAAGAAGATAAAAAAAGATCCTTTCTAAAGCCTCAAATTCTAAAAGATAAAATCCAAAAAGATTGTAAGTGTTGTGACCTTTCTCTTACTTTTGCAATCTCTTGCATCAGTTTCCTCTAAACTGTGACTGCCTTGAACTTTTACCAGTTTATTTTAAGAGAGGAAGGCAGAAGTTAAAGCATGTGATTATCAGGAAGTGATGAAACCTTTTTTATTTATAAGAAGAAGTGAAGTGTATTTCTCTTGAATGCTGAAGGGTTATGCCTCAATGTCTCTATTTTTGGTAAAGGCTGACGTAATATTCAATGTTAGATGATGATGAAGAAACAGATGACAAAACTGGGAAGTTACATTAATAGGAATTTTGTCTGGAAAATCAGTTTATTAAAAGTAAACTGTCGTATTTAGAGTAAAAGGAACAAAACGACTACACCTACAAATGGCTGTAGATTACACTGAAAAAGTACATTTAATGAAACAGCTTCAATAATAAACCAAAGTGAAGTGTTTTGAAAGTAAAGTTATTTCTCATCACTTAGCTCAAGAATATATTTTCATCATAATTATTATTTTTTTTTATATAATGATAATTATTAATAATCCCAGTACATCTTTGTTTGTCCTGGTTTTTGTGTCTCTGGTGTGGTTTCTTGGCTCGCTCCGCTCTTGTTGTTGCTATTTAACCGACTCACCTCTTGGCCTAACCCTCCTCCTGCTCTCGCTGCTTTTCGTCCCTCCTGCTGCTCCTCCTGGGAAATTCTTCCAGGCCGAGATAAGAGCTCCGTTTGGGATCAACTAGAGGATGCTGCCATGGAAACCTTTTCTCTAAGTAGGGCTAATCCTTTGCCTTTGCCCCCTTTTTCCTGTATCTGTGTGGTTGGGGTGTGTGTTTGACATGTACCTATTGTTCCCTTTGGACAAGCTCTCTGGTTTATCTGTTATGTGAAGTGGTTTTTTTCTGTCTGTTTACTGGTTGCACATCCATATTTTTCTCAACATGAAACAGGTAAAACTTCAGCTCTGCTACAATTTTCCCTCACAAGAAATGAAAAAACAAATTTAATTCACCGTCGCTCTCACTTTAAAACACAGTTTTAATTTCTACTCACCTGGGTTTCACCAAGATCTCCGACTGACTTTCATGTTGACTGGCAAGCCAAAAATTTAATGGGTTTGGATACAGGATGAGTGCGTGTTGCCTTCAAGTGCTGTCAGAAATATAATTATGAGTGGAGCACACTCATACAAGCCAGCAGCTAGTTAAATATGATTGGGTAACGTGAAGCTTTCCAATGAGATACAGCAGTATGGCAGGGACGAGGGAAAGAAACAGGCTGTAACAATCACAGTAAATTATTTAAATCCACGTTTGCCAACCTGGAAATCTGAGTAGTTTTTTTTTTATCTTTGACTAGTCTCAGATTTATAGTCTATTTTTTTATCCTTTGAACACAAACGTTTGGCTTTTTGCAGCCCACAGTTTGTGTTCAAAGGATGATCTGGAAAGTTCACACCAAAACAACCAAAATATCATTTCCTGTGACCACTTGAACCTGGAGGAATGAAGAGCAGCACTAAAAGGAAGCATCAGATCGCCTCTAAAAATCTGATATGCTGTCCTTTGAACTGATTCAGAGGAAAGGTTTTACTGGCATGATGTTGGCAAATATACTCTGGGGACAGATTTGATGAACTACAGTTAAATGAAGGTGTACGGACTTCTTGTACTTCTGTAATTTTTACAGTAACTTCAACCCAAGCTGCAGAAAAGCAACATGAAAGAGCAAACATCATATATGTCTTCTGTATTGCTGACTTATCTTATAAGCAAGGAAATATAGGAAATAGATTGGCTTCAACATTGTCAGAAACATCCATCTTTGCCAAGTATAGAAACTTAATACTGCTCTGTGTGTGATTCGTCAGGTAAGGAGCGCTCCACACTTTGGGACCAGCTGCAGTTCTGGGAGGATGCATACCTAGATGCTGTGATGTTGGAGCGTGAGGGCATGGGGATGGACCAGGGACCTCAGGAGATGATTGAAAGGTTCACTTCTATCAGTTTTAAATTTTACTTCCTGTTTTTCTTTCTCCTTTTATGACAATTTTTACTCTTGATCACTTTTTTAAAAGAGCTTTTTTTACTAATAACTCTCCACACCTGTTCCTGGACTTAAACCACCTGTCTCTCTCTCTCTTTATTTTGTTTGTCCTCACAGATACTTGTCTCTCGGGGACCACGACCGAAAACGCTTGGAGGATGATGAAGACAGACTTCTGGCCACCTTGCTGCACAACATGATTGCATACATGCTAATGATGAAAGTATGGAGGCCTTTGAGTCGTTTCAGTGTTGTTTTCAAACCCATCCTAAATTCTTCATCCTCTCGTCTAACATCGGCCCTCTGTGGATTTCCTTTTGTGTAGTTGAACAAAAATGACATCAGGAAGAAAGTGAGGCGATTGATGGGGAAGTCTCACATCGGCCTCACATACAGCCAAGAGATCAATGAGATACTGGACAAACTGGCCAACATGGTGACGCTCTGTTCCTTTTTTGTTTATCCTGTGTGTTACAAACTTCTCTTCATCCTTTGTGATTATTTTTACTGAACTTTATTTTTAGAACGGCCGAGAGCTGCAGATCAGGCCCAGTGGCAGCCGTCACATCAAGAAGCAAACATTTGTCGTACACGCTGGCACTGATACCACAGGAGACATCTTTTTCATGGAGGTGCGCACAGTTTCGACAAATCACGTAGTTCCGAACAAGAAAAACAGTTTCGGCTTTGTGTCACTGAAAACAACACGCCAACAGGATGGTGTTGCTTTTTTTAAATGTACCGTCGTCTGTATTGTCTCAGGTGTGTGATGACTGTATAGTCCTGCGCAGCAACATTGGCACCGTGTACGAGCGCTGGTGGTACGAGAAGCTCATCAACATGACGTACTGCCCCAAGACCAAGGTGCTGTGTCTCTGGAGACGCAATGGCCAAGAGACACAGCTTAACAAGTTCTATACCAAAAAGGTGGGGAACAGCTTCTATGTGCATCATGTGCTCAGAGCCACTTCAAGAATACTGAATAGAAAATTTAAATACCTGTCCTGACTTTATTCCAGTGTCGTGAACTCTACTACTGTGTCAAAGACAGTATGGAAAGAGCTGCAGCAAGACAGCAAAGCATTAAACCAGGTAAGAGGTGAAGGTGTGAGGTGGCTTTACTTCCCCATGTCCTTACCTTTCTTCTTTGCTTCCTGTCTTTACTTTAAGAACTAGGCTGGGTGGAGTATAAGCAGTACTCACATGCATGATCAGTCCCAGTGCTAAACTTTTGAGTGGTCTCCTGCAGGTCCAGAGCTGGGTGGAGAGTTCCCCGTCCAGGACATGAAAACCGGTGAAGGTGGTTTGCTGCAGGTCACTCTGGAGGGAATCAACCTTAAATTCATGCACAGCCAGGTAAGAGGCCTGTACCAGCGCAGAGACGGTGCTTCTCATCACACACAAGGGCATGAAACTAAAACTCACTCATGACAGTTCATCCCGTCCTTCTGTCCAAACTCCTGCTCATCTCCCCCGTTCGCCCCGTTTCCTTTCATCCCGTGACTTCTTCCTCTATCGTCATTAAATCAGTAAATGTTAGTGATCGCCGACGGCCTATCGGATTGGCTGATGTTTCTCCTTAGAGGAAGAGTTCCTGTTTGTGCTTTTGCTTTTTTTGATTTGCTTTTTTCGGTTTGTGTTTGTGTGTGTTTGTGTTCATATGCATGCGTTTCCCAGAACAATATTAACACATCCATCCGCACAAGTTTCTTTAGACATCCATGGTGCTCAAATGTCCTTTTCTTTTACCGTGTGAGAAGAAGAGGTGTTAATGTGCGTTTCTGTGTGTGTGTGTGTGGGTGTGTGTGTGTGCGCGCTGTGCTTTAGTTCTGAGACGGATGCCCTTGAGCAAAGACTTTTCATTAATAATTGGCTATTTGATGGCAACTGTCACATCTTAAGTTTGGACCCTTGAACATCGTCTTGTGTTGTCTTTGCACCTGCAGGCAGTCTTAGCTGGGGTTTGTGTTTTTCCTCAGGTTGATTGGAGAGAGGCTGTGTTTAATTAGCCTGAAAAGATAAGAAACCCGCTGCAGCAAACAGATACAAACAAACAAATACATGTTTTGCATTTTGAGTAAGAGCAGTAATATTCCTCCTCCAATATCATACTTTGATGAACTGATTTAGGAGGAAAAGCTATTTTTGGGGTCGGTTCAATCAAATTACCGGATGAAAAAAGTCTTTGCACTTATTCTGTGGTCGTATCCTGTCATGCAGATAGATTTGCTAAATGCGAGGAGATTTTTAGATAATTGCTCCAGGAATCTCATTCGTGATGCTTGAAGAAATTTGTTACAAGGAGGCAGCAGCAACACAGCCCTGTTCTCTCTGTATGATCCACACTTTCACCATCATTAAAAAAGCTCCTACCGATACTAAACTGTTGGAATGCAGCTCACACATCTGGGGTCTCATTTATGAATGTTGTGTACATGCAAAACAGGGTCTAAAAATGGAGTATGCAACTTTTCAGGCTGAGATTGTGGTCCAAAAGACAAAGGTTGGTGGGTAGGTTGAGAGAACTAACTGATAGCTGAGATAGCCATGGGTGGCTCTCTCCTTTATTCCATATCCCCAGAATCAGTCAGAGCACAAGCCAGGGGGGCTTTGATGTAACCGGCTCAATCATGGTTCAAACGTAGAAAGTGAACAAAGTCAGTGAAGACCCTGTAAAGATTTAAATGCTGCAAAGACACTCTAGCTGACTGTAATAAATGACGGCTGCTTAAGGACTGCGTATTTTCTGCAGCTATAGGGAGTCGTTTTGAAGTACTTAATTATGTCCGTCGTCCTCTCTGTTGTTTCTGTGATTTACCGTAAGAAGCCTCTGATCTGCTGACTCATCTGAGTGCATTTTCATTCATGAGTTGCTTTGCATTGACCATTTATGGTTGAATGTGGGCGTGCAGAGAGCGGAGCCATGCCTGCATATTAGCAGTTGGATCAGGTAGGGGTGGAAATCACTAGTGACCCCATGATACGATATTATCATGATACTTGGGTCACGATACGATATAATTGCGATTTTTAACATTTTGCAGTACAGTGAGTATTGTGATACAATATATTGCGATTTATACAATTTTTTTTAACTGTTTAGCTAATTTATCATTTGTCTTTCCTTTATGTTTGACTTATTTACGCAGTATTTTATTTTTATGTAGCACATTTTGCAAATCTTGCATATTTGTCGTACTAACATTCTCCTGATCTATGATGTGACCTCTTCCGACCTCACGGGACAAACAGTTGATTTTATTTTTCCATCATCATAGATTTGACTTCATATTAGCAATTAATTTGAAAAATCGATACTTGGTAAATGAGACGATACGATACATCACCAGGCAGAATATCGCGATACTATGCTGTATCCATATCTCTCCCACCCCTAGGATCAGGGGTGTGTGCTGAGTTTTATAAATCTGAACAGTTCCTGGCATGTACTACTTTTATGTTTTGGGCATACCTGGACCGGTTTGTCCGCTACACATGATTTTATAAATGAGACCCCTGCTCTGTAGATTATTGGTACTGTACTGTGCCCCCTTTAGAAAAGCAGAAACCAAAATGGAAACATTTTGTGGAGCCTAACTTGTTCATGGATAAATACATTTTCCAATAGTTTTCATAGTCAGTAGTCAGATTCTGACTGTTTACTGTGCTAAAGACATCAGATATGATTTTTATCTGGTGTAAAGTGACAGGATCTGCCCCTATTTAGTGAACCTCTTGATTTTGTTTTTCTCAGCTCCGATCATTTCATCGTCTTCATCTTATTTTTTAATTTTCCAGGATTTGACTTTCACTGTTTTATTCAGTCTCTGCTGCTGGAACTGGAGTGAAATTCAACAGTAACCAACATTTAGAAAAAAAGTTAGTGACTTCCTGATGGACACAGTGAAGCGTTTAACTAAAGACAGAGATTTCCTCTGGGTAAATGGGAGAGGTGAAAGAAAGATGGATATCAAACTTTAAAGTGTAAAGAAACAGAACTATCTGCTGTCTGCTTGGTATGTATGAAAGTTTCAAAACAGGTCTTTCAAATCACTTTGAAAGCCTGTTTTTGTCAGGGTTATATTTACAGCTAATAATTGCTACCCAAGAGCATCAAAGTCTTGAAACATTTCTTTGCTAAGAGCGTCTTAGCCAGATTTAATTTCCTTTTTCAATTTCGAACTGTCGTCAAACATTTGGGTGAACCGACCCTTTAACTTGGATGCGGCTACATTGAATCAGTTATAATTACGCCTGCTTTTCCTCACTGCTTCAGGCTCTTTGGCTTGAGTTTAAATTTTTCATACTTCACATTGATATGGGTAGAGCGCCGCGCTGAGTTCCTTTTTTCTAGTCAGTGCTGCACTCGCCCAGCACAACAGATCTGAAACCAGTTTTTTTCTGAGCTCAATGTAGAGCTCCACGTTTTTCAAACTGAACCTGTTTCGTTTGTACTTTTGGTTTGCTGTTAAATTTTCTAAAAAATTAAAAAAAACATTGTGCATAGTTGGAGGTTTAAGAGATGATCTGTTTCACAAACTGTGTCCCATTCTGTGGCTGCATATGAGAAGTGGCTTTAGCAACATGAGTTTACTGCATAGGCTGTATAAGACATGGACCAAGTCTCTGGGGTCACCAAGTACTTTCTTGACAAAGGTGGCTGCCACATTGGAAAAGTCGACTCAATCTAGCCAGAAAAAGATGAGCCACATTCCCAGGACTGTTTCTTGATCTGTACCGTAAACATGTATTTCCTGTATACATTTGAATATTTACATGTAGGACTCTAACAGGGATTCTTTGGCTTTTGGTGCCAGTATCCAAAAAACTCAAACTGCACTTCTGCATTGGTTTCATTTTTCAACACCAGAAGTTGTCACTTCTTAGTGTAAAATGTTGAATTTACTGTTTTAGCTTTCCCCAACTTGTCTTTTTTCAAAATAGAAGTGGCCTTATTTGGAGAGATGTGTTGGTTAGGTTTGTTTGCTTTTATAGTAAATGTGAGATCAGCCTGGAAGCCAATTTGAGCTAACAGGAAACAGGTTCCCACCAAAACGAAACTGATAAAAATCAAAGACCAGCTAGGTCCACGTATTATCTGTCCATTCAATTGTTCCATTCAATCTAGTAAATGAAAAAACTAGTCAAAATTTTGTTTATTTGTTTTCTGTATAACCAAATAATAAAAAATTTGTGTTTGTTTTAGTATTTTCAGCTAAAAACAGAATATAATATAATAGAGAAGGAAACGAAAACAAAATAATAAATCTTATTTACAACTATTGATTTTTAGTGCGCCTGTTTTGACCATACGTGCATGGAGGCTACATTGGCCTTCCCATGATCCTCAGCGACAGTTACCATGGTGAAAGATGCAACAGTGCAGTTCGAGCGCCAAAATCTTACGTTGTAACAGAGCTCTGGTTGTAATTTTTTCTACAGTCATATCTTCCTCCTTCAGCGTGACCCTCCTGGTGGCTTTGAATAATATGTAGGATGCGTCCATCTCCATGACAGCAGGTTAGCCTTTCTGTACCGCTCTGGCTGCGAGTTTTTGGTCTACGCTGTTGGCTACTTTGTTGCGCAATGCGCATGTGCAAACAGTAGAAAGGCACCATGGGAAATGGGGACATCAATAACCTAAAAAAGGAAGGAGATTTATTATTTTGTTTTCGTTTCCATCTCTATTAAATATTCTGTTTTGAACTGAAAATATGAACACAAACACTAATCATCAATTTTATGGTTATATAGAAAAACAAATAAAATATTGACTCGTTTTTTCGTTGACTAGATTGAATGGAATAATTGAAAGTCTTAAAAGTCTGGCAGGTCTGAGGCTCTTACATATTAATCATCCACCACATGGACCCATAAAGAAACCCACTTCTCATATTCAGTCTATTCATCCACTTTTTGATAATTTTTCTGTTCTCTGTAAGCAGAGTTCGGCTAAGTCCACTTCCTTACGTTAGTTTAGGCTCTTTTTTTCATGATTAGTATCAGCTGTAATGATGGTGAGCACTGGTTGGTTCTGGGCTTTTCGATAGTCAGACAGTGTCGGTGGTGTTATCCCACATTGTAGCAGGCTAAACTTGTCCATCGGTGACTGCCCTCATATACCCGTTCTGCTGTGTGCGCGGTGGTGTTGGTGCCAGCCGTTGTTGCTGGAGGAGGAGGCATGGAGGGCTCTGGGGGACTGAGATGTTTACAGTCCAGGAAATCAAAGGTGAATCCAGATCTCAATACCCTAGTGAAACCTCTAGCCCTCTTTTTTTCTCCTACTTCCTAGTTCTTGGGGCTGAGTTTTCTTGTTATTGATTTTTTTTTCTCCTCACATTGGCTCTTGTAACTTCCTAGCTAGATTTTTGATTTTGGATCCGTACGAGGCTCCTGTGGATAGCGCCCTCTCGGAGTGTCGTGGAGTGTTTGTGCTCTTCTGTCCGATAATAATCCAAACCATTTCTCTCCCATGCTCTCTCCCCCTGCAAGGAGCGGAAGGTACACAACCTCTGCTGTGTTTGCTTATTAGCAGTTACATCTTCTTGGGTTTCTTTTTTTGTTTTCCTCTATCTTTTCTTTTGACTGTTCTAGCTGTTTGGCAAACCTAATTTTGTGTCCTTGTCTACATTTTATATGGAACTTCCATGTATGCATCATATGGGCCATATTACATCTCTGAGCATAACTAGAAATGTGTTTGTTGATCTACTTCTTGATGTTTATGTTCAAATGTAACCTTAAATTTTCCTCTGAAGTAAGTCATGTTGAATTAGTTCAGAGCTTTGAGCAGACTAAAAGCATTTCTCCTCATTTAACCGTCGCCCATGTATGCGTTTGATCATGGAAACTTCTCATAGTGTGCTTTTCTTTTCCTTTGGTTAGCTGTTAAAAGCTTGCACTCCATGTGTAGTTGTTTTATTTTGACCTTTCATACTGAATAAAACAAGTTTAACATGGTTAATTTCTTAAATATGAAGTGTTTACTTTTCATCCAGTGTTGTTGAGTTAATAATGTTCTGTCTTGTTTTGTTTGTTTTTTGTTTGTTTTAGGTTTTCATAGAGCTGAGTCACATTAAAAAGTGCAATACAGTGAAGGGAGTCTTTGTCCTGGAGGAATTTGGTAATTACACCATCTATTGATTCTAGGCCTGTACTCGGCACGGCAGTAACTCAGCTTCATGGCTAATGTGTTAACGAGAGCTAATAAGGGTTCACTAAATTGGATACCGGCTCTCCTGGAGGGACAACAACCGTGTCTGCAGGTGATTAGCTAAGTGATGAATTCTTCAAAGGACTTCACCTTCTTTCAGTCAGATGTTTGGTTGTTTTTTAAAAGCTAGCAGCAGTTCATTCAGGGACAGAGTAGGTGGAAGAACAAAAGTCTGAGCAGCGTCTAGACAAAGCTGAGCAGAGAGAGTGTTTTAATGATGAACAAATAAATAATTCAAATGAAAAAAAAAACAAGAGTAAAAGGAGTTTCAGATCCAAACAAAACTCAAAGATGAACTCTGTAGCGCCAAAAGGCTCAATCTTTTATCTACACTACTCATCCATTTTGGAGGACTGAAGCAAATTGAGAGGCAGATACACCGGATAACTCGCCAACCAATCACAGAGCAACAACCAGACACGCTCACTTTAATATCTACGGACAATTTTAGAGCCACTTATAATCTAACGGGGGTGAATCGAACCACGAACCGTCTTTGCTGTGAGGCAGCAGCTCTTTAACAGTTCATATAAAAGCAGACAGACAGAAAAACAAAGTAAGATCTTCTAAAGGTGAGAGCAAACTAAGAGGATCTCTTTAAAAGCTCAGATTCGAGAGAGTGTGAGTAGTCAGGACAGTGTTTAGATCTCTGAAAAGAAGTCCAGACTGAGGACTTCAGAGTGATAGACCAGTTTGTGATCATCAGGGGTGACAGCAGAGCGCCAGGCTGGGTTACTGCCGTGTCTCTGTGCTGCTTTTGTAATGTTGCCCTCATCTTTGCCACTATGAAAACCTTCATTCTCCAGCAGGTAAAGTGTTGTCACCTTTCTCCTTTCTTATTCTCTGCACCAACTATTTCCACTCTCAGACCTCTTCATGGATTATTTTAATCCCTTTTTCATACCATGGGTTTTCCCCCTCTGCTTCCTTCATCACTTGCTTTTCACTTCCATCACCCCCTCACTTCACCTCTCTCACCTTGTCGTCTCCCTCTGAATCTCAGCATGTGGAGATCTGTGGTGGGACTCTTGGTAATGTGGGGGATTTAGCAGAGGGATTTATCATTTCCTCAGACCCCCCCCTCTTCTTCATCTGTCCAGATCTCAGCCTCCTCATCTCTGCTACGGGTTCACAGTTACTAATGAAAAGTCAACCTGTCTTGTGGACAGGGACAGGGTCCTGTGTCCAAGGATTTTGGCCTCTTGTAGCTGCTTCTCTGTGATGTCTTCAAACTCTCGGTCCACTGGAGGGGAACGGGGTGGGAGGTTGCGGAGGGGAGGTTGTCTTTTTCTCTTCTTGTGTTTTTCCTTTTCATATTGAAATCTTTAAACTTTTGCAGCCTCTGGGTAGACAACATTTGTGTGTTTATTTGTCCATTTTGTGGGTCATGAATGTCTCACCAACAGTCAAAAGCTCAGATTTAATACTCCACCTTTCACATATTAAAAACCTTTAGCAGTTATATCTAATTATTAAAGTATTAGAAGATCAATATATTTGAACATTAATGATGAAGTTAAGCCCAAAACTAAAGTAGACAAGCTGCTCCGGCCTTCATCACCCTCTCTGTCTGAAGTTAGGAGCTCTCTTGACTGTTAAGGTGGGCTCTTCTTGGCCCACATCCCATATTACACCATGTTCAAAATCCTTCCCTTTAACCCCAAAGCTCTCAGACATTGAGGGTTCCTGCTGCCTTTGAATTCTTTGTTTTGTCTCTTGCACCGGCATAGTTCCTGAAACTAAAGAAGTGGTGATCCACAAGTACAAGACGCCCATGGTGAGTCCTCTCCACTGCTAACTCAAAACCTCTGCATGATCAGTGCTAACCAAAAGATTTGTTGTATGGAGTTTTTTTTTTCTTTACGACACAAAGGGGAAGTTACGTATTCAAGTTTTTAATTTGAAACCATAATTCCATATAATTGATCCTTGCTCGCCAAGACTGTAATTAATTATTAAAGAATTACAGCAGCTTTTGAAAGTCTGGCCTTTTGGTCACCTCACTCAGTGGACTGAGTCAATGTCAACAAAGTCAAATGCAAAAGTCAACAAATGCCAACAAACATCTTTTTAGCTTGGCCTAATTTCTTTAGCAGAGACTAAACACAACTCACCTACTCTCTTCCAGCAGCTGCTTGTCTGTACAGAGACCTCAGGCCAGCCCATTATCACAGATGTTCTTCCTTGAGCTGCGTCACCCCGCTGCAGTTTGTAATGGACTGGCCTGAGGTCTCGCTACTAGCAAGCGGCTGCTGGAAGAGAGTAGGTGAGTTGTGTTAAGTCTCTTTGTTAAAGAAATCAGGCAAAGTTAAAAAGATGTTTGGTGGCAAGTGCTGTGGCTGGGACCCTATATGTACTGCTGATGAAGTTAGGTGCTGTACTAAAGTTGGTATAACTAGAGAATCAAGCGGTCGGCAACATTCATCTCTCGACGAGGTGTCTAACTCAGTGTTTGACCCTAACTTAATTTTCCGCCGTAATATCCCTTTAATGCTGCTAGTTATTGGACGTGTCCTCAGGAACAGAAGCTTTAAAATGCTGGTCAGGAGTTGTGTCTTAGCTGTAGTACAGTCACCAAACACTAGCTGGAGCTGTAGCTGTGATTAAGGAGAACAGCTGTAATGCTCCACTAGCTGGATGTAAACAAATGAAAATGACAGAGGGCATTTTGTAGCATGGTGTGATTTACTGAATACTAAAGGGAATAAAACTTAACATATTTGATAAATCTATATTAACTTATTCTTAGAAAAGTTGTTCACATTTGTTGTTTTATATTTACTTTGTGGGTTAGCTTGAGGGTAAGCCAACTTGTAGAGTATTTTTCTCCTCCTAACACGTCTGCAGAGCTGCTTTTTAAAAGAACATGACTATAATAGGGCTTTAGTGCCACTAACTGTCAGAGGAACAACATGACACCTCACAGAGAACCTTTAAATACTGAATCATTTAACAGCCTCCTATCCTCAAGTGTCTAGACTTAAGTGGAGCGTCTGGTCTGGCTTTGTTTCTGCTGTTATTTTTAACTTCACAGGAAAATCACTTCTCACCTGAGCCTCCGTCTCCCTCATGCTTGTCTTTCCTCCTGCAGGCACATCAGATCTGTTACTCCGTCCTCTGCCTTTTCTCCTACGTGGCGGCAGTGAAGGGGAAGGAGGCGGAAGGAAAACCCAAGCTCCTGTCACCGAGACCCCTTCCCAGCTAGTCCACATCTCGCGCCGTCTCCCCACTCCCCCTCACTCCCTCCCCTTCAGTGTGCCTCTCTACTTGAAACGGCATCTCAGCTCTGAAACCACAGACTTCTGACAATCCCTAAGTTTAGTCTAAGCACACAATCCCACTTCCTGCCCCCTGTACATACAAGCCTAAGACCCTTTTTAGTCCCTGTTGTGTAACGTGTTTGGTCTGTGATGTCGTGTAAATACTTCCTCACTGCTGTCGTCCTGATGGTCATACCAACTAGATAAATGTTTGCCTGCTCCTTTAGGTGGGAGCAGTGACTCCCCTGAGCTCCTCTCCTCTGTCTTCTATTGTTCCTGCTGCCAAGACCCAAATGTTTCCACCAATAGGAGATGTGAGGGATTTCCCCCCCAAGGCACAGAGTGCATGCAGGTCCCGTGCACAAGCCTTGAAACGTCACTACAGAGTAGACTTCCTCATTATTTGTCTCCATCACTGTTCTGTGAGTCGTGCTTACTGTAAAGTTCCAGTTTGTCCAAATTGAAACTGGTGAAACATCCAGAGACCCTCATGTAGTGCGGGACATCCCATATTGAAAAAAGCTACTGTATACTGCACCAGAGCACCGCATGTAAACGCTTCTTCAAAGTGTTTGAACCCTAAAATAATGTGAGTGTTCTCTGAATTACTGTTCTAGTTCTACTGTAAAATTTCTCGTCCGTGGTCTGCTGTTATCGATTGCATGTTACTATGAGGATAAAAAATAAATATTATATATATTTCTATATATAGTATTTATTTAATATATACATATATTGACTGTACATTTCTCTGGAAAAATAATGTTACAAATTGTTGATTTGCTAGATGTGCAATACTTAATAAGTAGTTAGCCATTGCCAGAGCCAGGTTTTCTCGAGTAACCCGGCATCAACAGGGTGAAGAATGTAAGAAAAGACTTTTTTTTTTCTATAGTTTGTGTTTGTTGAAGTGAAAATGATGACTTCAGTTTGACATGACTGTTTCAAGTTTGTCTTTGGGAATCTGGATCATGCATAGGAAAAAAAATCTGCTGCTGTCCTGCTCCCTATTTGTGAAAAATTTCCACTCAAACCCGCCCCCAACTCGTGATGTCACAAGTTGAGGGCGATGGTGTGATGAGTCATCGGTGATGTTGGCAGTTGTTTGCTATCTTTCCCATTTGAATTCAGCTCTTAAAAGCCATGTGACCTTTGTCTTAGAAATGCTGTCGGTAAATGTTAGCGCCGTTTGTCAACTCGTTCGCTGAATTTAAATGTGGAAAAAAGAACCAAACTCATCATTACGAAATTATTAGCAGAGGAATTAGACTTTGAAAAAGACGTGTCACCAAACTAAATGATGGTGTTGCTGCTGGTTTTCAGTATAAATGAGCAGAAAATGTAAAATAATGATTTAGAAGTGATTGGTACAATACGATCTGGTTGTCCTTAGCGTCAGTTTTGCTGAGATACACCACAGCTTTGACCAATCAGAAAGAAGTTATAAGACATGTTTAACCATTTAGGTAGCTGAGACTTTTGCCTTTTCTCTTCAGGCTGCTAAACTCACCTGTTTACATAAGGGTGTTAATCTTTTAACTCAATTTTTCAGGTACATGTTCACATTTTCTGATGGTTTCCTCGCAAAACTGTGACTTTTCCTCACCTGTGCCTCTGTTAATCTGTGCCTGGATTATAATTTGAATACAGTCATCTTCTTTTTCATCTACTCTAACCAGTGAATGCCACCAAAAAAACAGAACAAGTCATACTTTCTGACACAGACCGTGAGAAAATGTGAGCTACTGTACCTGGAAGGATCAGAAAATGTAAAGAAAAAAAACTAATTTTAGGAAAAAATAAACTACAGAATTCATAAAAGAGGTTTAATTAAAAGTTAAGAGTAGAGTTGGAGCAGCTGAACAGTTGACTTTTGGTAACAGCGTGTGGTGTAATCTTTTAGTTGAGTTTTAAACAAGAAAATAGGTTAAAAAAAAACCCAGAAATTTAGTCTCCAAACTCGCAGCAACAGGTTTTTCTTCCTGTAAATGAACTTTTCCGTCGTGTTGAAGCCCTGCAGCTGTGCTCATCCGCTCCTCAAGTCTTAATGTTGTTTCTGTTCTGTGATAGTAAAGAACAGTTGAATCTGGCCTATTGCGGCACATTGACTTTCACATGAGTGTGTGAGTGTGCGTGTTGTGTGTGTGTGTGTGTTTGTTCATGTGGTGATCAGTTTCTCCAGATCAGCAATATATAGGTACAGTTATTTCACTGGAAGATGCTTTTTTTGACTCAGACAAGCTTGTATTTTTAGTGATTTAACTGTGCAGAGAAAAGTGAAGGTAGGACATTCAGACGATCTTGATCCGTTAATAAATGAAATGATAGAACTCAATCTGAAGTCGGTCTGTGAATAGGACATGGCCCTTTCTGCTAAATTGAAACACCTTCCTTTTTTTTGTTTAGTTTTTTTTTTACACTGGATTATTACAGCTCATCTCTGTCACTGTACTGGTCAGCTGCTGTAATGAGAGGGAAAAATGAAATGAGATGTCAGGTGTAAGTATTCCAGTATTTGAAAAAGTATTTATAGAACATGTACAGCTTTGGCAATATAATAAAGTTGTCGCAAATGAAGCTCAGTGTAGCCTGTGGTCATTTCTGAAGGAAAGCACGGTACAAACACTGACTAAAGGTGAAAACAAGCACAAGACAAAAGTTTGAGGGTTTATTGCAAACTTGTTTTACTAAAAGTTTCATACACAGTTTGAGCTCAAATTGAACATTTGTACAATCATTGACAGTATTAAGACTAGAGGGATAAAAACAATGTCAAGGTTTTGGCTACCAGAGGAAGAACCATGTTTTTACACCGTTCACCTGGTGTTGTTGCTCTGAAAGTTCATCCATATCATCTCTGACAGTCTCACGCAGGAGTACTGTGTAAACTGGAATGGACACCAATTCGATAAAACAAACTACAGACTTCACTCCTTTTCTGTACTGGCACATTTAAGATTTTATTAAAACGCCACAGAAAGAGTTTGTCTGTTCTGGGCTGCTGTAGATGTATGAAGTTACATCACGGCAGACTTCATGAAGGAGGAGGACCTGCTTTATCATGGATAAAAATATTCATTCAATTTTAAAAACACTTGTTTTTTTAATAAAACAAGTGTTTTTAAACTCTTTGAAAACAGGAAAAGTGTTTAATCTTAAGATGCAGGTGGAATTCATTTTGATTAGTCAGTAACAGTGAGTCTGTATTTAGTCATATTAGACTATGTGCACTCTAGACTATCAAATAACATCATTACTATATATCTGAGTATTTAAAGGGTCAGTTTAAGTCAGTTTAGTAACTATTTTAAACATTTACCTCCAGACATACATTAAGTATGTGATGCTCAAAGCTCCCATGTTAAGTTTCTAACTGGTTTTTAACTTTTAATGCAGATAGAAGACAAAAAAAAAAGACCAAAAGCATTGCTCTTGATTATTATTGATTGGTATTTGTTTCTGCAGCAGCACGTTAGTGTCAGATAACGTTAAACAGTATTAGCCTTTGATGAACATCTTTAACATCACAGTTAGACAGCGAGTGATCCGAGTTTGACTATTGAAAGAAAGATTTAGAAAAAAAAAACAGAATGAGCTCAGCAAAGAGAAAAGAGATACTAGTTTGTCCACAGGAGGGCGCCAAATCAAACCAAACTTCAGTTCCTCACATCAACTTTAAAAGTCCAAAAGCTTTCAAACATGCCCCTGAACACTGTGGACAATAAACCTTTATACAAAAACCTCATAAAATTATACTTCTATGAAAGAAAGGTCTGTGTGTTTGCGGTGATGATAAGATCTGAGAGGCTCTGATGTTTTTACATGAGTTTCATGATTCTTCATTTTGCCTGAAAACGTTATTTTAGAAAATAAGGATAGAGCCAAAACTGTTCATTTTGTCTATCATGGTAAGAAGTCGTCTATTCTAGGAATCACTGAATTCAAACTACAGCTACTCCATGCTTTTGCTTTGGCTGCAGTCTCTACGCTGCATGTTAAGGCAGTTTGAAACTCAAAATTCATCTCTACGGCGTTCAGGGAAAGTCAGGGACACCCTGTTTTATGTATGCACGGACAGAAAGAGCAGAGGTAGCAAAACACCACAGCTGAAGGTGAAGGAGAGACTGAGAATGAAATTACATTTAAAGTCTGTCTGACATCACTTCCTTCTCCAATTCTTTAAATACAAGGACCGGAAACCGTTAAATACACACCGTAATGAGAAATAAATATGAAAGTTTTACAGTAAACAGGTTTTGGAATTTGGAAACAGCAGAAGTTTACTGAGCCAAATATTGAAACTAGAGAATGAGAGGAGATTAAAAACATATGGACTGCAGTAAAATAAGCTCTTTAGCTTCAGCTCGTAAACACCTATCTGTATTTGCATTTATCGTTTGTCTGAAATCACCATGAATTTAAAAGCTGGGTGTTTGTCTCGATGTTTGCATTGAAGCGTTGCACTGTTGCACGTCTGTAGTTTTGCAGGAACTCTGCAGATATTTAATCTAAAAAAGCATCCTCACGCTGAATCATTGATCTAAATTCTAATGATTTGATGCTTCAAAGTCAGAGGTTTGGCTCTCCACCTGTCCTCAGATAAATACTTTTGCACTTTGCCCTCTGAATCAGCAGCCTTTTGGCCGAACTCGTCGTTTGAAGCCGCTCTAAACACTGTTTGGATTTCTGCAGAGGCTGTAAAGCTACCTTAATACATTTGGCTGGAGTTTCACTCGTTCCCGTTGACGGAGCAGCGCAGTATCCGGAGGCGGGACATGACTTCATCCCAGTCCAGGTAAGCTCCCTCCAGGTGTCTCAGTCTGTCAGGTCTGCTGATGTAGCTCTTCCGTCCGTGCAGCAGACGCCAGTTATCAAAGGTCACAATGTCACCTTCGATAAAAACACAAAGAGACGACAGAGTTCAGTCTCACAGCTCACTGTGTGTTGGTTAAAACTGTGACTGAAGCAGGAGAACATTTCATGGCCCCAAAGCATCTAAAATCTGACAATATTAAGCTCTTTTTGACGCCTACATGCTGCAAGACAGTAAACCTTGAGTACATAATGTTTACACTGTGCACCATCTGTTTTAGGTTGATTGACAACAGGATGCAGTTGATTCAGAGACTGAAGATGTGAACTTGGGCATATTTTCTCTCATTTTTCTTTTAACTTATTAAGATTGAGGTCTATTATATTATTCTAAACAGCATGTCTTGACTCTTATTTGGTGATCTGCAGCCATGTTGTGTATTGCACACATTGCAAAATGTCAAATTTCAGCAGATGTCACTTTGTTGATAAGAAGATGAATTCTCTTAAATACTCATGAAAGAAGTGACAGGCAACATATCCGGGTTTTAGACCTGAGGAGGTCACCGGTGAGTCTTCTATGTTAAATCACACTCTGAATGGAGGGGGTTTATAAACTGCACTCTGTGAAATAATGAGGGTTTTTTAATAATGAAGTGCAGCCGTACTTTTCATTGCTCAGTATTCATCCTCATGGTTGTGTTGAGCTTGAACCCAGTGTGTTGTTTTAATTGGCAGCAGTGAACCATGTTTTCGATGTGTGTTAATTAACAGGCTGTGTGTACGCTTGATAATACTCCATTATCCACTGGCAAATGGGACGACTTTTGGCATCGTGTTAATAAAGTATAACTCAGTCATGATTTGCTCATAGTTTTAGCACGTCTGTATAACATCCTTCCACCCAAAATGCACTTAAATAAACTGGTTTGGCAGATACATCCATTTCTATAAAAACAGCACAGCATGTCCACATTCACATCAGCAAACTCTCTTTCCTTCCCTTCTTACTGTTGCTCAGCTATCGCTGAAGTTTGCTGAACAGCTGAGGGGGTTTAGTGACTCTCTATAACACTCACGGTCACTTCATAACACCTGTCCTCACCTTGACAGCAGCGTCTGTGTCTTAATGGTTGGATGCCGTACACAAACATGTTTGTTTGAATCACACTAAACCCTTCAAGTAAACTCAAGGTTGCTGTCAGGATGGATGATTTCCAACATGGAGGTCTGAACCTCGCACGCTGCTTTAGAAATCCTGTCTCCTTACTAAAAGCGTCCGCCTGCTGCTCTTTGATGTCCTGAAAATCTCGTTCATCATCGGAGACTCTTTGACTGTCGCTGCAGGAGACTCGTCCCTGAGCCATGATTAGTCAGAGAGGGTCACAGCGGAGGACTCTGCTAATCGGATTTGTTTCACAGTGAAGGAGACCACATTCATATGCCTGATGTCATCATGACCTTGTTGATGACAAAGATGTTGTTGCATATCATCGCACCAGTTCATGTGACTGGGCTCCGGTATCGTACAGAGTGGATCTTTAGTTCTCTACTGTTGTTTTCTTTTACTCAATTTGTTCATTTCTCATCCCAGGAAAACAAAAATCGGACTCACAGACTCTCCTGCTGTACTTGTGGTGAAGGAGAAACTTATCCTTATTGTTTTATGTAGGTTGGGTATGACGGGTGGCACACTGACCTGGCTGCATGGTGTACGTGACCACATTCTCTGGTCGGTTCATGATGGTCACGTAGGACTTCAGTGCTCTGTAGAAGGGCTGCACCTTATGTAAGGGGAGGTCCAGCACTGAGTCTCTGGTGGCGTTGTTGTAGTTTATCCTCGCCACTCGGCCCTCAGGATCAACACTGCTCAGAGAGGGGGAGGAAAAACAGGTTTATGTCAAACTAACAGTCGAAATTATTGGCAACAAAAAAACCCTGGGTCTTACTTAACCCGAATCGTAACCCTCTTATTTTATTGAGAGCTGGGACACTAGATACAGCAGAAAACTAGGAAGACAGAGAGAGAGACATGAACATGTGATGAAGGTCTGTTGGTTGAAGTCACACCTGGGCTGCTCACTTTCAGGGGGGTTTGCCTCTCAATATATGGAAGGAAGGTTTTAACCCACTGAGCATTTTTTGGTCTAAAATGTCTAATCGATGTCTAAATTTAGAGCAAGTTTAGACCAAATCTAAATCTGGGCTATATCTGTACTACACTGTATATTGCTCAACAGCTATCATTATTATTTTGGTGAAGTACTTGGAGATCAGTTATGAAACTCACAGTTGCTTTTTGAAATAAATAGTTATTGAATAAAAGTACAACGTCTAAATTCTGTCTAAAAATATACAGAGTCTAGACGATTGAAATTATGTCTAAAAGAAAAAAAACTAGACGTCTAATAGCCGTCTGTTGCTCAGCGGGAAGCTGTCCTCAAAAGTGGCGACGTGGTAATTCAGACTTTTATTAAACCCTATTTAAAGCTCCTGTGGGGAGTTTTTTCTTTACCTTTATGAAATAGATTCATATTGTTCCCTTTTCCTGATTTCCAGAAACAAACTAACAAAAGAACCATCAGTGACAAGACTGACATTTTCTAATTCTAATTTTTGATGCCTGAAGCTGATGCATAAGGGGTAGGTAACAGTTAATGAAACATTGGACCATCAAAAGTCACAGGATGAGTTTTTTTGTCCCCTAAGAAGGAGGAAAAAAATGATTAAAAATCAGAGATCTTATTTTTTTGGCTAAATCACCCAGACTTACCACCCCCTTACTTCCTGTGATGATTTTAAAAACGTCACCCTGCTTTGTTGTTAAACTTTAATGTTTGACTTGTCTTAAATCTTAACAACAGAAAACTCAAAAGCTATCGCTCTCAGCAGTGTGCATTTAATCACTTAGACTCACACCGACCCCAACCCAGCAGAGCCGGACACTAAAATCTCTGTACAGTAATAATCACTCTTCATGTTGATGGTCTCTTTGCATCAATGTGAATTTCAGTCTGTTTGATAACAGCTGAGAATCCCTCACAGGAGCTTAAAGGAAAGCTCCGTGGAAAATAAGTGTTGACACATGATCATCAGCTTTCACAGGCCGTCTGACTGATTTTTGAGGGCGTATTAATTCTGAACAGCAGATGGCAGTCTCTCATTTCAGATCAGACGTGTTCCCATCACACACAAACCCTCTCCCTCTGAGGAATTTTACCTCAGCATGTCTGTTAGAAATGCAAGTCCATTTTGATGTCTGACACTGTACTTCATGTAGAGACAGCAACTGTGTGAAAAACAAAAACAACAGGTGATCTGACAGCGCCCGTCTCCACTCACTCGATGATGCATTTCTTGGACTGCAGCATGAAGTCGCAGTAGTCTGTCCCCGTGTCGGTGAAGTCCACGGGGAGTGAGGTGAGAGTCCTGAAGGCCTCTGGGTCTTCTCTCTGCAGCTGCTCAGCCATGTGGAAGCCGTCCACCACCTCGCTCTCTCCCCCTTCCACCGCCTGAGTGACGCAGTGGAGAAACTGCACCTATGTCAGGAAAACACGCACACACACATGCCACACAAATGCTCATTTAGCAAACTTCAACAAATTCCAGCGCTGAAACGATAAAAGCAACATATAAACCCATAAGTGATACCATCCCGGTCTGATGCTCTAAATCGAGCATACAAATCAGATTTACTCACTCCAGGTGCAAAGTGCAGAGCAGGGTAGTCTGTGTGCAGACTGAGCCTTCCTGAGGTGTAGGCTACATTGTTTGCCATGTATTTGTCCTGGACTTGCCATGTGTGCCTGAGGACAAAGATAACATTCATTAATAAACTCCTCGTTAATTATTTAACTTTGGCTTCAGAAGATAAGCAGCAACAATTAGGCTGTGAGGAGGAAGAGAAGAAGAGATGAGATGAACTTTGCAGGGTTCCCTGAGGGGGAAAAGTGGGCAGCTTCACAGGAATGCACAGACTGCTGCCTGTGAAGTCGACGACTCATTGAGATGCAGCAGGAGTCGAGCACTAATGAGGTAAAGTTATCTTCCATGTTCTGTTTGCATGCCTCGTTTGGATGCCCGGCTCGTAAACGCGGTCTAGTTTCTCTGATGGCAGGCCTTCAGCTTTAAGTCTGCGGTCTTTTCGCTTCCAACAGCATGAGCTCATCTGCTGGCAGAGTGGAAGCTTTACGCTCCAAACCTCTGTTCTGACTGAGTGCACCAGGTAATTCCTCTGGCTTAAAAAAAAAAAAGCTGGAATGCTTCAGAGTTGTTTTCCTCGTCCCTGTCCTCGAGTAATCAGCTCTGCACTAAGTCAAAGTGATGAACCCTGGTGTGATGAAAGACCCGCAGACACCTCTGAGCGTCTCCATGAGACAGACATGAATCAAAGCTGCACATAATTGACTTGAGGACATATTTTCCTAAACATTAATTTTGTAAAATGAGAATCTTAGAGCTTCTTTCATCGCAATTTTCTACTCCCTTATTTCTCAACGCCTAAAACATTAGATGAAAAATGGGCCAATTTTATTTAACTCCTCATAATAACACCGATTTGGGCTCCAACTTGATTTGATCAGTGGAAAACTCAGTAGTCTAAGATTTAGTGAGAAGTAGGATTATGAAACAGTGTCTTGGCTGAGGATGACTGGAGGAAAATGGATGAACGTCAGTGTGTCTTACCCGTAAAATGTCAGCCTGAGATAGCCAATCCTCTCAGCCAGTCTGGCTACTTGGCCTTGATCTACCGGAGCCCCTTTCAGGTACACGATGCCAACACGACGGAGGGCCAACAGCCAGGCCAGCGCCGCCTTATCATCATGCAGGACTTCATCAAAGTCTGCTGTGGGGATGCGCAGTTTGGAGTCCCAGTAATAACGCTCTGAAATGAGATCGAGCAAATGGAAGAAATGTCATTTCATCGAAGCAGAGATTTACATACATATAGAGCAGGCTCTTTTCTTGTGGTTTGTGTTTGTTTTTCTGACTGGAAATAAGCTGCGTCTGGCGTGCGCCAACATGAAGCTTTTCCATCCAGTGAGTCTTTGGCCTGCCCCATAGCTGCTCCATAAACAAACAAACAAACAAACAAAAACCATATTACAACTGCTCTTTTCAGGGTTTCATTGTCACTTTATCTTTATTTGACTTTTGTAGTTTATCACCCTCTTCTCTAGGACACAGAGTCATATTCTCTAAAACTCTCCATCATCACAACATGACTAGCTCTATAATAAGTGCATAGACATGACATGTTTTAAGGCCTGTTGTGGTTTTATCATAGAGTAATATCTGTCTTTGTGAGATACCTCCTTAACTTCGGTAAGAATTTTGGGATTGTGTAAAACAGACGGGTTGTTTGTGAAAAGATGTGTAACTGCGAAGTTTATGAAGTAAAGTGTGGCCCCACCCTCATCTTGCTTTCTCCAGTTTGATTAAAAAGTTTTTTTTTCATAAATGTCATGAACATATTGTTATTAGAGTTTGTAAATTATTAGGTTTCAGTTTCCTTCATGACTCTGACTCCCAATGATTATACAAATATGATTATCTCGACCACCTGCTGTGTCTCAGTATCGTAAATGCTGTGCATCCTTCCTCTCTTCCATAAAAGCAGAGTGACTGCTCTGTCTTATGGTTGAGGACTGCAGGAAAATCATGCTGTTTATTGTAGACTGCTGTATTTTCAACTACAAGTAAGAGTCTGTCACTTAAAGAGTATTAACACCAAAATTAAGTCAAAGAATTGAAACACAGTCCCTTTCAATCCTTGTTCATCTGAGTTTCCCCCCTCACTTCAACCCCTTACACGGTTTTTTATAACGTTCATTTTGATTTTATTATTTTTTTGTTTTTAAGGGAGCTCAGAGTGTTTGAGATTTAGGAGTTTTTAACGTCTGTGAATGTCTGTGATGCAGATGCCAGTTCATTAGTAACTGTATTAGATAATGGTGATCTCAATACTAATAAAAACTAGCGCCCCACAGGGCACCAACGGGCCCTACGCTGTGTTGCGCCGCCTCCCCGGTGGACCACCTCTCTGTCGTACTGCCTTTCATCCCCCATGCAATGCTCTGCCTTTGAGTGATGTTGCTCATTTATGGTGTCAAACCTTCAAAGTGAAAAGGTCGCCATGGCCACGCCCTTTGACCTGCACAAATGACTTTCTGATATACTCTCCTGTAAGGTCTCTCCTAAAGACTGAATGAGAAATAACCTTTAAACTTGTCAATAGTTTGCCTTAAAATTGAGGTCGATAGGTACATAAAATAACTAGGAAAAATGTCAAAATTTTTACAAGTGTTCAGGTTACGTTAACCACAATCACCACCTTGCAATCCTCGACTGGGTGTTTAGGGTTAGTTTCAGGGGTTCGGATTAAAATCACTGTCTGGGACTGTCTGATATGAACATAGTTTGGCTTAACTGATAAAATGGACCAGAACCAGGCAGACGTGCAGCAGAGAGATCATGGCCACTCTTAAGACTTTCCATCAACATACATCACTGCAAACTCAAGGACAGGGAATTTTTCCAGGGATGAAATAAATAAAGTCATATAATATATGGAAACTATGTAGGTGAAGACTAGAGGCAGTCTAGTGGAAAATCAAGTATACACACATTCCAATGAATTAAACACATCAAACATGTGTCACAGATTTTTCCTGGCTACTAAAAAAAAAAATAATAAAAATGTTCAAACTTCTATCATAGATACCTAAATTTATGAGAGATTGAATATTTGCTATGATTCAGAAACCATCAATCCCATACATCTTTGGCCCTCTTTGTCTGACTTTGAAAATGTTGCCGCTGCGTGCTCTGGTCTGAAAACTTCAGGATGAATAGCTGGCTGAGAAAAATCAGGCCCTCTCTGTCAGACAGACAGAAGTGGAAAAAATCCTCCCACTGCTCTCCACCCAGCTGGCCCGACTCCTTTTTCCATGCAGCCTCTCTCCAGTGACTTCCTCAGAAACAGCTGCTAAGTACATTTGCAGGAGGAGGAGGCGGAGGTGGAGGGTTTAGCTCAGAAGATTGTGTACCTGTCTGTTTGTAACTCCTCTTTGAATCTCTTTCCATCCCCAGAAACTCCAAAACAACTTCTCAAATAAGTGCATCACAAACAGATTACGAGGCTGCAGGAAACGGACACTCAGCAGGGTAAGCTGTGTGGACTCCATGCATAATTTATCTTTCTTTAAAGTGTCTGAGAGATTCAAAGATGATGTGTCCGCTTGTTTAGAGGGCTGTAAAGACTTACAGTTGAAACACTCAGTCTTTAACTGGTGCAGAGGAATTTCAGAGCCCCCTCTTTTTTTTTACAGCAGTGAGGCACACAGTACTCAGGGATGCAACATCAGTCATGAACACAGTGATCACCATGACTTGCAGACCTCCCTCCAGGCTGTTGTCACAAACAATCAGCTTCTGGTCCGACAGTTCAAAGGGTCAGGAACCCCCCGCTTGTTAAAACTTGTCAAGAGGGTGGAGGGAAACAGGGGTGGAGGATGAGAATTTGGGGCAAAGGTCAAGCCTGAATGTTACAATTACTCTTGTTAAACTGGACCTGGATGTCTTGTAAGGCCTCTGCAGTGTTTTGGCCTTGTGGTTTACGGTGTCACTCGTGACAAAGAGGCTACAGCGCCGGTCGCAGCGTGCATATACATCAGCTGTGAAGTCCTGGCTGCAGTTCAGCCCAGATCTTATTCTGAACACTTATCACGCTCGCTTCTGTCGAGCCAGGTCGGACACAATAGAGGAGAACTTTGCACGAAAATCTGCTTTTTAATCACAGCCTCACAGATGTGCTTGTTTATAACTGGAAAATACAATCATAAATCTTAGATACAAAGATAATAGGGAAGTCCTGGTCATTAGTCAGCTCACACCCGCTTCAGATTAAAGCACAAATAAAGGGCTTTTGTACTCAAACTGCTGCATGTTGAAGTCCTGTTAAAAAGTTGCAGACAGGACATTAGGACTGAGATCAAAAGCTGGAATGTTAAGTTTGTTTGAAACTTCCATGAGGAGTTTTTGACTGGATATGAAACAGACTGAAAGTGATTCTGATGCTTTTTATGATCTACAGAAGCAGACGAGACCGACTGTTTCAATACTGGAACTTTGAAACTGCTGTGAGGGGGTGAATGTCAGACGACATGATTGACAGCCTGCTGAGGAAACATCCTGTTTCTACTTATCTATGTACAGGACAAGATCAGCCTGATGATAAGATGAACCTCTTTTCCCGCAGGGGCAACAAATTAGACACAAACTGAAAGTTCCTTGGAGCAGTTCTGAAGTCTTTTTTTTTTTTTACTACTTGAAGTCTTCTCAGTGGTTTCTAAATTGTGATTATCAAGTTTTTACCAAAAATTGCCTTACATTACGTTAGGTGCTGTTCTGAGCATTATTTGTGGCTATAGAGTGGCGTTTTGGTTGATGTTTGTTTATGGCTCCTCAGACCGTTGTGTATTGCTATCCTGCGGTCGTTACTAAAGTTGGTATAACTAGAGAAGCAAGCGGTCGACAACATTTATCTCTCGAGGGGGTGTCTAACTTGGTGTTATGGTGTGTTTGACCCTAAATTAATTTTATGCCAGAATATCGCTTTAAGTTTTAGCTCCTTGATTGACAACTGGATCAAATCTTAACTGATTTGTTTCAGTTTCATGTCTCACCCTCTTAAAACTGAACACCACTCACTGGTAGATGAGTAAATCAACAGGTTAGAGACACATGCGTTCATGAGGAGTTGGTAGAAAACAAAATACAGCTGAGAGAGTCAATACTGAACTTCCATTCACCAGGTTGGCACAGGATGTATGTTGACGCTGCTCGACAACTGATTGTCTTTGAATAAACAAGTGTTTGCTCAGGTTTCAAGCCTTAAAACTAATTAGTTGTCAGCGTTGTGTTTACTACTTGTTTTCACTGCTCTCAAGTGGCCAGACAAAGGAAACAATCAGACGTCAGACCTCTCATGTCTGTACATCCAGGTTTTTCCTGAGAAGGAATGTGCTGCTGTGAGTTTCAAGAGAGACCTAAAACATTGTGACAAGATAGTATATGTAAATAATCCCGTCTCCTGCTCCTCCCTGATTGTGGTCGGCTACAGTGGCTTTTCCAGATGAGGAAACCTGAAGCTGCGGCTCCTGTGGCTGTCAGGCAGCTCATGGCAGTTTGGCTCTCTTCTCACTGAGTTCTGTTTTGGCTCAGAGGACTGCTCCGCTCGGCTCTGCGGCTGAAAGAGCCTTCAAAGCTGCTTGAAACGCTGCAGTTATCTACAGAGCTTTTGTTTTGACTTGGTTAACTTTTATCACAGAGCTCTGATCAGCTCACTTCAGCGGGCAGACCGAGGAATGCACACAGCAGAGGGCTCAGAGCCAGATGGCCATCAAAGAAAAAACACCTCTTTCTATTTTTGAGGGAAAATGGGCTTTATGTGTTAGATTCAAGCTGCTGGGTTCACTTTGAGAGATCTACTGAAGGAAAGCTATGTGATATGAAGAGCCACTCAACTTCTAGGATTTTGAGTGAAAAGTCAATAAAGCTGGTGTTGGAGTTTAAAAATGTTAAATTATTTAAGCGCCATTATAGAGGCAACTCTGTTACATTTTAACCTGAAATTTTAAGGTTAAAAAATTCTTATTAAAATGAACTTATTAGAGAGGAAGAGCAGAGGGTCCTGCCATATAACAAAGTGAAACGAAGGGCTTTTTCATAACTTTGCTTCAATTTTGTGATGTTTCACACTGTACATTGTTCTTGATATTTCATCTTCTTTTTATGATCTATCAACTCTTTTTTTCCTGAAATGCAAAACAATAAAAAAAAACTTCTTTCTCTCTTTTTATTCCTGATGTAAAATTCTACTACTGTAAAAAGAAAGAGAATGTAACCTGTTTTTACTCTCTCAGGATATGAATTGCTTTTCTTGGACCATGTAACTTCAGCTGAAAGTGTACCATCTTTCTGTGAAAGTGCATCATAAATCTCTGGCAGAAAGGCTGATGGTAAACATCTCCTGTTATCAGTCTTATCTCATACTTATTCTCGGTGTACATCCTCACGGGAGAGTCAAAGAATCGGATGAGAATATTGATGGAGGAGAAAAATAGACCAAGAGAACTACTAAGAGGCAAGAGTAAAACTAAAGACAGGCTTTTCAGATGTTGGCAAGAAAGTAAAGTGGATTTTTTTTCTTGTGTGAGATACATCTAAAAAGGGAATTTTGAATGAAGTTTCAGAGTCTGAAATGGACTGCTTGTATCTGAGATTTTAGATGCAGGCCGATATAATTATCATTCGTTTTTTTGCTGATATCGGCCTGATACCAATATCGTATTGGGACACCCCTACTTATGAATGATATGATCATCATATAAATGTGCTTTTTTTTGTCAGTATGACTACCAAACAGAACAGAACATAACTTAAAAGTTAATTTTTTAAAATTTGAATACGTTTCTAATAAAACGGCGTATTAGGGCCACATTAAGAAAAAAAAATTAAGACTTCATAACTACTTACGAGAATAAAGTCGTAATTATTCTCGTAAGTAATGATTTTATTACGACTTTATTCTTGTAAATGATGATTTTATTACGACTTTATTCCCGTAATAATTTTACTGCAACTTTATTCTTGTTAGTCACGACTTTAATCTCGAAGTCTTGATTTTTTTTTTCTTAGTGTGGCCCCAATACTCCATCGTATTTTAAGTATGTATTAGGATGTGTGTTTTTTGTGTGGACACCCCAACTGTAAAAATAAGGGCCAATACTTATGCTTACGTTTAATCAGCAGGTGTCTCCCAATAAAACAAGCTATCCTCTGAATTAGCAGTGAGCCATATCAGCATCAGAGCATTAGATCAATGCGACAAACACTGATAAATATTGGCAACTGACATCAGCTGTAGCTGTAGCTGAAATTAGTCAATGACATACCATAGAGGTCGACCAGTATTGGTTTCACAGTTCTTATACTGGTCCCGATTACAAGTAATTCATGAATTCATCATCAATAAATGATACTTCACAAAATGATTGGCAGTAATAAAAAAGAAAAAGTTCTCTCAAAATCTTAAATATTACAAACTTTGACACAAACATCTGCTAAATCACCTTTAGCAAACGTTTAATCAACATCCTGTGCAGAATCTGACAGTGACCTTTACAATTTACGTCATTCTGTCATATCAGCTGTTTCTTAAAGCAGTGTATCTCACTAAATTTCTGATTCATCACATCCAGTCATAAATAATTAACTTTGTTTTCCTCTCTGTTTCTAAATTTGATAAGTGAGGACAGACTGACTGTTATTCAAAACAGGTTTCCACTCCCTTAGTCAGTTTTTGAACAGCTGCAAGAAGAAAATCTGCTTAATGATTGATGATCTTTATTCTTGAGAAGACATATCAGACGTTATATTACTGTGCTGCCAAGATGACATTACCAGACCTCTTAGTCCAGACATTAAAAAAACAAAGAGGAAACTGTGTTCTCATTTATATTCCAGTCAACAACCAGCATGTATGTGTGTTCTCATAACTTGTGTGTGTGTGTGAATCAACAAGGGAGCTAGGAGAAACTCACTCCACCCGCCATTAATTGAACAAACACACCTTTATCTCTGTAACCGACCTGGAGGACAGAGCAGCCAGCCTCAGTCTGCAGTCCTGCTTTGGAGGAGACACAGGGAGCAGTGTTTTCTCACCGGAGAGCTGCAGGCCTGCCACACACCACATTCACACTAATCCAATCCTCCTCTTTCTCCATCAGCAAGTTTGGGTTCCCAAAAAATCTCCACTGAGCCTTGCAGTAGTTTGTCAAATTAGCTTCTCTTTGCCAACCTCAACTCAGTGCTTACGGTACTATTCAAAGAGCCAAGCAGGAGGCTGAACTCACCAGAGAAGTGAAAAAATTCACTCATTCTAACCACCCAGTTCTCTGTGCAGTCTGATGTAGAGGAGTCAAGATTTCAAGAGTGATGACAGAGGAAAAAGAAATGAATCCAAATATAGCTGATCTGTGTGGGAACAACAGAAACACAAAGTGAAAAAAAATTAATGGTGTGGGTGAAAAATGGCTATATTTATTGAACGACATCCCAGATCTCCTTAAAAAGACATCCTCTGTGTTGAAGTTTTTGGCTGACTTCTGTTACGTTCAACAGAGTTGAGCTGTTAAAACCCTCAGCAGTCTATTAAGACACAATGCATGATGATTAAAACTAACTTTGACAAACGAAAACACTGAAGTCACAGTTCACCGTTGAGATTCTTCAAATTCCTTTCAGCCTGATAACGCAGCATGCACACGTGTTTGCACGCACGTGTTCTGCTGAGGCTGGAAATGGTGTTTGAAAAAAAGAAGAAGGGGGTCAGGTTTGGAGGGATACAAGGTTTTCCATGGATGGACCTCCACCGCTAAGTTTCCAGGAGCCTCTCTGTCAACTGACGAGTGATGACATAGAAGGTTAAATTCAGACCAGATGGCAAAGGGGGAAACACCACACAGACGGGAAATTGACAAATCAGCTGCTACTTGGTTCAATTATACAACAAGCCAGAAGACTTGATGGAGAAAAGTCCAAAGTCAAGAGACAGAGTGTTTAGGAGAGCCTCAGGCTGCCTGGTCAGGAAGTTTACAATAAATGTCCCACTGTAATGGTGAAGTAATTGATTAATACCGTAATCAGTGGAAATGATTGTCACAAGCAATCCAAAAACTAAACTAAAAAGGTAAGCCTGGAAATCACTTTAACTTTGTTCCTGTAGAACCTCTTTCTAAACGGCTATACATGGATCATTGAGCTTTATGAAGATTTATCATGTGTTTGAGAGCAAAGCATAACATGAGTCGACTTTAGAGGAACCACAACTACTGTAAAATCATATATACTGCGGCTCAATCCAGATCAAAAGTCTGCTGAAGGCCTCTGACAACTTTCAGGTTTGAAATGTTGCATCAAATTTTCAAGTCTTTGTATTAAGTCAATAATTTTTGTTTTATTGATGGAGCAGCTGTGATGCAAGAAAAACCTCTGACTCCTGGACTGAGAGCCCAGGAAAAAAAAAAAATCTGTACCAAAGAAATTAGCGAGTAAGGCTGTTAGGTGTGTGATAGTAAAGCAGAGGGACAGAAAGAGCCTCACGAGTATTAATGAGGATTAATGAGCTGACAAATTTTTTAAAAATTGATGCTTTTTGCCATGTTTAACCAAATGTTAAAGGTTCTTTTTTTTGCTTTGGACAAAAAATAAAAGCCGGAGCACATTTTCGTTCAATCCTGCCCTGGCAGACTGAAAGGTTGGTTTCAAAGTTTCTACTCAAAGGCTCCGACACTTAAAGCTCCCCCTTAGGTCCTTATGCAGATTGTTCTACAGAGCAAATTATAAGACAACATTGAAACAGCTATGTTTACATTATGTAAGACAGTATGCAAGCAGTTATGTTTACATAATGTGTCTCCAAAGGCAAATAGGTCGACATGTGCAAACTGTTAAAACCCAAAGGATAGTCGAACCAACTATCCTGAACTTCTGGTCAAAAACTCGTTCAAATTATTCACAAGACAAGACACCAGAGGAAATCCTTTGAAATTGATGTTTTCCCTTTTGGTGGAGTTCAGGATTGATTTATTGTTGACACTTTTGTTCGACAATAAAGAAGCATTTCACCAGAAGCTAAGCCTTCTGGGGATCATCAGTCTGTACCTGCTTCTCACTGTGTTAACACACACAATATAGACAGTGTCACCGTCTACTGTAAAGTTCACGCTGCAGGGGAAATTTTCCATCCTGTAAGCACACAGAGCAGGTGTGGCCTTTGTCAGACGACTGACAGCTCCACAGAGACTTAAAGAAAGTGAAGATTAATTAAGACCAGAGAGTTGGGGTAAAAACAAGGTGAAGTGCCAGGAATATTTTGACAGAAAATCCCCACAGTTAAAGGTTAGATTCTTTTTACAGTTGGGCTGAAACTATAAACTAGGGACATTTTTTGGCAGGCCAGCGACAGAATTACCAGCGACAGCTGTTATAATGAGAGAAATCTCATCGCACCTTAAGTGTCATCAGCGTTTCTCTCTAGAGACACTCTCCAACTATAAATTTAAGTAAATTTGTTCAGCATACTGGCCTGACATTTCTCAGCATACTGGCTTACACCTCCATGACATTTTATGACTGATCGTGTGTACTCATTTATTGAACAGCCTCATGTTGAGGGCTCTTTTATAGATCTGTGTCTATTCACAGTGAGGGACCATAAAAGTTTCAATTCACAAAGGAAGAGGAACTTGAATTTCAGCTAGTCTTTAAAGTCTATGGCAAAAACTACTGTGTTTAACAAGGTCTTTTTTAACTTTAAGGTCAAATGAATGAAGCGCTCTGTGTGAAAGATCAGACTTTGAGGTTATTGGTTTTGGAATCATTATTCTTTTATTTGAAGTGTGCTGGTTTTTCTGATTTGATGAACAGTACCTGTATGAGGTGAAAGTTCACTCTCCCTTTGGGCTCCAGACATCATCTACACCCAGACTCTTGCATCATGGAAATGTTACAACTTTTTTAAACAATTTGTAATACCTGATGTCATGTGTTTCTGTTTAGTTTCTTCATAACTCTCAGTGACAGGTAAGGAAACATGAATCTTGTGCAGTGTTTGTGCATGAAGATCTATATGTTTTTGTACAGTGAATAGCCCCTCATCACGTTTGAAGTACAGCAGCAGTGAATAAGCTTTAAGGCCTGAAATCACTGTGATCAGGAGGGTTCATGACAAAATCAGCAAACTGATAAGAGATGCTGCTTTTTTCCTACTATGGATTCTAATCTTTAACTTGGCTTTTGTTCCTCTACTAAAACAAATTGACTTATTGGCTGGAGGAGCTAGAGGAAAAAAGAGCGATCTGCAAATAACTATAATAAACAGAGGCTAACAGTTCTCACCTTTTCTGTTTCTTAGCTCCACATGATCAACCTACCATTCAAGCATGAGCTGTGTAAACCACATTAGACTGAGACCTGTGGGCCAGAGAGATGGCCACACGGTGATACTTAATTCTATTAGGACAACTTGATGCAGTTACTCTGAGTGATCACAGCAAAACGACTCTACTTGTTACCAAAATGACAAGCCATTTCACCTTATTGAAGGAAAGCAATTCAATTCATTATTGAATTTAAGAAGAGAGACTTCTTTCACAAACTCCTGACGTGAGCCTGTGGATAAGTCTGGAAGAAAGAGGCTGTGAGCTTTGTGGTCTGGCACATTTTTCCATTTCTAATATTCAATTTCACTTTTTTCACATCCAGCTTTTAACCACCAGTGACGTGAAATTAGTCATGATCCCGACCCCGACTGAGTAAACACGACAAGCGCAAAATGGGAGGCCCGTGACGATGACAAGGTTCAAAATATTAAAAGCATCTGGCAGCCGTTTGAGTAAATCACTGACAGATTTATCGGTGAGAGGAAGAGTCACTGCAGATAAGGCCGTGAGTGACAAAAGCTTTTGACATTCGTGAGAGCGGCTCAGCATCAGGACTCTCTTCTGAGGTGACGTGAAAAGTTCAAAGCCCACATGACAGCAAGAGAACAGCACTTGTCAAAATCAGAGGTCCTGAACCCATCTTTGAATGAGATTATACAATTCTGCTGGCTTTTAAAGAGATGAATGTGTTTGTTTAGAAACACAAATATGACAGCATGGTGGTAAAAGCTTCAGACTTATTTTCATACTGGCATTAAATGTTGAAAAAGTAACACACAAAGCAGGGAGTGGGCGCTTTGTTGAAGAGAACAAGGACACAGCTACCAAACAGCTGATAGAAATGTGTGGTTTAAGTGTTGAAGTTCAAATCTCACCGTTAAAGATAGTTTATAATTTCAGTTTTAGGAAGTAGACGTCAATAACAAACCTCTCAGTCTTTAACAGCAGACAGTGTGGGCTTAAATTCCTGGTTACACATACAGACGGGCTCTGGGATTTGTATCGTTCCCAGGGAAGGAAATACGGACAACGGTGAGCTTGTGTTTGGTAAGAACATGCAGATCTTTTCTTGACCCTCGCTCTAAAATCAGTTTTCCATATGGCTGAAACAGAGACAGGGGGTCTAAAAAAAGGCCCACATTTATACAGAAGTCAGCCTGTCAGAAGGTCCACTGTATTTTGCAGTTTCCAGAGGAGACTCACTGAACCTCGAGGAAGTTTTGACTGAACTGTAAATCGGAAAAATCACACGTGTGTTTACAATTAAACGCCTTAAAAAACTGGCTTATCAGCAAGGGTGGATTGAGGGTCCTTTAAAAGCAAAGTTTTCGGTCAAAGAAAGTTGAGAAAAAGAAAATGTCTCTATTAACTATTCTGAAAGGATTGACGGCGGATATCCAGCCCAACTCATATGATTCCTATATGCTTTGATATATATATAAAAGGGTACAGAAAAAGTTTTTATAGAGTAATACGTGTCCTTGAATAGTACCTCTTCCATGTCTCACTTCAATAATAGCAGCTGCTGAACTACATCCTGCGGTTTGAGTTGTACAACTCCATGGAAACGGTAAAAGCAGAAGAAAAAAACATTACTTCAGACTTAAAAGCAGGAGGTACCGTACTGGCTGAATAATATCCCCAGCGCTCCAATTTTCATATTGACCTCACGGTGTCCTGTGTGCGCTTGCCTTTCACTGTTGAGAACATTTTAACAGGCACACTTGGGCCTGTAAAATGAAGGTGCACTGCATGAAAAGGGAAACAGAAATTCAAACTGTGGATTCTGCTTCAGCAAGTTATCGTCACAGAGAGGTGAAGGAGGGGAACATGAGAAATCCTCTGAGGTGAAGGCTGTTCATCATCCGTATTTTCAGAACATTTTCCAGTATTTTTCAGTAAAAGGAATTTCAGACTGGCACTCAGGAGGAAATAATTAAACCCAGCGAGTGTGCACGTCAACTTGCATTGTGTTTTGGTGGATGAGCTTAGCAGTGTCTACCAGGAGCGCTCCAGGCTCTGTGCTACAAACAGCTTAGAAAATCTAAACTACCAAATGACTATCTGTCTGCAAAGTGCTATGAGGGAAATCTGTTTACACTTCAACATGAATAGAGGTCCCCTGCCACACATGCACACACACACTCACACGCACACCCCCCACACACACTCAAAGCTTTAATCAGTCTGGAACAGAGCAGGAGCCGCTCAGCCCTGTAGGTCCTACAGGACCACGTGTGTGTTCACAAACGGACTATAGTCCATCCCCCGCTCCACTGAAACCCTGCTACCTTGTTCCTCAGCTAAACTTTCTCTCCTCTGCTGTCTGACAGGCTGTAAAGTGAATTGGGCCATTGTTAATGTACTGTAAAATGACTTCTCTTTCCAGGTTTCAGAAAAAAAACCTCTCCTCCACAACAACCATGCTATGTTTCTGAGGAGAAACTGTGGAAAGAAGGGTTTAAATCAAGGGCATCTTTTTTCCACATGACAGGTTAGCAGAAAGAGTTTACTTCTTTTTCATCTTGATGACATTCACACATCAGAGATTAAACTGCTGCTTACTTTTCATAACAGACGACAACAAGCATTTAGTTCACAAGAACCTCTTTCCTGCTTTTTCTAATTAAAACCTGTCACATTCAAGGACGGTGTGGACAAACTGTTTTAATGTTGTCCATTATAGCTCAGCGTTCACTGGGAAGAAAATCTTTCTGGATTAGACAAACAGGTGAGGTGCATTAAAACAGTCATTCCAGATTAAATCAAAAACAAGAAGTCTCTTACATTAACTTCAGGGGAAACTAATTTCAGCTGAATGACCATGAAATAGTCTTTGATACACCTATGATGGGGATAAGACGGCTGAGATTTAGACATTAAAACATAAAAGGGACAGACAGAAGGATTTAATTTCTTTGTGTCCTTGTTTAAGACTGCCAAAGCACACATGTCTACACTTTAATGTTCATTCTCACTCTTAAAAAAAGTATTCATTGTCATGCAAGACAGTACAACATCCCACATTTTCAGCTTTATTTTTGTTGTTGTTAGAGTCTAAATCCTTGACTTAGTATTATGTTGGAATGGAACTTTAATACTGAAGACAAAAGTCAGTGACAGACTTGAAATGAGTTTTGGTCACAGCATAGGAAATCTGATCTGCAGCATCTGATTAAAAATACAATGGAGTTTTTTTTCATAAACTCCGGAGCCTGTTAATGTTCAGCAGTAATAAGCTGCAAGAAATGGTGTGACAACAGCATCACAAGTTCCATCTTTAACATGAGACTCAGTACATTTAGGAGAGACATAACAGCAGACCTTTCTATCACTCTCAGATCATCTAGGAGATGCAGACGCTACATGTGTGCTTATGTAAAGGGTGCAGAACAAGTGCTGATTGCATACTAGTTTATTGTTTTTTTGATGGTGATCAAGGATGAATGTAAAAAAGGGGGGAAACAGCAAAAATCCAAGAGGGCTCTTGTATTTTCTATTTAATTGACTATGCTTGAGCAATGAACCTAGTATGAATATTTGTGGGCATGATTCTCCGTGATATTGACAGTTACATTTGTCCCTCCTTTGTTGCATGTGTCTGCAAGTCTGTGAATGATTTTGTTTGTATTAGAAAAAAAGAGTTTTATTTGGGTTTGGGGCCTGAGATTTTGGCCTGTGCAAAAGCCAAAAATTAGTGTAATGATTTTAAGAGAGAAGGAGACTAAAGCCACCATCCTCTCAGTCTGCAGTTCCCATAAACAACTCCAAATGACTGTAGATAGTGAAGAACAGAGGAGCTAAAAGACCAGAAGAACCCACAATTCTTAACTGGAGAATGCCACTAAAGCACCTTCACTCATCTTACATGAAAACCAGTGTCCTACAGGCAAACAGGTGTGTATTTTGGCTGTATAAAAAGGCTGCATAAACAAACTCCAGATATAACATAGGTCCTGCTATGTAGAGTAAAAAAATCTCAACTCACTATTGAGGAAATATTCTTCCTGCACTGCTTGTCTGGCGGCAGGAGAGAAACAGCGTTTTTTCAGCCACTCTGCATCAAACACACTGGTGTGCTGGTCAGGCCACACAATAGACACCTGTGGAGAGACAAGCAACAAAATCGGTTCTGGTTCATAAAAACATACTCTCTCTTTTTCTATGTTTCCACTCTTTTGTATTTTGCTGTGATGTATGCCATTGTGTGAAAGTAAACCATCTTTATTTCAAGCTATGTTTAAGAAAACTTCTTGTTTAAGAAGGTTTTCATGGTTTTCAGTCCTTCTTTTTACTTTCCTTTAAGATTTTGGTTTCCTTTTCTGTACATACCGCAGCTTATCTGCCCGTGCTGTCATAAAATTATATCTATTGCCAGAGGTGTGCAGCTGCTGACTATAATCGGTCATCCAGTAAATTTTCTTGCAGGATGAAGAAAACAAAACTGGAAATGTAATGCATATGCTTCTGAGAACCTTTAGCTTTGAGCTCTGTCACAACAGAAATCTGTTTATAGCTGTATCCAACTTCAGGGACAGGAATGTCTGAAGGACGCAGCTCATGAAGGTGGTTCCTTTTGAGGACTTTAAAGGTCAGACTGAACGTGTGTGTGTGTTTGTGTGTGTGTGTGTGCCAAAATTAGATCATCTGACCTCACAGAACTCCACAATTAATCACCAGACAGCTGCCCTTAAACAGTCTGCAAGGTGGAAATGACATGATATAGTAGCTGAGTACAAAATGGGTTGTATGATCTTAACTTGAAATCTCTATGATTAGTAAATGATGTAGAGCTGCAACTGATGTCTTCTTGTTCGTTAAAACTAACATTTTGGAGAATAAAACATCAACATTATACCTGTAAATGTAAGAGACAAGGGTGGTGCCATCAAATATCTTGCTTTGCCAAAAAAAACCCAACCAATCCAAAAGTTGAAACTGTCAAGATACCTCCTGAGCTCTGGAATATATTTACAAGTCTTAACTCAACTTTAATCATCTATTTAGAGTACCATCTGTATGTCATTCTTTAAAGCTCCTGTGAAAAGTTTTTGGCTGGTTACGAAACAGACTGAAAGTAACAACTATGCATCTTCAAAAGTAAACAAAACCATTGGCAGAAAAGTTGAGGATTTTTATAACCTGATTGGAGTGGGGATAACTGCTTCAAGGATGTAGTTGCAAGGCATGACAATTTACAACGTGGTGGAGAGTAATCTTTTTTCTTCTGTAAAGGCCTGATTTTCGGTCTGCTACAGGTTGCAAAACAGTGTGAAAAGTACAACCACAAGCTGTGTCCAATTTTGTACCAATGGAAAAGCAGCCAAAATGGAGCATTTCAGGCAGAGGCGGAATAGTGCTGAAATGAGGGCTTTCAACAATGGCAGTATTTTTATAAAGGAGTTTTCTGAGATGCACATCATGGAAAGCTACCCTCTAAGTGCCCCAAACTGACATAATGAAAGAGGATAATGAGTATAATAGGACTCTTTCAAAGGTATTTAATTTGGGGGGAAAATGCAGGCTGTGGGACACTTATAATCAGTGTAATTATTTTCACATTCACCTTTTTCCATTTTAAGCATCCACACTGAGTGTGTGAACCCTGAATACACAGGTCAAGAAATGGCCTACCTTGTTGTCATTGGTGACCTCCACCACATCGACTCCTGTGTAAACATCAAGATCAGCCATCAACAGTTTCCGAGCCTGAGCAGACTCCAGAGTACACATTGGGCACTGGCAGTTGTCTCTCAGCCAGGTGAATGGGTACAGACTTTGGCCTCCATCCTCCCACTCCACCTCCATAAGCCTCTCCTCATCCAGAGCCCGGACATGCCTCACTGAGTGGCGAGCCAGAGGGAGGGAGGCGGATCCCAGGGTCTGGTGCCCTCGAAGCTGCATCGAAGCCACACAAGAGGTGAGTGGATGTGCAGCCTTCCCTGGTCTACGACAGGCCTTCAGAGCCTGACAGGCCATGACAGAGGTGGTCCTCTGCAGGGCAGGTCGGGCAAAACGGGAAAATGTACTCATCCACATTTCTGAATGATTTCTTCCAACTTCAGCTGAAGAAGGGCAACTCAGTCTGCAAAGTAAGAGAGGGGAAAAAAAAACAATCATGCAAGATCATCTTTTTATTTATGTGTTTAACAAACAAGAGCCGGATAGAACACCAGATGTTCCAAGTTACAGATGTAGGGGGTGTCTGACAAAGATTAATGTACAAATAAATTTAAAGCCATTTGCTCTTGGCTTGAAGCTAGGGCTCAACTGCTTACACTCAGCTTGATTCACAGTTTAATGAAAGCTATCTTTCTAATACTGGTCAATTACACTGGCCTTCAGTCAATCCTGTCTAACAAGCTGTTTCAACACCTCTTTCTTTCAGCCCCCCACCAGTGAAGCTTTGTTCTTCTTGGGCAGCTTTCCAGAGGTATGAGAGTGCAACCTGATCTTCTTACTCATCCTGACAGCGGAAAGCAAACCTGCCAAGTAACACTTATCTCTTTTGATTGGGAAGGCAATTTACCAAATTTATCTCCTGCATATTCAAACCCCAACAGGGTAAGAATTAAAGTGGACAGACATACTGTTGTTGGCTATTTTATTATGCTAATTTCCTGCAAAGTGTATAACATGACAGGGGAGATAGCCTTTCAGTCACAAACTAAATATAAAAACAATAATGTTATTTACTGTTAAATTAATCTAAATGTAATCATACTTTGTTTAATCTTCCTTTTTTGCTGGGTTGTGCATATATTTGACTCCTCACTATTAGTCATTTTGGCCATGTTAAACAAGTCACACGCATCAGATGTATCAGAAAATCATTAAAGCTAACAGGCTCACTTTAATGATTCACCTAAGAAGAATATTTATGGTGCTACACTTGTTTGGAACAAAGCCAAGCTCGTCACATACAGGAAAAAATGCCTGGGATTCTTCTGAAAGGGCAGTGTCATTTGTGACTCATCGTTGTGACAACCAGAGGTATTTTAAGCCTGGTCTGCTGACTCTGTTTGTAACCCTGTAATTGCAAACTCAACACAAAGCTCCGTGGTGTAACATCATATCATGCAGCGCACTATACTGAGCAGTTTACCAGTACTCATAATACTCATAGCCTGGGACTATCTGGTTGTGTTTCAGTGATCCAAAACCAAACGAAAATCAATGTATCATCACTGATTTTAATAGATGAGGTTTTCGTGTTTTAGTACAAGTGGAGAAACAGTAAATTGTCATATTTGGAAACCTAAAATTGTTCACTGCTCAGCATTTTTGCTTGAATGGGAAAATTAAGCGATTACTCTATTCAGTTTTAATGCGTTTAGTATGTTTACTTAAGTGCAACCTTATACATCTGTCAGACAAAAACACATCAACAGGTTAAGCGAATATAATATTCAAGCAACAATCAGAATTTGTCCAGTAGGAGAGCATCTTAAAGTGCCTTTTAATACACACCATCCACCAAGGCCTAGTAGAGGGGCACCTTATCACATTTTATACACTGGAAGGACATCCAGGGTGCACTTATTTAACATTGCATTCATTGGGAAAGCAAAGAGGGCAATGGGAGTGTTTTATCTACAACAAGGTCATCCAAGAGTGCACTTTCACCCCATTTTTTAAGGCTCAAGGGTCTACTAAAGCCCATGAGTCATCACATCAGGATGGTTTAGGCTCTGACCTGATAAGACGGCCTGCACTCTGTAACCTCTCTCTAACTAGTGTATCTGCATATATTTCAAGATGTTGTGCATCCCTGCAAACCAACAGAATGAGTGTAAACATAACTGTCTTGATAATAATCCATGCCAAAAAAGAGTGGTCTCCTATGGTCAACTTACCCTGTGATGGGGTCAGTTAAGCAATCCAGTACAACATCTTAAATTCTTCATTCAGGAAGCTTTTGCAGCTTTAGTTTATGTTGACATCAGACAGGTGATTATTGTACTTATTATATCATTGCTAAATATGTAGTGGGTAGTGTACTGAAGTGTATTATATTGAAAGGTGTTCCTTGTATATTGTTTTAATCACAAACTGTCATTCTTACTTCAATAATAAGCTCAATTATAGTACAATTGTCAGCTTTTAGACCATTTCAACAGAAATTGGGGATGCAGAAGCTAAGTAAAAGTAACCTGTGTGACAGTGCTAGTGTACTAAGCAGCACTGGATTGTCCAGGTGTTCGTTATTAAGTGTATTTGCGTTGCCTCAGAGATGAGGATGTATTCCACCTTCCTCTTTGTTTAAGAGTGACTTCTTGTTTGCCTTCTTGCTTGCTCTTAGGCTTAAAAACGTGTGGAGATTAGCGTCTGTCTTTTAAAACGATTAAATTTTAACATTTTATAAATGTCTCTAAACTATCATCAGTTATTGTAGAAATGACGTCACTCCCAGCGGGTACATTTGAGTTTGATTTGCACCAAACATTAACACACAATCATTCACTACAACCAGGTGTTTAACAATGACTTTTTAAATACAGGCTTCTTATACTGTTATTTTATGTAGTTCTTCTCAGAGAAAAAATAATAAATTAAAGTTAGCTGCTAACATGTTTCGCCGCTAGCCTTACGCTTTGATGAAGCGGAAGCTAATAGGTGTTGTGCAGTAGAATGCACCCCTGCCGTTTAATTCACCCCTGACGGAAGCGCGGTAGAAAGTACATCACAAGGCGAAATAATCCATGTTTTCCATGTGGGCATTTTTGAGACATAAAAACAAAACGAAAGTAAGCTGCTCCTTTTGACATGTTTTCACGATCCAATACTTGTGTTTTTTTTAAATATGAGATCATTTTCTTCCACTTTACGAAGCTAATGACTGGATGGGATGCAGGGGATGCATTATATGGCAGGGATGCATTCTACGGCATAACACCGGCGTTAGCTTCCCCGTAACGTAAACGCACCACCGGCTCCTCCACTCTACATCCTACTTTCAGATTAAAAGCTGACTGAAAGACTCGCTAGTCGACCTGTTTTAACAACTATTCCCTTCACCGCCTCGCTCTTGAGTTTAAGTATCAAGATGCAGTGTAAGAAATAAGACAAACTGAGGTATTTTCCCACAGTACCTGTTATATTTTGCAGACGGCTCCTCTCTCCCACGAGTGCTGCCACCGTCAACACAAACGCCGGCTGTCGCTGAGGAGAAAGTAGGTGAAAGGTTGACCGGCAGGCTGTGCAGATGACATAATCACTGCAAGTGCATGAACGTTGCCCTACTTAAGAGTACCGACAGATAGCGGTGCTTACATGGATGGGTTTCAATAAACAATAGTGCCCAAATAAAGAAGGGAAACCCCAGGAAGATAATATTTGTCCCTTATGAATTGCTTGAAACAAAAGAGGGGACTATTGCTTCTTGTGAGCAAAAAATTCAACAGCGTTCTGAGGAGGTGGGGCCGGATTAGTGGTTTTTCTGGGGTCTGCAGTGATTATTTTAACAATGATAAGAATACAGTGGTGGGCTTGGCACAATAAGCTAATAACTGAAGCACATCCACACAGATAAAACTCATATAAGATAAAACTCATAAAAGCAAAGTGCCCATAGTTTACAGCATCAGTAAACCCTAAAACCAGCATCTGCTTAAAGAGGGAGTATTTTTATGGCTTCATATTGTCCCTCTTATAGTATTTTAGCAGCTTCACACGATTTTTTTTTTTTTTTACAGTTCAACACATTCTTAGCATATTTTCAGGCTTTGTCTTTGAAAACCCTCATTTCAGCCTCTGTCTGAGTCCCTTTTTATCCATTTGTTAAAATTTACTAACATGTACTGGGTTCACTTCTGGTACAGTGCTTCATATCTTGAGGTTTTGGACTGAGAGTTGAATAAAACAGAATATATGAATACAGCTTGAAAAGTGTGTTAGCTTTTCATCCTTTTCTAGGAAAAAGTATTTTGTTCTATTTCCATGACATAGGTTGATAATTGACTCTTACAGAGAAACTACTGCACATTTTTGAGCAAATGAAAGTAAAGTAAAAATCTTCAGTCTTACCTCTTTTTTTCTGACTGTTCCCACTTCATGCACAGGCACAGAGAAGATTTAACCGAGTCCTGTGGATTTTCAGCACAGTCCTCAACTCAAGTCCCTTCTGCCGACACCTGAGATCAGATTTTATAAGGTTCATTTTACAATTATTAACCCAGGATCCCATATGGTCACCGACAGTGACAACCACACTGACACAAGTTACAAAGGGTGAGAAAGATTACAACTCAGTCACCTTTGTGACTCCTAAGAGTGCACACGTGTAAATTTAACAACATAAACAATACAATATGGACTACGTGGTAATAGATAGTAAAAACTGTTGGAGCAATGACACACAAAATTTTTTTAATATAATTTGGGAATTTTCTTTTGATTTATCTTAGAGTAAGCCTGTGATTTTATAATAAATTGGTACAAAGATATCTCAGCAGGTATTCTGCTCAAATCAGCCATTCATAACTGGAGCAGTTTAATATTGTTCTTGTGGAAGAATGAAAGATTCAAGAGTGAACAAACACATGAAGCAGTAATTAGTGCCAAACATTTGTGGCAGTTCTGTTACACATTAACAATTTGTCAGACTTTGTTAACAAAAGGGAACGCCAAATTGAGTAAGAAAGATGGATCTCTTTGGGGAATTTACTACATCTGGCAAACCTTATAAGAGTACACAATGTTCCCTTCAATGACAGCCTGTTCATCATAAATTTACTGAAATTATTTATCTAAATAAACCAAAGGTTAGCCTGAGGTGAAGGGTGTTATTATGTAACACTAAAGCTGATATCATGGCTTACAATACCATAGAAATTATGATGTGAGTTAACTCTCAGGATGGTAGTTTGAGCAGACGACTCATCATCTTTTTTTCCTCAAGATGTTGCCAACATCCGTCACTCTGGTTGATATAAACAGGGGTTTTTCCTCTCATGGAGACACAAATTGTAGGCTGAAGGATTTTATGCCATGTTGTCCGTTATGTTGCTGCATCATGACTGTAATCAGTGGGCTCAAAGTATGTACTTACCCTAACTGTGCGACCACGAGGAACCGTATTACTGTACTTTGCAGCGTTATGTAACTTCCATCAGCTGTGGATACTCTTGCTTTTTTATTTCCACATCCTCAAGGCCTTAAATTTAATTCAAAATTTAAAACCCTCACTAAAAGTATATATTTTTTCCTTAACAAACTGGAGTGCAACACAGGAAGAAACAAGCAGTTTGTAACACCCAACATACCACAAACCCATCACTGCCATTTCCTTTCCTCTCTGTTCCTCATAAATACCAAACCAGCAGCTTCTTCCTTAATTCAAAGCATCCACAGGGGGGCTGTGAGTGTAATCCACAGCAGACCCCAAAACCTTGTAAAGCAAACACAGAGGGGCACTTTGTGATTTTAAAACACGTGGCATTACAGCACGCTCGCTCACTGGTATGACGCCAGTGCTACTGGTACATGAAAAGGGGAACCTGCTGGATGCATATGGGATTATTAAATTTAATCTAATTTTTAACATAATTTTCCACCCTCATGAATGGACCAATGACAGTGGAAATGTGTTTAACTTAAGTTGCAGGTCTAAGGAAAGCAACTGCATGTTTTCTAAATGTAAAATAATCCATTTCTATCATTAAAAAATATGCTTTGGACAATTTACTTTAAAACACAAACTCTTTATTTGAGAAGACACAACACAATCTGCTCATATTGTCATTAATGCTTGACATTTATGTCCTCAAGTGCTGCCTGCAGTCTTATCCATCAAAGTATCATCACTAAGGTAAACAAGAATAGAATAATGCTGCTCTATTTAAACATTTTATACACAATGACTACATATCAAGGTGTTCTTTAATAAAGATATTGGCACTCACAGTATTTACTTTTTACTGATAATACACTGTACATTTTACAAGACTATACTGCCCGTGCAACACTGCACAGAAAAGGCTTTACATTTTCCAACCATGTCACAGCCTTTAGCACCAGAACAGTAATGAACTGGCAAAGTCTGACAGCCTTTAAAGCAAAAACAATACAACAGATAGGTGTCCATATGTAAACATTATTTGGTATTTGTCGAGACATTCATGTGGATTGTCAGATAAGAGCAACAAGAACAGCCGCCCTCACCAAGAGATTAAAACATAGCTTCATCAACTAACAGCTACTACGGGCGGCTTTTCCAGAATTGATTCATTCAACTTTTGAGTCCAAAAACTAAAGAGAAAATAACGAAGCATACTCAAGTGGATATGTGTTTAAACTCTGACTAATACCTTGAGCGAGCACGCTGAAAAATCTCCAAACTTCTCTCCTCACTGCTCAGGGAGGACTGAATAAAGTTTGGAAATCCCTTCATCTGATGAAAGTAAACTGTTCACACTATTTTGATTGGCTGACTCATGCTGGAAAACTGCTGTTTTACATATACACACACACACACTCACATTCACTCTCTTATGTACACACACAGACATACTCTCTCTCCTTTATGTACACACACAACCCTGTGACTGTTGACAGTTTAATTCAATGCACTAACCACAAAGGACCATTAAAGAAGCAGTTTTGGTGTGGCCTATTGACTGGTAGATCATTAATGTCTCTGTAACAGTCAAGCCTTAATTAATTGATTAATTACCAGACAAGGTCATTATACTTTCATCACCTTTAGTGTGAAGATAAAACCACTTTTAAAAGTGTAATGTTTGAGTATTACAGGTCTGTTTGAGTGGGAATAATGAAAGTCTCTACATGATGATTGTCTATAGACTTTTATATCTTTTATATAGTGACAGTTATCTCCTTGATATCAGTGGGTGTGTTGCAAATCACTGAACATGACCACTTTATAGTAGTATTGGATTTTTCTATGGCCATTTGCACCAATATGATGAGGTACTCTGATTTGATTTAGTGTAAGTTCACTGGATCTTTTAGAAAATGTGACTATCTCTCTGGTTCTTTTATCTGTTAATAACTTCTCAATGGTGCTTTGTCTGGAGGATTTATTACCATGTTGTCGCTATAAAACTGCAGATACTGCAGGAGAGGATAATAACCCAATCTCCCATTCAAAAAAGGTTATATTACATAAAAAGAAACACTTTTGGAGTGAGATAGAGTCCAAAAGACTTTTATAGAGTAGCTAATCACAAGCAGAGTTTTATGGTGGCTTTGGTTATGGGAGCCAGGTGGTTATGCAACCTCCCTTAGAATATTTCTGATAGGACTGCAATCGATGTAAATGGTACTGTTTGTAATTCTTGTGAGTTTTGTTGGGATGTCACTTCACTGAGCACATTGCAAACCAAAACAAATTTATTATGGTCCTCCAGGTACACCGTGTAGAAATGGGAATATTTAGTGATATCTAGTGGTCTGACTTTGGAGTGAAACGCCCCCATGCTCACCCCTTCTCTTGGTGAAATCCCATAAGCGATGGTAGCCTTTGAGAATAAGAAGCTTTCTGCTCATTTTTACAGTGAGAACTTTTATCAATACAAATTCTTTGTACACAACAACCACTCCTTGTTTGTGTTCTTTGTCATCCAACTTGTTTAGTTTTGGCAGCCACTCACCACATACAAAAACTTGCTCTACCTTTGTTAGTCTTTCCATTTTCTGTTACTATAGAAACATTGGGTGTGTGAATGGTGTCCTCTGTCAATGGGGGCTGCTCTGTAGGTGTGAAACATTCATTAAAAATCAACAGAATTTTTTTTTTTTATATTTAGTTAACCTGTTTTATGCTAATATAATCATGTTTATAAATAGTATCTTCCATTTATACCACGTGTTTCGCTTGCTGTCACTTCTTACTACACCCTGTAAAAAAGAGTTTGACATCAACCTCTAAGAGATGACCATAAGATTGAGTTATTGAACCTATTATAACCAATGATGCACTTTAGTAATGTATGTAAAAAATACAGGTTACCTTTATAAATTGGTACGTTTTGATGTGGCACATCTGGGTCTCCGGGGGGGACTTTTGTGCCTTGGAAAGAAAAAACTTTTTTGCAATATTGCAATCAAACTTTGGCAAAAGACATCTCAAAACACCGGAAAACTCTGCAAAAACTAACTTCTCTGTAGTTTTCAAACTTTGTGAGGATATCTAAGTTATTTTCAGGACATAAGGCTAGCAGAAGAATGGCATTTCACCCCCATGTGGTGTGTGCTGTGTGGCTATAGAGTCACAGTTTGTAAATTTAATCTTGTATCTAAATGAGGCATGAAAGTGTGAGAAAAGTCCTATAAATTCACCAGTTTTTCTTGAGTACATTTATGACCTCAATTAGGCTGATGTTTTTTGACCCTCAGTTGGCTGCAGAGAACATTAAGAAAAAAAAAATCTGCATGTATTTGTGTTTTGATTGTTTCCACTAAACAATGGATACTGTAAAGAAGATTTCGACATCAACCTCTAAGACATGACTATAACACTGAGTTATTAAACCTATCATGACCAATGCTGCACTTTGGTAATGTATGTAAGACACAATTCTAAACAAACAGATTACCTTTATAAATTGGCACGTGTTGATGTGGCACATCTGGGTCTCCAGGGGGGACTTTTGTGCCTTGGAAATAAAAAACTTTTTTGCTATTTTGCAATCAAACTTTGGCGAAAGACACCTCAAAACACCAGCAAACTCTGCAAAAACTAACTTCTCTGTAGTTTTCAAACTTTGTGTGGATATCTAAGGACAAAGGGCTAACAGAAGAACCCCCTTTTAATGTATTTTTGGTGCTTAATTTAACTTTTTCTTTTCTTTTTTAAATCCCTGATATAACTGCTAACATTCATCACTCCTGCCTCACAGTCACACTCCACCACAAGAAAATAAAAAAGAAATAAAATACTGTAATGAGAAGTTTATGGTTGAGTTTTTTCAGTACTTCATGTATTCATTCTTCAGCCTGCTCAGTCTCGTGCCATGGCTGCGGATGATCAGAGACAGGAGCTCGTGCTTGTCCTTCAGTCCCAGAGAAATGTCCAGCGTGTCTTTCAGGACGTCCCGCGTGTGAACTATCATGTTGAGGAAGTCGTCGTTGAGCCGGTGCTCCTCTTTCAGCTCGCTCTCTTGGCTCTGCTTGAATTTCACCTCCAGCTCCAGCAGAGATTTCTCCGAGTTTGTAAACGCCTCGCTTATCTGCGCCGTCTCCCTGCGCAGATACTTCCCGTAGCTGTCCTCTCCGTCCAGGTCGTACGAGATGCTTTTCCCGATGCCCTCCAGCACCCTGGCAGAGTCCTCAATCTGCCTCTTTATGATGGTGAAATCATCCCGTATGACCGCGTCCTGGTCCTCGGGGAGTCCACACTTTCTTTCGTCGGTCATCTTAAAGAGCATTTGGCATTTCTCCGGGTCGTCGTTTTCCTCGTAGTCGCCATCCGGCACGAAATAGTGATGAAAAGTGCCGTTGGACATCTCCGGTTGTAACGGTCCGCTGAAAAACGCCGCACACATCGGCAGTGATAACATCCCAGCACACAGGAGCAAGTGAAGAAAAGCCATGATGCTCTAAAGACACTCAGAACAGGTCAAATAAAAGTCCTAAAACGCTATCTCAAGGAGTGACCCCCTGTAAGGCTATTTGATTCCAACCCGGTGTAGAAACACAAACATTTCAAACGGGTTTAATCGTCCATACTGCGCAGTTGTTCCAGGCTTTGTTGCAGCTTTAACCTCCTCTTCAGTATCCTCTTTGTCCGACAGATAAAAAGGCTTGAAATCGTTTTAACAGCCTCACTTGTCTTCCTTCACTCGCCTGCCAACGTCCATCACTGTCGAAGAGCAGGAAAGCAATGTATGAAAAAGTTGGTCTCAGCGTGGAAAACAGTTGTAGCCTTCACCAGACTCCACTTGGTGCCTCAAACGCAACATCTGGATGTCTCAAGTGCCGCGCTCCGGTTTTGGCTAATAATACCTCACTGCTACTCTCAAATTACAGCCCCTCCGTCTCTTTAAAAGGCTGCTTTCAGTCTGGGGCAGACTAGCAGCGGGGCCAGGCCAAGACGGACTAAGTTTGTGTTAATTCACAGAACCGTGACAAGTTGGCTGAGGTGGTTAATGGGCTAGACTACTGAGAAATACAGGAGGAACCTCATCACTTAAAACACTAATGAACTAGACTGTAATTAAGGTGCAATACTTGTACAGAACTGTGATTTTTAATTCCCAGTGATGTTTTGTAGGGTGGTTAACTGTAAAGGTTTTTTTAGAGGCCTATTGTACGGAAGCCCTGAGTGGATATACATTCGCTCATTTAATTTACTTAGTTTTCCTGTAATAAAAAGTAATTTCCTCATGTTTTTGTGTACTTAACTTGTTCGTCTTACTAAAGAAAACACAGCCAGCTGTCATATTATAATGAGTTGGTTGCAGTTGTTTCCTTGAGATCTCAACTTATTTTTATCCAGTATGTTGAAATAACAAAGCTTGCTCTGAGGTAAACTGATCCGTTGTGATAGGGGAAAAAACAGCTTAGCCATCCAGAGATCAGGAGAAAAATAAAAGTTTTGTCCACATTTATACTGATATTTTGAATAACAGTTTATTTCCATTTTCAAAATCCTGTCCACAAGATGTGGATATTTTTCTTTCAACTACCCAGAAACAGATGAAATTGTCTGCATAAACACGCAAGGCCAGTGGGTGGCGATAGTGTGTTGTCAGTCTGTCACATCAAACGTCACGGAAAAGCATTGCGCACATGCAAATCATCAGAAATTAGCTTATTACCTGTGGAAAGCAGAGTTAATATAAGATGTTTGAATAAGGAAAGAAAAGAAAGAGAAACAAAGAGAAAAAACAGTCTTAAATCAATGAGATTTGATGGTAAACCTGCTTGAAAAAAAGTCTGTATCATTTGGACCATGACATAATGGTAGGAAATCTAAAAATGATGTTCCCTAGCACTTATTGTGGCCTTGATTTGTTTCAATCTCTAATCACACCCTGCCTTTGTCAGAGTGTGACAGGCTGATCATTATTTTGCCTGCAAAGACTGGGTTTTTATTTTTGTCACCCTTTTTTTTGCATCTTCAAAATCAGCACAGGCACTTGAGTCCTCCCTGTCCCTCTTGTCACTGTCTAGTATAAATTTCTTCAGCCTTCTTCCTTATCAAATTCTAGGAGACTTATGCTTATGCATAATATGCTTGAGCATTGTGAATTCACTGGTATATACACTCCAGTTGATTGTTCACCCTCCACCTCTCACTGCCAGGCAGCTAGCTGTTGTGTAGTCTTACTTCAACAGAAATTGAAGTTTAGCTGTGGTTCCTCTCATTCTCTTCCAAATCAGTGATACTGTGCAAACTTTAAAGCATACTGCTGTTTAGGTCTCACTGTTTCTCAAGCGTTTAGGGAAAGTAAAAAATGCTGGATCAAAAACTAGAATGAAAGCTTTAAATTGAGACCTGCCTTTATTCATTTAGTAACTGCACAGCCACACCCTGCTACTACAGGGACCCTGCCTCTAATATGGATAGACTAGTTTACTGTCATTATAGCGCAATTTATGATGCAACAGTTGGCAAATGTCTGCATGTTGTTAAAACGCCCTGTTGCCCAGTGGTATTGTTGTCTCTTTGCTCATAACCATCTTTGTTTATGTTTGTTTTTGCAAAGCTGTTCTGTAATTTACTTTATTTACTTTTTTACTGTCATATCCATCTGTTCTGAGCTATAATTTGTACTGCTTTATTGTTTCCTGGGACTGTGTTCTGTCTTCATCATTGTGTGCTTTTACTTTAATTGACATATCTTATGTAATATCATTGCTATTGTCTAAACATTGTTTCTTTGTATGACTATAGATTGAGTTTGAACGGCCAGCTCTACACCTGGCTGGAGTTAAACCTAGTTTTCCGGCCAAACCTGAAACATTTAAAGTAATGTGTTTCGAATGTTCAAAAGTATGGAGTTTTTTTTACTGCTGCTCCTTATAGAGACAGCCATTAGCTCCATATTGAACAAATCTACTTATGTTGTGTACCTCGGTGCCCTTTTGAACACTCGCCATTTACTGTAGTGATTAAATGTTTTGATAAGTTATACCGTTTCATACCTTTTCAAGTTGCGTTAATTGCAACTTAAAAAATTAAAATAAGGTAACTGTGTAATAATCCACTGTAATATAAAGGCTCCGTATTGTGATCAACATGTTGAATGTTTGACTTGCAGTTGATGTTTTCACTGTCTCGACTTGATGGTTTTATTTCAGTTTAAAGGATTATAATAAAGACCTGATCAGCAAATCTGGCTTATAATGTGAAATTTGCAATGGCAGAATAATATGGTGTAATGTTTTCCATAGCAGTTCAAAAGTCCACCAGGCTGCATCAATTAATTACTGTTAGAAATAACCACCCTTTAAGCAGAGCTAAACCTCATTCTGAACCACTTATCCCTGCACTTTATCCCTGAGATTTATCCCTGCCAACAGCTGAAGCCCACCTAAAACTAACATTTAACTTGGATTAAAAAGGCTTTAATTGCTTTTTCATCTGCAATTGATTGTCCTCTTATTTAACAGTATGACACTGTAAAAGTCATTATCTTATTCCAGGAATAATGTTTTAAAGAAAATGCCTGGACTTTGTGTTTGGCAGCATATGGAGAAGGACGTGTTCACAGGGCTTCTTTTAAGATAGTAACCACCTGTTTTTGACTCGGCTGCCGGCATCAAATGACAAGTCCAGTTTAGTTCAAAGGCAACACAGACCGGGGTCATCTGTTTGAAGCTGAAAACCCTTGTTAAGCTTAGACTCATAATTTGGGTGAATCACTTAAGTACAATGATTATCACTGTAGTTTCTAGGAAAAAAAGAAATGTTGTGAAATATAATTTTTTTTGTGGGAACATTTGCCAGCAGTGTTTCATATAGGGGATGTGCTGATCCAAGAAATACCATTCAGATGAAATGATAATACTTTTTTCCAGAATGCTTGATGCAGCTGTAGTGATGAAAGGAATCCCTGAAGGGAGGAAAACTCTTCATCGTATATGTCAAGATCTTACACGTTAAGAGTGATCTAATTAACTAAACCCACAATCCCACTCAGTGTTTGCATGTGTTTCCATCGGAAAAAGCAGACGTTACACCGTCATCTACCTCCAGGAACCCTGCTCTCATTTTCCACTTCATGTGGGATTATTTAAGGCTGAGCCATGCATATCAGGTTACACACTGTACTCTTATTTTGTTTATCTTCTCTCATTGTTTGGATATGTAGTTTTTAACCATAAATGCATTATAAAGAACATACATGCACCTACCTTAAACAACTTGTTTCAGATTTAAATAGCCTTGCACAAACAATCCTTGTCATTTTACAAATATCTCATTGCCTTTATGTTATGGTTGCTTTTCTTGACTTATATATCAACAATAAACAGCATATGCTGCCTATTTTTACAACAAATAACTTTATCTGTTGCTCTGTATAAGTCAAGGTAAATGAAAAGAGAGCTGGTGGTGATATGTCCTTTTAGTTCTGTGGTTGGTAGTGCATAAACTGAACATTTGAATTCAAAGTAAAATAAAAATGAGCGACTTGAGATAACATTTGCTGTGATTTGGCACTAAATAGATAAATAACAATTGACTTACATTGAAAATTAAACTGAATATCTTCATTTAAAAGTAAGACAAAGCAAAGTCCAAACTGCATCATTTGTTTTCTTCAATTTGGCTGATGTCTCCATTCTTCTCCCCTCTCCTAACGGTTTCTGCATCTCCTTCCTTTCTTTTAATTTTCTTGCAGGTAACTGGTCTGCCATTTACTTTACTGCAAACCTGAAATATTTTAGTTTCCAACTCAGTTGAAAGCAAATCAAAAATATCCTTGATGTGGTTTACTGAGCCAGAGTGCAAACAGAAACTAAATTTATTGCTAAAGTGTCAACTGCAGGAGTTAAATGTGCCACTAACCACTTTTGCTGAAGGAGTTAATTTGATGTGTGAGTTCAGGTCGTCCCCGACAACCACCTGCTGTTGAAAAAGAACACACCAATGTCATGGTATGTTAACCAATCAGAATCAAGTATTCAACAAAGCTGGGTATTACCGTTATATAATGTTTAAGGTACCTTTCCCAGTTTTATATTTGTTTCAAGCACATGCCTGTTTCTGTATGTACATAGAAACTATGTAAAACTGGACTTTCATCTCCTTGTATGACCACATACCTGGCCAGTAATGTGAATACTGATTCTAATTAGAATCAAAGTTACAAAAGTAGTCACTGAAGGCTATATATAACTTAGTATGTGAGGTATTATGCAACAATTTTGTTGTTGCACTTGTTACTCTGATTTTATGTCCTGCTACGTGTTGGCACTTGCTATTTGCCCTGTCTTGGCTTGATATGACTCATAAAAAAGCCTCTAATCACAGTTCAGTCATAAAAGGTTTATATACTCATACAAGTTAATGGTAAGCTTAACAACTACTAAGGTGGTAAGTCATTGCCAATCGCAGGTTTTTACCATTTCACACCCTTTTTAACTCAAGTTGATGGATCATGGAGTATATTTGGAGTTGAGTTCTCTATAATAAGTACATTTTAGTGTGTCCACATGAAAAAGGTGCATCTCTACTCATACTTTATTCAGAGGAATTGCACATCAACATTATCATTCAGCTAATAAAAAGACACTTATAATGCCAAATATATTTACAGTAGGACTTTTCAAATACACAAACAGAAAGTGAGTGAGTGCGTTACATAAGCCTTACATAAACCAAAAGTCTGCAATGTGCATCAGTCAAATTTACGACGTGGAAAAATGCCTCAGTGCTCTTCGTGGCCAGATCTCACCTCAAAAATAACATTAAAAAACCAAAAGGACATAATTTTATAACTGCCACCAAGTCTCAGTTTCCCCTTCTCTCTGACAGCCTCCCACAGTAATAGGATGCATCGGCATGTGTTCAAATCC